TCTCTCATCCTCGGCTCCGTATCTATTGTCTCTCCATATTCTCTTCCCAGGGATCAGGTGTCTTGTAGTGAGTGCATTTTGCCTCGTACGGATGGATACTTTACACCATAGACCCCCGAGCATGTTCACGGCGGTCTAGGTTATACCTGTGCTTGTGCACGCCATTCCCGTTTGATCCCATACCCATCCCATATCTCATTCCATCTCATTCCCACCCGTCAAGGAACAAGGTCTCGGTCCCGCATTCGCCGTCTCTTGGAGCCTTGGTCCGCCGTTTGCTTGCCCTTTGTTCACATTCATAATACCCGCCACCCGCCCGCCCATTTCTCCTGCCAGAGAGCTCTGCCTTCTAGCCATTGCTGGGCTGGACTGAACTTGAACTTTTTCGTTTGTTTGCTTCCTCCCCACTGCCGCACAAGAAAAGAACAAGACCCCTGGTTTGGCTGTTGGCTGCGAGACCGCTCCTTCAGCTCCTTTCCACCCGCCTCTGCCCATCTACGCCTCTCTTGCTTGCGCGCGCCGCGGCTGAGGGTGACATACACACACGGCAGATCCAGTCAAGGGGCCAGACCGAGCAAGACTGAAAGACGGCTGTTCATGTTGCGTTGCCCAGCATGACGTCGAGTAAGCTGTCGGCTTCTCGCGCCTCGGTCAAATCCTCTTTTGGTCACTTCTCCTTCTCTTCTCAAACCAACCTCGTCGACCCCGTCTTGGCCAAGCCCCGCAGCAGCCAGAGGCATCATCACAGCGTATCCGAGCCCCTGCACGAACAGCAGCAACAGCATGAGCAGCGCCAAGACCAAGACCAACAACACGACCCTCAACCTGCGCTAGCAGACCCTGGTCGTCTCGACGTCAGCAGCAGTCACACGCACTCCCGCCCGCCGCCGCCTCCCGCATCCCCGAAACGATCACAGACCGACACTGTGGTCAAATCCCTCGCCACTGCTGCGAGACTCAACAGCCGAAACCTGACTTTGACCACTGAAGAGAAGGAGGACGACGAGAAGAAGCCCGTCGAGCCAGTGCTCGCTCCCTCCCGGCCCCTCAACAGCAGAAAGTCCCGGTCCTGGGGCAACCGTCTGTCTTCTCTGTTCCCCTCGCTCATAATCCAATCAACAGATCAACTCCCAGCTCAACCCCAGGCTGCCCAGCCGCAGCAACAGCTACCGATTCACCGCAAACCGCTGCCCGACCATCCTCCCGCCTCGCCCCCTTCCGACAGCCCACCCTCCTACGACACGACTGATAAATCTACCGTCCGCCCTGTGACGAGCTCGCTTCTTGGCCTTGGCATCGCTGCTCCGACTCTCGATTCCCTCGACCCTCCACCGCCTCCGCCTCCCTCAGATGCACCGCCTCTTGTGCCTGGAAAAATCGCCCACGCACCTACACATCCTCCGCCGATATCGTCCTATTCTGCCGTCCAGCACCCTCTGATCTCTCCTCCTCAACCTCCTTCACCTACTACACCAAGCATGATGGCCGCCCCTATGCCGCCGTCCGAGGCGCCTCCTCACGTGCCGGCGAAGCTGAGGAAGGACAAGGCCCTTCCGTTACCACAGACAAACCATGCCCCCCCCCGGGTCGTCTCTCAGCCCGAGACGGCGTCCCCCACGAAGCTGAGGAAGGAGGGCGTTGAGCCTAGAAAGCGAAGCAGCTCCTTCCTTGAGAACCGGGTATCGTCATTCCCCATGTTGGGTGTCCGCGCACCTTCGCCGGGTCCGGATGCGCGTGGCAGAAGTACTTCGGCGAACCCGCCTGGAGCCATGACCAATACGGGCGGCTCGCAGACCGCACCACGGAATCCTAGGTCCAACGAGAGCCAGAGCCCGACCCACGACGACAGGCGTGGACGGCTGCGCAGAAGCTGGCTGCCGGGTGGGGGAGGATCACGGTCGAACTCGCAAGACGTCACCGCGGCGAACAAGAACTTTCAGTCGTGGGTATTGTCGCCCGACACCCCTGGTGAATACAACACGTCGTTCCTGCTCAACGCGGAAAAGGTAAGCTTTTTCGGCTCATCGCGGTTGGTGCAACATCGGACGAGGTCTAACGCAACGTCAGGTCCCAGAACTGTGGAACGAGAACGGCAACGTCTACGTTTACCTTCAACCCAGAAGCAGCAACTCTGGGCCATCCTTCAAGGTCCCGGGCTTCTCCATCATCAACTCGGTCATCTTCAACGAGCTCATCCAGGCCGAAATGGCCTCGACCGGCAGGAGCAGGGCAAGGAGTTTCGGTGGCCGGGATAGCCTTTCGGTGGACGACGCGCGGGCCGGCGGCTCGCCCCCTTTGGAGGGTCAGGAGAGCCCTGGCGATCTCAAACTTTATCTCCCAGCGACGCCCCCGCAGTACACAGAGCCCGAGACCGGCCAGCTCGCCGCGCCGGGATCCCGCCTGCATGCCGACATCGACCGATTGATTTCCATTCGCAATCTGTTTGCCTTTTTGACCGGCCAGCCGCTGGTGGCCACCAGAGCGCACCCCACTACGTTCGCGGCATTCCTGCAGATCGCAAAGCTGCTCAAGGAATACGGCTTCACCAACGCAGATGGCTCTTCTTTCGGCGAGGCGGTCGATCTGAGCTTCGGCTTCTACATGGAACAACTGTCGCTTGCCGATGTCCGCCACAGCCGCGAGAAGACGCTCGAGTCTCTGATTCTCGGCGAGGCGATGAGGTCGATGGAGCTTTACAACGAGGCGTTCGCGCACGCCGTTGGCAAGTACACCGCCATCCTCGACCTGCGCTCGCCGCTCTTTGGGCAAATCTCTCACTACACCAGGCAACGCCTCGAGCGCGCACATCTGGACCTCGTGAACCGGCAGCACAACGTCAACAGCAGACTGGAGCAGTTTGAATTCCCATCGCTGTTTGCCGGCATCGCGAGCTCCACCTCGGATCCCGAGCTCAGAGCCATCCGCTTCAAGGTCTGGCAAAGGTCCTTCAACAAGATGAAGCAGTTCGTCCTGGGATACTACAAGGCCAACTTCGGTGCTTGGCCCCCGAAGGCCAGCAGCAAGAAGAACCCCTTCTCCGAGAGCGGTCTCAATCGCTTGGTGCTGAAGGCCCTCTACTCTGACATGTGCTCGCTCTACGACCTTACCGTGGACCGTGAAAACATCACCACCAGGGCAATGGATGGGGACGCCCATGAGCAGTCGGGCAAGACGACCGATTCGCCGATGGTTGTCAACCTGCGCAAGATGCTCACCGAGTTCGACAACTCGACCCCTCCCGTTCTGCCACCCATCCCCTTTGACGTTCCGAAGCTGCCCACGATGGCGACCATCCTCGCTACCTACGACTCGATGTCTGCAAAGGAGCAGGCCAAGTTCGACCGGAAGATCAAGGAACACGAGCTGACGCTTGTCATCCAAAAGGCGTACAACTGGGATACCAACAGTGTCAACATCCCGTTCCTTCTGGAGTTCAAGGATTTCGAGCTCCACGAGGCCAAGGGCAAGAGCGCGGCGGACCTCGCAGACCAGCGCATCGGTTACTGGCTCTTCCTCTACGTCGTTATTCAATCGCTCCCCATGCTCGTCATCGACGCGCCGAACCTCAAGTTCAACGAGGCCGTCGAGTACTTCCTGTGCGAGCCGCCAATGGGCAACCTGCCGTGGCTCGAGGATGCGCGCCAGGTCCGCAAGATGTGGTACGAAGTCTCGGGCGGCAACGGCTACGTCGAGCTGTCGGCAGACAGCGTCCTGTTCAGCGTGGAGGCCGTCTACCACCGCAGCCATTGCTGGCTAGCCGCCAAGGAATGGGAAGGCTTGAACGGCGCAGCGGCTCCGCCCCCACAAGACTTCGGCATGTCTCCCTTGGAACCGCCCCGACCTGTGTTCCCTGGGCCGGATGGCACACCCGCCAGCCCCTCATCCGGCACCCCGTCCGCACCAGGGTCTCCCCAGTCTCATCTCCGGCCGCGCAATGCCTCGCCTGGAGGGCGTCATCTCGGCAGCCGCAACGCGCAACGCTCCAGTATGATCTTCGGCCTCGAGCCTGTGCCCTTGGACGAGGGCCTGCCGGGCGACCGCACCTCGCTTGTTCCCAGCGCGAGAAGCAGTTCTGCAGGGTCCCGCCCGATGAGCATGGTCATGCCGCGCACGCCTTCCTCTGCAAACATGCGCAACCTGTCCGTCGACCACACCCATACCCAAGAGGCTGCCGCGACGTCGACCATGACGTTCGACGACATCCTCGGCGGCGGGGGTAAGGAGAAGAAGCCGACCAAGAAGAAGAAGGGCAAGTTCTTTTGAGCGAAGCCATGCTACTTGCCGTGCATCCACTCCGCCCCCTTGCTGTAAGGGAGCGAGAGAGCTGTATTTATACTCACTTAATCTTGCGTGTGTGTGTGTGTGTGTGTTTGGTTGCCTTTTCATTGGCTGCAGCGCGCATCTTTCTTCAAGCTTTTTGGTGCTTGTTGAGTAGGAGAATTGCATTAAAAAAAACAAGCGGGAGACAGCGATGTTTTAACGAATGTGTCTATAAGAGAAGACTGGCCAGTTGGTCCTCGTAATCTTTTTGGCCATTGAGAGGAGATTTTGTAGGCGTTGCGTGTCTGATGGATATGACACTCTGGAAAAACAAGTTGCATTAGGAGATACTTGTCTTTTCTCATAGACCACAACGGCCATCTTGCCTTAGCGGACGAAGAGTGGGGGGTTGAGGGGCGACTGAGATGGATGAATACAAGTCGCTTGTCAGATATCATGAATCCTACCTGTGGCTCCCGCTGGTGATGTGTCCTCTTGATGGACGTGTATGCTGTCCGTCCGGTGTCGGAGGAACCTCTTCGTGCTCGCTGGTCGGGATGTGTGCTGTGTGCCTCTTGTTCACAGGTGGCTGGAGGGAGGTTCGGACGTCGACGAGATGAAAGCCGTGACGAAACTTCGTCACCTCGTGCGTATGCTAGTTTCACTTATAAACATTTGATATAAAAGCAAACAGCCGTGTTTTCTCGTATTTACATGACAATCAGTCACCTCTAATCTAAATGAGGGCCCAAATGCATGTCGCCATGGAGAAGAGATGGCTTATTAACTTGTCTTTGAGAACCTCTAGTTTAACCGGAGAATTTCTTGACAGGATCCACCACGACTTGTCTTGATACCTTGGAGGAGAACACGGGTTCCAGCCACGAACTGTCGTGGAAGACCCGCCCCCCTTCGTCCTGGATTTTGGGCGTCGCAGCAACGTGGCGATGGGTTCAGTTGTTCAGCTGTTTTATCCTTTCTTGAAATTCCCCGGCCCTCTTGACATTCCCCTCGGCACTGGACTCCTCCCCGGGTCCTTCCTCGGATTCCTCGAGCGCCTTGGGCCATCTCGGCGTTCCTTTTTGCCCCCTTCCCCAAGTCCTCGAGCGCTTCAGTAGCCTTGTCGATGGAGCCCTTGGAGGCTCTGGGCCCCGTGAGGGACGTCGAGTCGCTCCTCGCGAAGAAGTGGACCAGAAATCACAACCTGGGAAACCCGAATCACCAAAGATACCCTCAGCAGGATCAGCAGAGACAGAGTGATCGAGGGGCTTATCGCGGCGGACGTGACGTTGGCGCCGACTTCACCAGGAAGGACCGCACACTGCTAGGTTTGCCGGATCGCACAACCTCAACCAATGAGTACGTCAGTGGACGCCGGATTTTATGCAATAGTGAGATTGCGTGTATTGGCTGTGGCAAGGTAGGTCACTGGCCATCTGGTTGCAAGAGCAAACCCCTTTAGCTGTGAGAGCAAGCTTACCTCAAAGCGATGGTTTTTCCATCCAACCAAGGCCGGGGGTGTAGTTGACGTACACCTAGCTCGAATCTATCTGGCTCAAGAGTCTGATGGGCAAGTCACCGCGAACCAGGACACTCTATAAAATCCGTAGGATACAGCAGACGTCATTGTTGATGTTCACGACTTTGAATGTACCCCAGCTGAAAAGGTGAATGATGTCTTGATTAGCGCGGGATGTATAGGTGAGCAAGCGGCTAAATTTAGAAAGGTTGAATGGACGGTGATGTCGGACATCGCACCTCGGCAAGGAAAGTACACTCAAAGACCTCGCCTTTCGCCTCGTACATCTTGATTATACTCACCGTACGTCAACCCTCTTCCAACCAAAACACATCAGTGCCTTTACCCAAACACAGCACGACACTGTTAGTACAAGCTTACTCCAGTCGCTCACTTCACATACATACACACATCGCAACTATGGCCATGCATAGAGAGGGGCTTCATTCCGAGGTTTATGCCCATCTGGTTGAGTATTTGGCTACCAAGGGCGCACGACACATGAATGTAGCGGCTGACATTATCGAGAAGGCTGGAAAACCCGATATTGCCACCTAGGTGAGGAGTACCTATCTCCAGATGCTTCTCATGAAGCCATTGTCCCTTCGACAGGCCAATTCTGCAGTCGAAGCGCTATTAGTGAGCGAACAAATCCCAGGTAGCGTTCGACAAAAAGCCGACAATTTCTTTGTCAGACTCTGTATCCTAATCTCGACAGAAAAGAGATGAATTCTCTTACTGGCAAGGTGGTTTCAAAGGTCTCCATCACAATTTCCCGGTAGCCGGATAGATACGTTCTCACTCGGCTTACCCTGCGCGTCTTCATGGTTGTTCTCGCCGTGAAATTGAAGCACTGCCATTCCCGAAATGAAGAGACGGCCGAGGCTACGATTGCCAAGGCTTTCAAGGTCACCGCGATGGACTAGCGCGTCAAGGGCTATGTTCAAGTATGTCAAGTCACTCCCCGGTCAGCGGAGTATGGAAGAGGCGGCCGACAGGCTCAATGGGAACTTCAGATAGTGCCACCACACACATTGCTGCTGAAAACCACTTGCATGCCCTTGTGCTCAAACTCAAGGTCATTCAACACGAGCATCTCGCCATTCCTCTTGACCGTCACATCAAGAGATTGCAGGGTATGGGTGTTGCTCTCAGTGAGAAGAGAGAGAGAGAATCCAAGGTCGAGGATTCGTCCTCATCCTCATCTCATCTTTTATCTTAGTCACATCTTTATCGTCTGCTGAGCTAGGATTAAAGCCTGTTTAACAAAGGATGAGTCTGTAGAGACCGGGCCCGAGGAATGAACATCCAACCTGCCGGACAGAAGTACTTCATTGAATCCGTTTGTGAACGGCACTCGCACATTTTATCGTAACCGAACCCCATCCCTCATGTTGTGTGTCAAGTGTGGTCGCGAGGGTCACAAGTCACCGGGGTGCGATAATCAGCCCCTATCTGCTTGGGAGAGGGCTATTTTGCGGAGCATTGCTCTCCCGTCTTCTCAGAGCTGGAACAAGGGAAAGTTTCCACCTCCAGGACAGATTGACGTCCATTCAGCGCAGATTTATCTGAACGACATAATCCAGGATGAGGTCCCTTGGGTGATCAGAGGAGGCAGAGTCCCTACAGCGGCCCCTTGGGACGTCAAATGTTTGTATTGGTACTCGTGGAACGCAGCCTAGTGGCAGAGACGCACCATAGAGTTCTTAATAACGCAGATTATGGAGCAACCAGGCGAGGCCACGCCGAACATCAACTGCTACATCGGTGCCCGCAGAAAGCCGACAAAAGCACATTGGCCGCTGATGTGGTAACCTCTCGCTTCTGCCATGTGTCGTATCCCCGCTTTGTATCACTGTTTGGCCAGCGGCCCATCTACCCAAGGATGCGTTCTCGAGATCGGAAAACAGCACGGGAGACGATAGAAGGGGGTTTGGAAGAGACGCGGGTCGAGAGAGAAGAACACAGCAACGCCTTTTTGTTTTATTCACCTTCGTTTGAAGACTTGCCCGGGGTATCGTTTGCAGAATGCCATGACCTGTGACCCCAGAGATGACCTTTTCCACCAAATCCCTTGCCTCCCAAGCTAGCTTTTGCCTAGTCCCCTTTGCCATTTGTCAAGCCAGCGTGGCCGACCGCATCTCATCCTCGAGCAAGCGCTCTGCGTGCCTTGGTCCCGGGGCACGTCCCTCCGCTCAGACGCGCTCCCGTCCGCCGCCCGCCTCCCACTTGTCCAGCAGCCCGACGCTCCACTCTTTCAACGCCCGCTCGCCCGGCGGGAGTAGCCCGCTGCTCGCCCGCAGCCCCTCGGCCGCCGCGGCGATCGCCGCCGGCGGCAGGTTGACCTCCTGCACCTCCGACGTCATCGACTCGAGCATCGCGTCGGCCTCCTCCTGCGTGATCTCTCGGTACAGCAGCTTGATGGCGGAGCGCGCGGCCCCGCCGCGCCTCGATGACGAAGCGTAGACGATGTGGCTGTTGAGGATCCACAGGTGCAGCGCGGGGGATGACGACGACGACGACGAAGACGGGAACGTCGGCACGACGACGGACTTGGACGATCCGGAGCGCGAGAGCGTGGCGGTCAGGGCGGCGGCCAGGCACTCGGAGCTGCCGGGGGCCGCCGAGGGCGACGCCGTCTGGCAGGACACCTGCCACTTGAGCAGGACGACAGACGCGATGGCGACGTTGAAGAAGCCGACGTGCGCGCCGCAACCCGCGCAGAACGCGTGGAGCATCCTCGGGGGCGGGTCGGGCCCGTCGGCCAGGACGGCCGAGCTGGTGGTGTCTGAGCTCGCGCCGCGGGACGGCGACAAAGAGAACTGGACGGGAGAGAGAGGAAACGGTAAGTAAGAAAGGAGGAAAACAGGGGGGTGGGGGGAGGGGGGGGTTAGAGGAGGCCGGCACAATATATGTCCCTTCTTGTAATCCCGGGGCTCCCACGTGCTCTGGAAGTCCCCGGTGAAAGCAGGAGGGCTGGTCTCCGACCCGAGCGTGCCGACCCCGTCCGTCCACCCCGCGAAGGGAGGCCAGAGGTTTCGGCCGCGCCCGGGAAGCCTGCGCGAGGGCAGGGACGACGGGTGGATAGTTCATCTCGGGGCGAGGTATCGGTGACCACATCACTGAGCGGCAGCAGAAGCTTGCCCGATATGGCCGCCTTCTTAGCGCCCCGTTGAGTTTCGGAGAGAGAGAGAGAGAGAAAGAAGTTGATTTTATTCTTGTTCATTTTTTCTTCCGGGGAGCAAAAGGGAGTAGAATGCGCGTGTCACAGAAATGGAAGCCGCAGCCACGGCGGGAAAGTAAAAACAACAGAAGAAGCAAAACAAAACAAAATTAAAATGCCGCTTACCTCCAGACCCGTGCAGTCGGACTCGGAAAACAGGAACGAGGTGAGGTCCACCATCCCGACGCCGGGCTGCGCCGCGATGCTCGAGTTGGCGCCGTACCCGCGCTTGGTGGCGAGGTGGTCGTGCTCCCCGTGCTCGTGGTCCGTCGGCTTGTGGCAGTGCCAGAAGTCCATCATCTCGGCCCAGTTCTCGCTCGGCAGGTCCTTCCACTCCCTCGCCCTCCCTGGGGGCACCAGCGGCGCGGCGCAGGCCCTGCACGCGACGGCGGAGCCGGGGGCCAAGTCCAGCGCCGTCCACGGCACGGGCTCGTCGTGCGGGCTGCGCGTCGTGAGCGGCGACGTGGCTGACGCGTCGACCGCCAGCGGCATACGCCATGAGATGGCGCGCGAGGCCGGCGGCGGGGCGGGCAGGGCGGCCCCGCGGGTTTGGACTCTGCCCGGAAGCGCGAACGAGGTCTGCGCGCCGGCGTGCTGGAGCTGGAGCGTCGCGCCGTCTGGCGTGATGAGGCCTCTCGTGTGACCGCCCGCGGGGGAAGGCAGGGAGACCGCGACGGAGAGCTGGCGGATGTTCGCGAGCAGCTCGGCGTATATGCTCGGCGTTTCTTGAGACGCCATCGCGGGCACGGGTTTTGCTGATGGGTGAGGAAGTTGAAGGTTGCACGTGAGCGTTGCGAGGGTGTGGATGATGAGGTCGGGTTTAAGATGTGCTGGGGGTGACGGGTGGGAGTGGGTCCCAAAGTAAGACTTAGCGCACCGCTCGCTCGAGTTCTAGCGTCTTCGGTCCGGCTCAGCGCGCCGTTGAGGCCGGATGCGGGCCCGGTAGTCACCAGGTTGATATCCTCACCACCCATCCAGGATCCGGGTCTATCACGTCGACGCCGTGGAAAGGAATTACCACGAAAACATCAGATATATCTGTGGACGTGGCATACCGTTCTGCAGAAACACGTCAGATGGCACCCCAGGACCCTCCTGTCAGCATCACGGTTCGACGGCATGCCACACCCTCACCCCGAGCGACAGCGCCAGAAAGATGATCTATGAATCGAGAGCGTCATACGATACGTTTGTCGTGGTGGCAGCGGACACGTCGAGATCCTCCAGGCCCTCAAACGTGCCTCCCATATACTCACCAAACGCCCCTTTTCCCAGTCTCAGCCACCTTGGCTGTGACCTCGGCCATGATGCCGCCGAGGTCAAAGAGGCTGCACCTGGCAACGCGGCAAAAAGGTTGACGTGTTGAAATAGAGTCAAGGAAGATGCGTCGCTTGATCAAGGGCATGGTTGCCGCGCTAGAAGCCGTAGCCAAGTAGACATCGTGCGGCGCAGCAGATAATGCAACAGTCACGCCTGCGATTTATAGCTAGAGCGAAGTCTGATGCCTGCAATACTGGGCTGACTTAGAGGTCATCTCTGTTGACTGGGGACGAGCACTTGCTTGGCGTCCTTCCCAGGCCGCCGAGCAGCAGATGAGTAATGTTTGAGCATGACAATAGGGTCATGGATTAGTGACGAAGTGTTTGTGGTAATCAGTTAGAACTGTCAGGATGGCCAATCAGACGATAACTCGCACAACAATTTAGATGGCATTTTAGTCTCTATTTCAGTGTCATACAATTGCTGGTAGCCGAAAGGACAAGCAGTAACGCTGCTCAATCAGTTAACAACAGGCCGGTTTCGTCTTCCATGTTTGCACGGAGATAGTTAATTCAAAGAGTAGGGTATGTGCACTGGAAAGTGGTTATAATGTGGTGAAGACAGCTGGAAGGGGGACGACCCCGAAAGCTCTGACCGCGCCAGCCTTGGTCGATGGTGAAGTTTGGGTACGGGATTTCACGATACTGTGTTTCTATATAGAAGCCTCATCTCGATAGCAGCGTGACGCTGAATAGGAACAAGACGTAGGGACGTTCCAGTGCACAGACCAGGCGCTTCTTCGGGTCTCACCGGCGTGCTTACCACCTCCCAAAACGGCTTAGCCCGGAAGCTCCAAGGTACCGTATCCACTCGTTAGATTCGTACACTGCACTGACCATGGGCTGCTGGATAGGGCCTAGCGGGCTGGCAGAAACAGGGATCTAGAAGTGGCAAATGTAGGGGTTAGTCAACGTCAGCAGCAAGTTTGGTGGCAAGGGTTAGGGTTAGATGGGTGGGTGTGTGGCTAGGCTGGCTGACCGCCTTTTGAATTAGGCCTAGTGGGTGGTCAGTGCAGTGTACGAATCTAACGAGTGGATACGGTACCTACCTCCACTCAGAATTCCGAATTTCACCAGCCCAGCTTTCAGAATCAACATTGCGATACGGCCCGGTTCGACAGCACTAGACGCAGGCATTTCCGCACACTCCAAGAGGACGAGGGCCTCGAACGTGAAACGTCCATTCCGCCTCGAGCTTCTTCTGAACGAGAGTCCACAGACGACCCTTCCCTTCCGGACCGCCGCAACAATGGCGACCCTCGGAGGCTACCTCAACAGTACGTTCCATCCAGCCAGCCAATGCCGCCGGCTTGCAGAATACTGACGCTCGACCCCCTCTAGAGAAAGTCCTGATAGTAACGGCGGACTCGAGAATCCTCGTGGGCACCTTGGAAGCCGCGGACCAGTCCACCAACCTCGTGAGCTCCTCCCCTCCCCAAAATACTGCTCCCTCCAACGATGATTGCTCCGAGCTAACGCACGTTCGACGCGCCAGGTCCTCAGCAACGCCCAAGAGCGGGTGATCCAGACCCCCGAGAGCGGAGAGCCCTCGGTCCAGGTCCCCCTCGGCCTCTACCTCGTCCGCGGCGACAATGTCTGCACCATCGGCCTGGTGGACGAAGCGCTAGACGACAGCATCAACTGGACCGAGGTCAAGGGCTCCGCCATTGGAGGAACCAAGCACACATAAAAACAAGCCAGCGACACCGACACGGCTTATGGATCGGAGTGGCAATTGTTTGATTGCATCACGGATGTGTTTTGTTTCTTTATTGCGAGCGGGATACCCCAGTGTTGGGAAGACGTGAGCTTTTGCCGCCGCGAGGCACGCGTGCACGCAAGAGCACAGGCACACACACACACACACACACACACACAAAACAACGGCGTTAAATATGTTTGGGTTGGTAGAGAATGATATTGGGTTCCTACGGGGTATGCGCCTGCCTTTCCTCTATTCGGAATCTGCCACCAGTCCCTCAACGCTGTTGCGCTGACACGAGCGAACGAAAGCCGCACGCACCATGTCACCCACGGGCTACTCGTTCCCGTCTTAACCAAAGATCCTCTTCATGAGATCCTGCGCAAACAGCTCCTCGCCGGGGGACTCGACCATCCTGTTGATCCTGTTGCCCCTGCCGGTGCTGAGCCAGCCGCCAGTGTCGCCAGGGACCTCGGCCAGCGTCAGGACGTCGACGCCATCGTTGGCCTCGTTGGTCTCGAGGGCTGCCTCGGTGTACTTGGCACGGGTTCTGCGGTCGATGACGCACATGCCGCGCGTCCATTGGCCGGACGTCTCGACACGGATATCTTCCGGCTCCGCAACGGGCTTCCACTTGGGGTCGGACTGGGTCAGCAGGTACCAGACGGTCAGGGGGTCGTGCAGAGAGAGGCCGGGCTCCTCGCCGTCGCCCCTCATGGATTCGATCTTCTCAAACGTCTTGGACATGAAGTGGTTGACCCATTGGCCGAGGGGGCTTCCGGCCTTCAAGATAGGCTCGACGCGCTCCGTAAAGTAATTCTTGTTGAGAAGGTGGGGCGTGGTGATGTCGAGGGGGAACAGCGTCAGCTTGAGCCTTTTTGACAGCCTGGCCGGGTAGGGGGGGAGGGTGGACTGCTTGTCCGAGATGGGCGGCATCGTCGAACGGGGCGTCGGGGAAGTCAGGGCGAATACCCTGGCGGCCGCCACGGTGTCGGCAAAGGTGTTGAACTCGCCGGCGGGGGTGATGTTGCCAGGGACGTGGACGGCGCCGCCCATGACGCAGAGCTCCTTGACACGGAGGAAAGTTTCGGGGTCCTCGGCTGCGGCGAGCGCGACGTTGGTCATCGGGCCGACGACGCAGATGGAGATGGTGTTGGGGGGGTTCTCCTTGAGGATGCGGAGGATCTCCTTGTGCGCGACCTGCTTGGCTGGGGTGAAGTACTCGGAGAAAGGCGACGGGTCGTGGTCGAGGTTCTTCTCCGTGTGGAGGAGCGACTTCCACCTCTCATCTGGTGTCAGGTGGGGGTGCTCGTCGTGGACGCCATGGAGGCCGTCGAGTCCGTCTGCAGCAAGTCAGGGTCGGCACTTGAAGGGAGGGTGGTTCCTCGGGATCGCCTTACGGAAGTAGTCGGCGGCCAGTTCGTCGTCTTCCAAGGGGTGCTCGGCGCCAACGGCTACGATGGGCTTGTAAGCCTTCAGCGCTTCAAAACCCTCGGGCTTGCCGTTCTCCCTGCGCCATGCAATCTCCTTCTCCAGGACGTGGAAGAGAGCAACAACGTTGCGTAAACAGCTATGTCGAGTTAAAATAAAACAAGTTTGAGACACCAGTGGGGCGTGGTGCGCATACCTCTGCAGCGGCACGTTGCCGTATGTGACTGAAATCATCATGACCTCGAGCTCCTCGGGAGAGGCCGAGAGGGCCAGGAGCATGGCCAGAACATCGTCGATACCTGCATGAAAAATGAGCGTCTAAAGCGCCAGTCGAACCGAATTTGAGCAAAAACGCACCGGGATCGGAATCGATGATGACGCGGTTCTTGGGAGCCATGGTTATGGTGGTTTGAGAGCAAGTCGTCTCTCGGGTCAAATGGGAGTATATTGTGAGTGTGAGAGAAAGAGGGTAACGTCACTAAACGGCTAGAGCCTAGGTAAACTTTCTCACGGGGATACGGTAGGTTTTTGACGGACTCAGGGTCCATTTTATCCACAGTAACTGCTAGCAGCAAACGGCTCTGCTGTACAGTAGGTACGCAGCCTAAAGCAAGCAGGGATTGAGCAGGCACCCGGTGTGGCCAAAAACTCGGCAGGGCGCCCTCCCGTACACTAACCGCTCCGTCACCCGCTCTCTTTGAGCTGTTCCACCGGGTTAGCTACAGCAGGTTAGCCCGGAGGGTTAGCGGCGGGAACCTGGAGTCGGAGCCCGTCGAGGTCCGACGGACTTGAATGTACAGGCATATACTACAGTACTCGGTAAGGTAAGAGGGCAAGGTTGATAAGCCGGAGAGCGGGCTCCAGCGGACCCACGCGCGAGGTACGCCTGACGGAGATGGCCGGTAGCCATCGTGTGTCTGTGCCGCCAGATCCGGCGCCGGGCTGCTGTTGCTCGAAGGCCTTCCCGTCCCTTGCCTTTGTTGCTGGCGAGTGTGTATAGATAGCCTGGTCAATGACGCACACACGCACAAAAGGGCATTGCCAGCAACCGGCGACCCCTCATCGTCAACCTCGATGGTGGGGGCGGGCAGAGTGCGAGCGATGAGAGGGCAGAGCGCTAAGCCGCTCTGAGACCTCAGCACAGATCCAATGACAGGATCTGGAGGTGGCTTTTCCCAGCTCTTATCTCTTATCGGGGAGGCGCACAGTAGGCAGTGAGTGATCTGACATGCGTCAAGGTGCAACTCTCTAGACCTCCCAGCATTAGACGAGACACGGGAGGGAGGCTTCGGGAAGTAAGAGTTTACACTATAAATTATAATACAAAAATAAAAAGAAGAGGTGAATTTGACCCTCAACAACTTTACCCTTTGTTCGAACTCTGAACCATGACGTTGAACGGGGCCCTTTCCTCCGAGACTCCCGAGACTCGTACGACAGCAGACAGAGGTGCATTGATTGTTTGGCAGCAAACCATTACCGGTAATCGACCTTTCGGGGAGGGCTCTCATTTGCTTGCACACACATAGGTACTTGCTTGTTTGCCCCAAACAACACCCCCGCCAGGATGGATCGACCAATCACCGTGGCGGCCATGGATCGCAGAAGATAATCACGTGAGACAGGCGTATCTTGCAAGCGGCACCATTTGTATCTCGCCTCCGCACGTGACCTTCTCGTCGCTCCTTCCCCAATCTTGCTTGCATGCCCGTGCTGGAGGAACCCCTTAACTCTGGGTAGAGGTGAAGCTGTCACTTTGGATGACGATGCAGGAAATTACACCACAACACGAGGAATAGCCTAATCTTCCCATCTCACCTTGGCCCGAGGGCGGACGATACGTCACCCTCGACGAACATCCCCGAAAAGTTGGTGCAATTGACTCTCCAAGTTGTTTTGCAGCGTCCAAGAGGACCGTCAATGCCTTCTTTTGCGTCTGGCAAGAGACACATCATCCACTTCCGCCATCCATCATGCCAATGCCCATGCCCATGCCGCCCTTCGCCTCTAAGCACAGCTCGGCTAGCCAGAAACGCGTCCCTCAAGGGGGGAAGGGAAGGCTGCGGCGAAAAGGACACCAGGCCCAGTACGCAATTCCCGCCCTTGTCGTCGTCGTAGTATGTATGCACGTTGGCCCTTGTGTGCGTGCAGCAGCAGTAGCTCCTTTGCGCTGGTTGGCCTTTGCATCCTTGGACGGGACGCAGGACCCTCTCCCCCCCCCCAAGGTACCTACCTACCTACCTACTTTCCCCTACCCGAGCTATTTCCCCCAACTGGTACACCGTACTGGACACTGGATCTGGACCATCGGTGCTGAGAAGCCACCTGGTAACTTTTTTTCTGCCTGTCTCACACTCTCCTTGCCAAGCTACCTTTGCATCTGAACACGACATCCAGCCCGACTTTCAACCGCGTGGTCGAAACGCCTCCATCGCCTTTCTTCCCCCTTCTCTTTTTTTCTCCGCTGCCTGCCTTTGCTTCACCATCCACCCCGAGCATCATCGCTCCGCGCCTTTCATCTCCAATTAATCCATCAATCGAGCGCCCACATCTTCTTTGCGCCCGCCCTTTCTCCGTCTCTCTACCTGTATGTCGCCGATCGGCATACTCGCCACCAAATGCTAAAGAGCCTCGGACAATTCCCACCCCCCCGTCCAGAGCTTCGACGCGACTTGAACTCTATCGCTGACTTACCGTCAATCAGGCCTCCAAACCTCCCCATATCTTCTCCATTAGTGAGCCAGCGAACGAGACAATCGTATCCCTCAAAGGAACCTGAGCTTGCGGCACTTGATCCGACAAGCTGCTGCCCGTGGCTGCACCGCACCCGCCTTATCGACACTACCCCTTAATATCTACCTCGTAGTGCTCTGCGCTACCAGCAACCACAACAATGACGGCTTCCGACTTCTTGACCACACAGACCGTGGGCGGCTACCTCGTCTGCTTTATGATTGCCGGTGGCTTCATCTACCACTACAGCAGCAAGAACAAGCCTGCGCAGGTTGCTAAGCAGGCCAAGGCATACGTCGAGCCCCGAAAGGACACCAACGCAAAGAAGCAGCGAAAGGCCGCCTTTGCTTCGAGCGCACCAAAGTCGACCACTGAGGACAAGGGCTCATCAAGCGCAGTCGAGGCCCCCAGCACATGGCTGAGCAATAACCCCAAGGATGACGTTGATAACGCCGAGTTCGCCCGGAGAATGGCCAGCATCAAGGAAGGCAAGAAGTTCGACGGCAAGTCTTCGGGAGACTCCAAGAAGAAGACCAAGTCCGTTAAGCAGTCCCGTGCTGCCGAGAAGAAGCCTGCCGAGGTGACCGAGGAGAAGGAGCCAGCTCCCGCTCCCGCTCCCGCCGTCGAGGCCGTCGAGGATGTCCAAGACAGCTCCGCTGCCGCCTCCCCCGAGGTCACGCCTGCCGACCCCAGCGGTGTCAGCGACATGCTGGAGCCTTCCGCCGGCGGCCCGTCCGTCCTTCGCCTGACCGGAACCGACAAGGAGAAGCCCAAGGCCAAGAACCAGAAGGTCCCCGAGAAGGCCGAGACCAAGAAGCAGCGCCAGAACCGCCAAAAGGCCGAGGCCAAGAAGGCCGCCCGCGAGGAGGAGGAGAAGGACCGCAGGGTCAAGCTCGAGAAGCAGCGCCGTACCGCTCGCGAGGCTGCCGGCATCCCCGCCAAGGACGGCTCTCAGTTCATGGCCGCCGTCAACGGCAACAAGTCCGCTTGGACCGCCGGCTCCCCCAACGGCGCCTCCACCAACGGCGCTCCCCCTGCCGTGCAGCCTCTCGACACTTTCGAGGCCCCGGCCAAGAACGACGCCGCCCCGGCTCAGGCCTCCAACAACTGGATCTCGTCGCTCCCCTCGGAGGAGGAGCAGATCGAGCGCCTCAAGGAGGACGACGAGTGGAACACCGTCCCTGCCAAGTCGAAGAAGGTCAAGAAGGAGAACCGCACTCCTTCTCCCGAGCCCGCCAAGGCCGCCGCCGCTCCTGCCCAGTCCCGCCCCGTCCCCCAGGCTGTCCAGAAGCCCGCGTCGAACGGCAAGCCCGCGAAGCCCGTCCAGTCCAACTTCGGATCCTTCTCCGCTCTCAGCACCGAGGAGGAGGAGGAGTGGGATGTATAAGCGGCTTCCGTCGTCGCGAACGTCCATGTCCAGGATATTCCGCCTTCAGACACGCACCCCTTAACGTGGTCACATTCTCCTCGCGTCGTCACTGTCACGTGTTATTCTAACTGTACAATACTTCTCCCTGGAGTGCGGAACCATCTAAAATGACAAATGAAAAACTTCACATGCATCCCCTTTTTCCGACATGATGGAAGGGCGCCGAACTTGCGACGATCGCGTTCCGCGAGGTGGCGGGTTCGGTCGGCAGGGCCCATGGCTTTCTATCGCGTATACACGAACACCAAAAAGATATCAGCCGTAGCACAAGGTCTGGAGTTGGGCGGGAGAGGGGACAATATCGGCCAGCGGGCTGAGTGGTTTGCACATGATTTCCTTCTTCTCGTTTCGACCCCGAGACCCGGCTATTGATTGATTGGAGCAAACGAACGGAGTGTGATGCGAGATCACGAATGTCTACGAGGAAGTTGGGCTTATCAGTCTAGGCCGGGAATTAACCAAAATGGAAAAAAAGCCTTTCCCTAGCGGAGAGCAGAATGGGTTGAATCACATGGCAAAAGGGGCCATGCATCTTTCAGTCGTTGTGTGTGTGTGTTGGCGCGGGACAGCGCTAGATACTTTCAATAGGTTTTTCTTTCCCTCAAACGTTTTTTTTTCCCCCTTTGCTTCCTCTCTCGACCATTTACCCGGCGGTGAGCCCGTTCGTCCCTTGTGAGTTGTCCATGCGCCTCCCGCTACGCTACCGGGATGGTGCCGGCGCGAGTGATGAACTAGCGATCTCCACGTTCATGCCGCTCCTGCGCGCTCTCCAGTCCCGTCTTCACGATCCCGACAGCCTCGTGCGACGTGATCGGATCGCGGGCTCGGCCAATTCGGACGCGCGTGAGAGAGAGAAGGGGGGAGGGGGGTGAGAGGGAGAAGGGGAGAGAGAGGCCCCCGTTACCCGCTCCAAATCCTCGTCCATCGCTCGCCAGCACGGGGGCTCGTCGCGTGCCCTTTGCCTACCTCTTCCCTAGCTAGGTAAGCGACTAACCAGAGCCCCCCCCCCCCCCCCTCTCGCGGCCAAGCCGGCGGCGCAGTGGACGGACTGGATTCATCATGTGGATGACAGCCCCTCCTCTCTCCCCCTCTGCCATCCGGCCTCCGGGGTGGTACCGTGAGAGTGGTTTTCTTTTTCTTTTTCTTTTTTTTTTTGGGGGGGGGGGGGGGGGGAACGAAAGGAAGAGTGAAGTAAGGTTTTTTCGGTTCGTTGACCGCCCTCCGCCCTTCCGCCTTCCGACGACGATGCGGGGCCGCGGGCTCCCGGCCCTCCGAAGCCAATGTGCACGCGCGAGGCGCGCAGCAGCAGCAGCAACGGCAACATGGGTGGTACAGTACAGTGTATAGTAGAGAATAGCACATGGCCCCGGGTGGGGGAAGCCGGGTCCGGGGCACTTGGCTGGGGCGGGGGCGGCGGGTTTGGCAGCACCCCGAGGGTATCCGAGTAGCTATTGGCGCGCGAAGGGGGGGGGGGGGGGGTTCACATGCGCAACTCGCTCATCCATGGACGGATGGACCTGCGTGTAAATCATCGGTTGCACGGAGAAGACGTGCGGAGGGGCGCGCACGACTTGTTGCATCTTCTTGCATGTAACCGAGGCGCTGGGAGGACGGTGCCTGTCGAGAAGGAGCATGGTCGAATCACGAGGAAGGGGCATTATGGAAGGGGGGTGGGGATGGCGGTTCGTTACAATGAGGGGTGCACACGCGTGCTTTTTCTACAGCGTGGGCGGGCAGCTGTGCTGTGCAGTTATCCGGAGATGTGGTGACATGTTGGGAAGGAAGGGGGTTGGGGGCTCTGCTCCGCGAGAGTGTGGATGGCTCGACTGGCCCTTGGGCGCAGCCGCGTGTTCTCGGCGCCCTTGGCCGGTCTTTCTTTTTCATTCCCTTTTTTTCCCCCTTAGCTTTTTTATTCCTTTTTTTACTTCCCCCATCTTCCTTTTCCATCTTGACGAGATGCAGCAGTGTGTGTTCGCCCGTCCTATAACCAAGATAAGTACGGAAAACATGCCGCGAGCTATTTTTACATCGTGTTCGACCCCCCAATGGCGGTCAACTTTTCCTCCCCGATGAGGTGGGTTCTGTCATCGCCGCCAAGACCCCCCCTCCCCGGAGCCCCCGTCGTGCTGCGAGCTGGTTTGTTCTGCCCTCTTTGGGGATCACGTACGGCATGTCAGCCTCAAAAGTGTAAAGCATAGGTAGAGTGGGGGAGGGTGGGGGCGTACGCAGTAGGTGACAGAGCTTCAATTCCGTTTGCGAGCTTTCCCTTCCGGGGAGGAAAGGGTTGTATGTGGCCGGATGGCGGGGGAGGGGAAAAGGGCCAGTGTGGAGGGGGCGTGGAGGTGCGATGATTGGGATGTTCACGGATCGTTGGTAATTTGATTAGTTACCAAATCTTCCCACCGAGTGCTGCATCGCCAAAATGTTCCATTGTTTGCTTTCCTAGGTTCGGTGACTGTTTTGGACCCATGCCGGCGGCACCCGGCGTGCATGGCGGGCATATCATCAACGACCCGTCACCCACAGCGGCGTCCGCGGATGATGCAATCTTTCATTTTCTTTGAGCGGGCAACCCCCCCCCCCATCGAGGATCGACGCTGAGTTTGGTTTCATTGTGCCGTTGCAGAGCTCACCCGCGGCGATCGGGGGAGGCTAAATAATGCGTTGTGTAACTAGTTTAGAGCATCGGCCCGTTGCCGATTCACTTGCTTTCGATCCCCCCCCCAGCTGACGTCCGGGTTGGTAACCTAATCAGAGGGCGGGCGGGTGTGGCGGGAGAAAGAGTTGGAGAAGATCGGCTACCTAATACCTGCACTGTTAGCCAGTAAGTCGGTAGGACTAGTGAGCATGCATGATTAACTGATAGGCTTCCAACAGGCATGATCTCCAACAAGGGAAACTCTCGGCCATGTGCGACGACGACGACTGGGCGGCCATGTGGAGGAAGTCAAGTCAGACGTCTGTCTGTCTGTCATTGGTGCCATGTCAAACGTGCCCATCAATCAGGACCGCAAGCCAGCGGGGCAATGGCATTGAGGGCTGAAAACCGGGTATCGGATGATACGGTCTCTGCCTCTCTCACACACACACTCTCTCTCTGTGTACCGGTATGTGTGTGTGTCTGGCCACGGAGCAGAGAGCCGTGCCGGCAGCGCTAAGGCGAAAAGCAAGCTGCGGTGCTGCGGTGTAAAACTCGCAAGGCGCGCGAAACGCAGAGGCGTTTGTGATCCTGTCTGGTCTCGTCTCGCAAGGCCCGTCTTGCTGCCAGTGAGACAGGGCAAGACAGGAGACCGCTCGTTCTGGAAACGCGAGCCGCAGCAGCGCAACGTCGGCGCTGTACGTGCTGCTGGGCACCCTTTCCCACGGACGCTTCAACAGAGGGGGCTTAGGCGCTGCCGCCACCGGGTCCCCCCCGGGGCGGTCGTGAGTCGTGACTAGAACAGGCGGTCACTGCGGGAGATCGGGCTGGGTGGCCGTGAGACATTAACGGCTCTGGCTGGAGCCGTGCCAGTTTTTGAGCAACACTTCTGAGGAAACTGCGGCGGCACCCGGCCTGCTGAGAAATGATGGAACAAAGTTTGAGAAATTTTCTGCTTGCACGGAATGCGCCTCTGGTTGCTCACTCAGAGTTGCGGCGTTGCTGAGTGATATGTGAGCGTGTTGTCCGTGAGCACAATCTCTTGGATGACTAGTAGAAACGGCCTAAATGTCAGTTAGGCTGTGGCTGATACTGGCGGGGGGCAAGCGTGCACGGCATAGCATGTCCAAGGCGTCCCTCCCGTTGCAGAGGCGCGACACACAGCGCGAGTAACCCAGTTTGCAGTTTATAGGACTCCATCCGGCTCCGCATTCCATCGTGGAAGTTATTGAATCATCGAGTTAACAGGTGTCCAGGATGGCGAGGTTGGCATGATAGAGTGCATGGCATTTTATCTAGTTCGAACATCGGCCTGATTCCCAATCCTGCTATGTATAGGGTAGTACCGGGGGTTGTGTTAGGTTGTTGTTAGGGGGGGGGGGGGGGGGGGGGAGGGGGGAGAAAGGGGGGTCCTGGGAGAGGGAGCATCTTCAAAGTACCCGGTACTTGGACAATCCCACTTTAGGAACTGCGTACCTAGTTAACAAGTCTTCGTAGAGAATGCATGTCCTGGGGCCTCGGTCCATTGACCTGCAACCCGTGCGCCGCGCTGACCTAAAGGGACATCGGCCAAAATCTCGCCGGGCTTGAATGTTGGCGAGGCAAGGGGCACAAGGGAAGAAGAAGACGAAGCAGATGGTGAGGAATCGAGTTGGACGAGGAATCGTTGCGGTGCACTGCAACGCACTCGGTGGGCCACGACAGCATCCGGCTCTTCAGTCTGCCAAGCATCTGCCCTCCTGGACGAAAGGCACAGCAAGCGGACCAAACAGCGCACGGCATCGGATGCAGGCACGAGGCACAGTGCTGTCAGTTGGGTTGCAGTGTCAGCATGGCGTACGGGTACAACACACGTACACACGACGTAGTCTCCTGCAGAGATGGGGTTAGGTATGTAATGGAGGCATATGTATCGCCCCATCATAAGTAGGCAGGCAGGCAAGCAGGCAAGCAGACAGGATGGAGACAAGCCACGCGGTAGCAAGATAGGTAGATTGCGAGGCATGTATGTACACACTACCTAACCTCAGACTCTCACCCACCCACCCCTGCGTCGCTACGCACTTTTGGACCTTTGGTGCGTGCAAGACTCCAGATTATGTCGCACCTAAACGGACGGGTGTAGGCCCTGCGAGTGGCTAGGTACGCGAACCATTGTCGGGGGTGTCGCGGTGCCGCGGAGTGGACCCAACCCATCTGCTTACTGTGTACTCCGTAATTCGTCGAGGGTATCGCAATCTCTGTCTGGCGGCCTCTGGCGTACGTGTAAATTGCATGGTGAAAGCCACAGTCGGGGAATTAACAAACATTATTCGGCCAAAGGCCTTCTGGAATGAGAGATTAGCCAAGGGCGATCAAATAGTTTGATTCTGAGGGGCGCCTCACCCAAGGGGTACATCATACGTACTACCAGTACGGAACCTAGTGTACGGATAGGCGTTGTAGGTATGCAGTACAATATTCCACGTTATCGGAAGAGGAAGGATGTACCTGGTACTTGTCTTCGATCCCTCCCACCTACCACCTGCCTTCCTTCCCTTTCCCATCCCTCCCCGGTCGACCCTTCCCTCTCCACTCTCAATCGTTCACCCCGGTTAGTGCGCAGAAGTTGCCATCTGGAAGGAACCCACAGATTCCCCCTCACACACACTTACAGTGCGTCTCCGCCCCGCTGGACCCTCCACTCATTGCCCCCCCCCCCCCCCCCCCCCCTTTAGTTTCGATTGATGAATGAGAGCGGACCTGGAAGAGAGAAGGAGGGAATGACAGACAACGGAGAGTGAGAACGCACCGAATTGCGCAACCCATCCTCCGCCTCCCTTTTTCAACCTACCTGCTATTCACGTCCAATTCCCCGTATTCAATTCTCTCGTCTTCTTGATTATTCTCTCCTCCCCTAATCCTCCTCTTTCATTTCTCCCTCCCACTTGTGTCTCATTTCCGCTTTTCCCTGTCTCCGAACCTCCCGGCACCGCCAACGAATCCATCGCCCGCCCTCCTTCCATGTGGTAGAGACATCCGCCTGTTGTATCCAGACGCCAACGTCGAATCCTTCACGCGACGCAAGCCTTCGTTCGGCCCGTCACCGCCATCGTCGCCCATCATCTGGTCCTCAAACTTCCCAGACCAAACCGAACCGACCCGTCTGTTCGCGCCCGCCAATCCATCCTGCGTCCAACTTCCCCAACGCCGCCATTGCGCTACGGTTCCATCAGCTTTCCTCTTTCTGTCTCACACACACACACACACACACACACACCATTACTGCATAGTACTGGACCTGGATAGGACTGCATTGCCCAGGCTGCACGGGACAGCCACTGCGTAGTTGCACCGTGTTGCTCTCACACCCCTCGAAAGCAGCGCCTTCACTCATACCCGACCTTTGAAACCTCTTCCGTCCGCCAATTCCAAACCTCGATCCTCCCAGTACCTTGGAGGGGCCGCACAGGCCAAACCACTTTTAAAGCATCCACGCCTCTATACGGAAACTGTCTTGGGCTCTGCGCCGGTGATTCACTTCAATGGCGCTTTAGACTTCCCCTCTGGAGCTGGCACGCGCTCCTTTCCCTTCCCCAAGTACCTCATCTTAGGTCTTTGGGCCACCATCGCACTCAGGGCTACTTTTAACATCCACCTTGCATGTTGCAACTGTACCTCCTCGCCATTAAAGTCCCTTTCTCCCCTCCCGCCTGGATATTCCATATATCCCGCGAACCGTTCGACACCGCCCACCGCGAAGGCCCCATCTATAGCACCCCTTCAACAACCACCACCACCAACAACAACAACCACAACACCGCCATCACTACCACCCAGTCGAACTCACACCTTCGACTTGAGCTCTGCCTTCGATGTATATGAGGACCTCCAGACGCCGCCAGCTACACGTTAGACCTTCTCCCCGCGCCGGGGTTACGGCCATACCACAAACATGTCATTACCCGTCGCCATTCAGTCGGCCATATTCTACTACCTCGCATGTACACCATGTAACGAGATGAAGGCGTTCCGGAAGGCCAAGAAGAAGGCCAAGGAAGACAGAGAGATCAAGAGGAAGATCGAAATGGAGCAGCCAGGATTGTACAGCCACCCGGACCCCTTCCATACCAACCCCTTCTGGGCCGAGGAGATGGCTGCCGGCCCGCACCTGCCCAAGAAGTCGGGAAGCAAGAATACGAGTCAGAGAGGCCTGGCGAGTGCTGGCAGGGCGAGCACGACCGCCAGTTTTGGATGTGCCAGCACCGTCGTCGATAGCACCAGTCCCGCGACACCGACAACGAGTACCGAGACGGCCCGGAAGCTGTCCGGTGACGGGTGGAACAGGGCCTTGTACCAGCGAGAGGACGAGGAGCTTTGGGGCCACAACTTCACCGGAATGGGCCACAAGCTCATGGACAACATTGCCAAGGCCGGGAACACGGCGGGGCGTTACGTCGAGGAGAAGCTGGGACTCGAGAAACCCATCACGGACGAGGACCGTGACAACTTTTACCGTACGCCCAAAAACCCACCCGTCAACGAATACCACCCGCCCATCGTAGGGAGCAAGCCCTCTCGCCCGGACGCCCTCAAGTGGATGCTGCAGCCGCCCCCGCCAGCCAAGCTCATGGAAGGCCGTGTTCCCGTCGCGAGAACCGTGAGTACTAGTACTGTCGGGAGCAGGAGGACCATGGCATCCGAAGAGCCACCCCTAGACAGAGTAGTCCGTGAAAGGGCTATTAGGAAGAAGCTGCGGCAGGGGGAGAAGCCCCGTAAGGAAGAGACGCCTTCAGAGTCGGAGTTGATCGAGTCGCTTATCGGCGGACGGTCCCGGAGGGCCACGGTCTCGAGCAGGGGTTGGTCGACCCGCAGCCGAAGTCTCTCGCTAGAGTCCGAAGTGTCTTCAGATGGCGAACTAGTGGAGCGGCGAAGGTTAGCTCGCGCCAGGCGTGTTCCCATGACCGCCGAAGAGAGTTCTTCGGATGACGACGACTTCACCCAACACCGCACCTGGGACTCGCTCGGAAAGTCGAGCCCTCAGAAGCGGCCCCAACTGGAAACGATAAACAGCTCTCGCGCCAACACTAGACAGGCGTTGAAGGCACGGCCAAACGGCACCAAGGCCGACGCCGCGTCAAAAGCCACCTCTGATATCACACCCAAGGCGTCAGCCAACCCTATCGCTACCCGCACAGCTGACGAAAACACGCCCACCACTGTCACCACTACAACGACGGTATCATGATGTTGAAAGACGCCACCGAGTCTGAGGCGCAGCATCCAACACTCTTAATGGCCCTTTTTTTCCTCTTTGGGCCATCATCCACTGCATTACTACTCCTATGGATGGGCATAGCGTTCAGGACTGGAGCATTTGCATTACTGGGAAACGGAACCGGCATCGGCGTTATGAGAGATGTGTGCAAAAGCAGCAAGCATACGGCTTTGGGTTTCTGAAATGACGGTTCTCTGTGTTTTGGTCTTTGCTTGTTGACGTTGCGTTGATGCAACAAGGGTAAACAGTATATCTGGCCCTTTCTGCTTCCATTCTTCACTTCTACGGCCTCTAACATCTGGTCCTCGCGCAGAGTCGCGATGAAACTTGTTCCCTTTCTTCTTCTTTTTTATCGTGGCATGGCTAGCAAGCAAGCAAGCAAGCAAGCAATAGTAGGAATACGAGGGTATTATCTCCTTTTTCCCGATGACCTCTTTTTTACTTTTCTTTCTTCCTCTTTTCCACTTTTGACATCCGTGGTGGATCCAAAAGTCAATGCCTCGTTTTGATTGTGAAACATGCCGTGACGGGCCCTGTCGCCCGCACTTAGAGGTGCATCCCGCCGTCCTCGTCGTCATGGCCGAGGTCCCTCATCCGCTCCTCCATGGCCCGGCGCAGCTCCTCGTCCGACAGACGGCCACCCGTGCTGCTTGCATGCGGGGTAGGCTGGGCTGGTGCGGCGTCCATCCGGATCTCGCCGTTGCGTATCGTTCCCATCTGGAAGGTGCCGTCCAACCACGCGGGGTGTGGCGAGGCTGCCGTCGTGGTGCTTGAGTTGCTCGCGGCGGCGGCGGCGGTCTGTCCCGCGATCCTCTCCTCCTCAGCCGTCGCGGCGCCGAGACCGTTCGTTGTCGTTGTCGCCTGGGCCGCAGTGCCGTTCACCCCGTTGGCATGGACGCCGGCCTGCTGCTGCTGGTGGTGGTGGTGGTGGTGGTCCGACTCGACCTCCTCCTTGCTCCGGAACTCGTTCCACGAGTGGCCGCGGCCCTCGACCTCGTCGCGGATGATTTGCAGGCGCTCTTCCATGCGGGCGATGACGGCTTCGTTCTCGCGGATGGCCTCGACGCAGTCGGGGTCGGGGCGGCCGGCGGAGGCGTCGGCGCCGTCGAGCGTCGTCGCGGCGCCCTCGGCGTAGGGCTTCAGCTGGGCGTTGGAGTAGCGCAGGTGCAGGATCGAGTTGCGGATCTCGAGGGCCTTGAGGTGCAGCGTCGGGAGGGAGAGCTCGCGCAGCGCCTCGGCGAAGCGGGCGGGGGATATCGGACTCGTGTCGGCCGACGACATGGTTGCGAGCGACGGGTTCTTGGGTGTTTTCTGCGACGGGTAGATGCCGGATGGGCGGCTGTTGGGGTTGGGCTTGTGGTTGGTGAAGGGAGGAAAAGCCGGCCGGTCAGCGGTTGTTACTTGCAGTGTGTATGGCCTGGAAATGGAAACGAATGGAAAATCAGGCTTAGGGAGCGGGCGTACGATGATGATGACGATGTCGTGTCGTGCAGTAGGCGCACGAGAGTTTGGGACTGCCTATCTGGGATAGGTAGGTAGGTAGGTAGGTACGATGTACACGCACATAGACAGATAGAGAGGTAGGCAGAAGAAGAAGGAGGGGTGGACGGCCCTGGGTAGATGCCATGCGACGTCACCGCAACCTTTCTGTCAGCTCTTTGAACCTGGGCGCGGGGTGGAAAGGTGCAATAGAATGTTCCGGGCGGTGGGGGTAGCCTTGACCGGGGGTGACCAAGGCGCACCCCTGGGCGGAGCTGCAAGCACCACAACGATTACGCGTGTAGCTGAGGTTTTTGTCTTATCGATTACGTGCCGACCTAGGTAGTTTACCTAAGAAGGTGCGTGCGGTACCTACCTGAGCCTAGGTAGGTGACGGGCGCCGCAGGGATCAAGTCACGCCCGGGCGTGTGCCGGAAGCGACCCTCGCCGACCGCCGCCCCGTTAGGCTAGCTCAGTCAAATCGAACCCAAAGAATTTACCGTCGGTCCATGACACATCTTTGGCGTCGAACCATCGCGACGACGACGCCGACGACGACGACGACGGAACGTGCCCCGAGGCACAGCGCCACCACCACTGTAGGGCGGACGCCTTTCTCCCACGAAGGAAAACAACCCTTTTTTTTATTCTCTCTCTTCTCGACTGGAGCCGGCGCATTGGTGAGCGTGTAGCTCTCCGTGCGCTGCAGCAAACCCGGCCCCCCGGCTCCAGGAGCCATGAATACCTCACTCGGCCTCGTCCCTTCGCGATCCCTCCTCCACCTCGGCCTGCGCGTTTCCAGTCGCCGCGCCGTGAGCACCAGCTGCAGCGTCTCCGTGGCCGCCGCCGCGTCCCGACTCCTCTCCGCATGCACGACCCTCCGCAAACCCGTCTCCAGCAGGCCACACGCGCCATGGCCGACGCTCCGCCAAACCCAATGGCCCTCCCCGGGCCTCGCCGCGACGTCTAACCTCCCGGCACGGAGATGGGTCTCCTCCTCCTCCTCCTCCTCCTCCTCCTCGCCCAAGCCCGATGCCAAGAACGAACCCAAGAAGGACGAGCCCATCCTCCGAGACTACGTCGATCTCCCGCTGGACTACAAGGACAAGATCGGCCTGCGCTTCCGCGCCACCGACCTCTCCCCCGCCGAGACCAAGGCCGTCTTCGGCCCCTCCATCAAGGCCGCCGCCGCGAACCGCCTGCTGCGCATCATGCACGGCCGCCGCGTCGCCGGCACCCTCGACGACCCGGCCTTCGCCGTGAACACGGCCGCCTTCACGCCGCAGCAGCGCGACACCGCCCTCGCGTACCTCCGCAAGACCGTCCCGGTCGACGAGGTCCTCAACGCCGGCCTACGCGCCGAGGACGAGCTCGCCGCGCTGGAGGAGGAGCTGGCCGAGCGCGCCGACGAGGACTCCTCCCTCAAACACGACGACGCCGAAAGCGCGGCCCGCAAGGGGGGCTACGAGGCGGACCCGGTGTACGGCTACAGCGCCCTCGACGCGATCCGCGCCAAGAACCAGGCCAGGGCCGCCGAGGAGGAGGAGGAGGAGAAGCAGCGGCTCGCCGAGGAGGCCGAGCAGAAGGACAAGGGCGTCGAGGGCGCGGGCGGCGGCGCCCTGGCGACCCTGGGCGTCAAGCGCCCGCCCATGAGCCCGCGCATGCAGCGGTGGACCGAGGAGGCGACGTCGGACCTCGCGGCCCCGCCGCCGCTGACGCTCGCCGAGCGGCTTCTCCCCTCGGTCGCCGGCGTCCTGCTGCTGGTCGGTGCGCTCTCGGCCCTCGCCATGGTCTACACGCCGCCCCGCGACGCCGACCGGCTGTTCCCCGAGGTCTCGGCCTCGACGGCGACGGTCGGCGCCCTCATCGGCCTCAACGCGCTCGTGTCGCTCGCGTGGCGCGTGCCGCCGCTGTGGCGCTTCCTGAACCGCTACTTCGTGCTGGTGCACGGCATGCCGCGCGCCGTCACCATGCTCACGGCCAACTTCTCCCACTCGTCGCTCGGCCACCTGGCCACCAACATGGTCGGGCTGTGGTTCGTCGGCACCGCGCTGCACGACGAGGTCGGCCGCGCCAACTTCCTGGCCATCTACCTCGCCTCCGGCGCCGTCGGCCTGCTCGCCAGCCTGACCGTCTTCACGCTGCGCGGCCTGCTGACCGTCTCCACCGTCGGCGCGTCGGGCGCCGTCTTCGGCGCCACGACGGCCTACTTCTGGATGCACCGCTTCGACTCCTTCAAGGTGCTCGGCATGCCGCCGGACCCCATGAACGGCCCGCAGGGCCTCGGCTTCATCGCCCTGATCCTCGGCTTCCACGTCTACGCCTTGTTCCGCCGCGGCCGCCAGACCATCGACCTGACGTCCCACCTGTTCGGCATGCTGGCGGGCCTGGTCGGCATCGAGCTCGTGACGCGGAAGGAGGAGGTGTCGAGGGAGGACGGGCTGAAGGGGAAGAGGGAGGACCTCGTGAAGGACGCGCTGCCCCACGAGGGCCGTGGCGACGACAAGGCGTGATCTGGTGTGCCTGGGAGGGGGAGGTGGAGATTTGCTCTCTGCGGGAGGGAGACACGTGTAGTATAGCGAGTTTATTGGAGCAGCCCGACTCGGGCGACGAAGAGCCTTGTGAAGGAAGAAATCTTTAGACTCTTTCTTGTACGTTATAAAATGGATGGCATTTGAATACCAACCTCAGTTCCCCATGTTATTCGCACCGACGAGCCGGAAAACGCCACGACATCATAGGGGCCCAACCCTCTTCCCTCCCCTTCTCCCGCTCAAAAGTCACCCAAACTCAGTCAACTTCAGTCACGTTTTGCCCTGCCACTTCAGCGCGTATCAGGCCCCGCCTAGTTTGCGGTTTTTCTCCTCGTACATCAAACTCCAAAGTGCCGGGTCAACCGGGCCCTCAAGCTAACTTCCCTTTGCAGCCCAGCGGGAGCATTTCCCCCGCGCTGCAAAGGTCATCGTGTCAAGGTTTGGTTGTTTGTTTGCTTCGGTCGGACCCGGTAGCAGCAGATCCTAGATCCAAACCACACGCCCGCTGACATTCCCGCCTGCGAGTATCCCGAAATCGCCAACGGGGAGAAGTGCCGATCCGCAGATGTTTTAGCTTGGGCCTCGGCGTTACCTGGCGAGGACGGCTCTCTCTCTCTCTCTCTCTCTCTCTTTGAACGAACGTGAACGTAGAAACACACAATCTCTCGGTCACGAGCGAATTGACGCATGCGTTCTATAGGATGCTCACAAGTCTCAACAGACTGCCCCCCACCCCTATTTGCCCGCCTTTCTCTGAATTTCACCTTTGGTGAACAGACTTTGATATACGAGCTCGGCAGACGAGACAAGTGACGGATTTCTTGCTGGCAGCCACATGGATTGCAGGCCCCGGGTCTGAGGATGGAAGAGTGGTCGATGAGGATGAGTTGAGAATGAGATGGAGATGGAACGAGGATGAGGATGAGGATAAGGATGGAGATACACTGTAAGTGTGTAAGGGAGTGAGAGAGAAAGAGACGTGGGTGTAGGACGGGCTGGGGGGGAATCCGCATCGAGGCCTAGCCAAGGTCGTTCATCAGATCAAGATGCGTCGCACTTCTCGTCACTCGGTAGGTCAAGATGGGGGGCAAGGCATCAGGTGAACGAGTCATTCGAGTCCAACAGCCAGCCGTCGAACAGAGTTCCGTGCTCATTGCAACTCCATACGGGATTGTGTCCCTGGGGGGGAAGGCGTCAATTACTTCCGTCTCTTCCGACCAAGCGGCTCTCGTGGAAACCTTCCACCGGTGAGTTTGGACATTGTCCATCCACATCAACTATAGGCTAAGCGTTCTACATGCGGCAGCGTGGCCTACTCGCCCGAAGCCAGAGGGACCGTATATCGGGGAGCTTAGTCTCGACCGCCGCCTCCCCCCCCCTTGGCATTCCGTCCTACGCACCAGGCTCCATGCAAATCCTCCCTGACATGCTCGCAGCCGCCCCTCGTCGACCTTGAGCCGCCTAGCGGGCTGCGTACCAAGCGCGTCTGTCTCCCTGCGCATCCGACCTCTCGCTCAGACGTACGTCGCGCAGCTAGCGTATCGGGCTATCACGATGCGGGGGTGGTGTAGTTCCTTTTGTTCTCCCAAGACAACTGTCTCATTCGCAGGCCCGGCGCAGGTCCCGCCAAGAAGTGCGGCGGCGTGGGCCACGCACTCGAGCGGGGATGCTCTATTGACGGCCACGTTGCTTTTTTTTTGCTTTCTTTTTTCTTTTTTCTCCGACGTTCGACATGCGGAGCGATACAGTTCATTTGCCGATCCCCTGTTTAGGTCTTGCGGAATCTCCCCGGCGGTATACTACTCATGCAAGATGCGGAGATCGCCGGTCTGCCGGAGCCAGGTTCGCGGCCTGGGACGCCATCCCTCTTCTGAATATCCATGCTTTTTCGGAAAGTGTCTTTTCTTCCAAGCAAACCGAGACTTCCATTCTGTGGGTAACAACAGCCCCCCCCCCCCCCCCCCCTCCCCGCCGCCGGAGTGTTCATTAATTCGACACGATCCCTGGGGTCTGGTCGAACGTGCTCGGAAGCCGCGGAATGGTTTCCCGCCTCTCGTGGCTGGAATACCGCTTGCTACGCTGCTTCGGCCAGGGATCATGACCGCCGCGAACCCCAAGACGACCGACCGACCGCGCTCGCTGTCCGGCTACGATCTACGGGCTCGTCGGAGAGGAGCCAAACGATGTCATCGAAGGGATGGGGGTCGTGTGTCACTGTTAGTAGGTGGCACAAGAAAAGGACAGAGCAGAGGAGGGCTGGCAGGGTTCCAAAGTACAATCCGGCAAACCACTGTCCCAAGCCAGCGGTCGACGCGGGTATGGCACCCGTGGCTTGCCCGATTTGCAATCGTACCGGAACGGTCGGTGCCCCTAGCCAAAGCCGCCGCCATCCGTTGCACTAGGAGGCGTCAAACGTAAGGTCCGCCCTCCCCAACGGCCGCCGGGGGGCTTCTCGAGAAGGACGGTCCTGCTGCGGCCCTTCGGCGACGACGTCAGGACCATGCCGGCACTGGTCCGTAAGTTGGCCGGCAACAACGTCGTCCCGGCGTGTACCGGCCGTCGAAAGCCTCCCTCCTGGATGCTGCGTCAGGGGATCGAAATGGTAAAAGAAAGCAGAGTACCCGTGGGGGGAGCGCCTCTGCAAGCCATTCCCGAACTCGAGCCAGGGATATCAGAATTGTCCTGGAGGCAGCGGCCAAGAGGCTGGCCCGCAGCCACGCGCCTATGGAGAACTATTGAATCCGCTGGGTACTCCCCCCCCTTCCACTCCATATATAGTAACCGGGGGCTCCGTTTGCTCCGCATCGGTCGAGGCTGAGCCGATGGCTGCCGACGCTTTCGCCGCTTCCATACCGGGCTACCTACTCTCGTGTGCACGATTTCTTCATAATAAAACTCAGAGACAGCTTCTGGATGCGAACGGCATGCTTTTTCCCACGAGTGTAATCACTTGCAAGTGGCCTGTTATCCAAAGGCAATACTTGGCTAGATGGGGGGGGTGTGAGATAACCAAACCGCTGCGAGGTGAAGCCTCGCTGTGTTCGATATAACATGGCCTCGGGCTGATGTAGCATTACTGTGTGGCGGGTGTCGTATCATAAGACAGCGTTCCTTCGAAGATGCGGCGCAACCGGGTGAGAATAATATCATGCCTCGTACGCAGGATCCGGGCCGGCAACGGGTGTCCGTAGGGACGAGAATCACGCTTGTTTACAGAAATGCACATCCTTAGGAAGCCCTATCGGCGGCTGGAAGTGATGCAAGCAAGCCACGGGGCCCAACAGAACACTTACGCGATGCCGCTGGCTCTCTCCCCCAAACTCGTGGTTTGGCAGATATCCAGTGTGATGCAATGCAAAAGGTCCCAGCGGTTGCGATTCGCCGCCTCGCGGTCTCTTTGCACAAAAGAGCACGGAGACCGGGCCAGGCACTTTGCCTCCTCCCTACCCATCTCCGTGTGAGACCTACCTTGTCGAACGAACTAGACCGGGATATCATCGGCACGTCTACACCGAGCCGGAGGGGATTCGCAATTGCAACACGAGACGCGGCGGAACAAGAAGCTGCGGGCTGCCTTCGTCTCCTTGCCGGCACGTTTCGACAGAGTTCGACAGCCATCTGACGCGAGAGACGGTTGTTCATTTCTCAGATGGTGATCGAAATTGCGACTTGCCGACGAGCGCCCGCCGGAAAGTGCAGAGCGGCGTTCGGGACATGCGTGGGCCGGGGAAGCAAGATGACGAACGACCACACCACTCCGGCTTGGTTCCCTCAAATTGGCAGACGCCCAGTTCTTGGGCGCGACGGACGGCTGCGCTGAGCACCCCCTCCCCCCTCCCCCCCAAGTCTTGCACCAATGGTGAGTCGCAATCTTGTGGCAGAATGCAGCCTGGACGCCAGGCGACGTCAAAGACGCACGCCGCACGCGGGCTGCTACCCTGGAGTCGCATCGCGAATGGAGGCTGCTGGAGCCGCGAAATGAGAGTCGGTGCTAGTGCAGGATTCGCTGGAGACGTGATCTCGCCCCCCCCTCCTCCTCGTCGTTCCGATAGATTGGTCGCAGGCGGTTCTTTTGGTTCGCCAAATGACGGTTCCAATGTCTGGTGCAACGCTTCCCAGGGCTGGACGACCCCCCCCCCCCCCCCCGAGGGCGTTGCCGCCGCGGTGGCTATTTTTGGGCAAACTTTGCAGCTTTAGGGCCGCGGGTGCCGCATTTCGAAAGGGAATGGAAGATTCGCTGACGATGCGAATGCAACCTACGTCGGATCAGAGGGCTGAACTGCATCTGTTTGCACATCACAAGGCGTATGTTGTCTGCCCTCTCTCCTCCCCGCAGGCCGTTCAAGTTGTGTGGGGGTTTCGGCCGGCCTGGCGGTTCTACGAGGCCTTGAGAGTTTCGACCCCTTTCTTTTCTTCTCTTACCGCGTGTAGCGTTCGGCTTCGCTGTACAGAGTGAGCATGACTAGGCTTGTGAAATTGCAGCACGGGACTTGGCCGCTGAGGCGTGTTCTGTGGAGGACGAAGAAGGCGATATCGTCGCGTTGGCGGCGAGCCAACGACAATGTGCGAGAGGCCGCAAAGGGCAAGGCCCACGGCTCGAAGCAGACATGATTACCCATGGGGGCGAGTTGATGTGGACGGTTCCCAATCGAATCGGACCCCTCATATCTCGAACCGAGGGGGTGGTGGGCTCACTCACTCAGTATGGATATCTCTCTGGCGTCTCGAAATTGCCGGCTCCCTTTTTGGAACGGAACGCTACTCGATTGAGCAGTCCCACCTGTGTATGTGTGTGTGTGCGTGTGCGTGAGTGTGAGCCTTGTGCTACTTACACAATGACTCGCCAGCGGATACTTTCCGAGCTGGGACTGGTGAAGGCGACGAGCCATGATGGAGATGCAGGCGCGACTCGAGTTGTTTGTCTCTACGCCGTCGGCCCATGTCTCCCGACGCCGGCGACGATCCCGAGCGCGACGTACTCGGCTCGGTGCAAATTGATACGACGGTAGGAGTGAAGGGCTTGCCACGGGTGTGGTCCGGCGTCGCAACAGCCGGGCGGCGCAGCTTCTTTGACAATGCCACGAATCTTGACGCGTGTATGTATCAGGCAGTGAAAGAAGAGGAATGCAAAAGGAAAGGATAGAGAGAGAGTGTGTGTGTACATAGTATGTGTGTGTGTTTGGAGGGTATCCCCCGCAAGACCCTTCGCACCCATGAAGCACCAGCAGGCACCATCTTTTGGACCCGCCAGGACCCTTGCAAGGGCAGAGGACTTGGTGCTGAGGATCCTGTCCTTCTCCAACATTCTCGTCTTTCCGTTGTGGGATGCACCAACGGCGAGGCCTGTCGCCTCGGGCATTCCGTCTAGGTGGGATGTTCCTCTGGGCAGGAGTGGGGAAGAGGGAAGAAGAGAGCCGGCTCGAGGTTCTTCTGGCGACGGAGTGTCGTCGAGGCGAGGCGATCGGAGGAGGAAACACGATCACCAGTGGGCTGTATGGAACCATCCGAACCTGCGGTGTAAGGAGTTCGTCCGTTCTTTGGCCTTTGCTGGAACGAACGAACGAACGAACCCCTGCCCGGGGCGATGACCCCACGGACTCGGATTTGCGAGAGCGGTCAACTTTTTGGGCCCGGCAGGTTCCAGGCTGTCCAAACAATCTGGACCAATAGCCAGAGCTTTTAGTCATATATGATGCGACGGACGGTGGAGGTCTCATGCCGGTCCGGTGCTGGTGCCTTTGCTGGGGAGCATGGGGGTTCAAGAGAGGGAATGGAAGGGTGCATGTCCAACTCTCCGGGGTCGAGTACCGGGGTTATGGAGGAGGAGGAGGAGGAGGTGAATCGACAGTCCCGGGCTCTTCGGCTTCTACTAGGGAAACGTAATAGGCGAGGGGTGAGGCGAAGGCTGTTGTCGCGGTGAAGGCGAGAAGAATGGATGGATATCGAAGCTAGCGACAGGTTGCAATCCGGGCAGAGCGGAGACGATGGACGGGGTGGGAAAGAAGCAGAGAAGGCTTCCAGAACAAATCACAACAATGTGAGAATGAATGGCCGCAGGGATGTGTCTTTGTGTCCGAGTCGTGCTCTCTCTCCCTCCCTCCTCTGGCGCCATGGCTGGGAGGGAGGCCTGGTAAATGCCCATCATCTCGAGCCGAGCCCAGTGCCAACCCTTCGTACCAGGCGACTGATTGATGTACATTGTATGAAGATTACCGAGACATCTGGTACACCTGATTAAACTGATTCCCCGGTGGGATAGAGACAAGGTGACGCTCAACGAGAGCTGCATAATGTTTAATCACTGCCCCCCCCTCTCCCCCCGTTTCGGGAATCGCCGTCGTAGCAGATAGTGTGCTGTCTGTTCCCACAGGGGGCTCAGCGGTTATGCCTTTTCGATCGATGTTACTCCGTACGGTTGCTGTTATGCAGCCCAGTGGCATATATCTTGTATACTACGCGCGTCCGGGCCTGGCGCCAACGGCACGTTCAGTGATGCTGCCTTGCAAAACGGCGTCAATTGTCATAAGATCTGCATTATAGCAGCACCCCCCCTATTCCTCGCAGTTCCCCCTTCGAGTCGAGGCACTAGGTATTAGCACTCCGTACGGGTTGGGCGAAATGCGGCACGAGTCGTGAAAAGAGGCGTCGACTTGACGGGAAAAGTGGGATTGGGGGGGGGGGGGGGGGGGATCGCACAGGCGAAATAAGGCGACGGGACACAGACCTATTAGACTCTGATGGGATTTTGTGCCGTTGCTGGAGTCTCTTCCAGCCCTTACTGACCCATCATCGTCGATGTGCCGAACTCCGCGGGAAGGGGATTGCAAATCTTATACTCACATGGCAGTAGTGCAGACTGGTCTACGTGCCGATTCCTACCTGCGGCGGTCCTCTCCGTGGAGCATCGTATCAGACTAGCCATCCTCTTGGAATGACGGTCGCTCCAAGACCTGAAGCGACGTGCCGATCGGTACGCATGAGGCAAAAGAGAGCGGTCTAGTGTATTACGTGCGACTTCTGTCAAGGCAATGGATTTATGGTTATGTTTTTTTTGCTGCCCACCCCCCCCGGTATGCCAAGGAGAGAGGCCTCGTGGTGATGCTGGCGAGAGGAATCACCCAAGCTCCCGCCCCGAGGTTTTGTCGGAGGTACTTCCCTCGAAGGAGATAGAAGAAGAAGAAGAAGAGGGCGTTCCAGCTCCTAGATGTGACTGACGTACATCGGTAGGGGGCGGCCCAGGGCGATCACGGAGGAGGAGTCGTGGAAGGGCGTTGGAAGCTTGAGTCTCTACTGCGTAGAATAGGTCTCCCTCTCTCTCCCTCTCTCTCAGTCCACTTTCGTCTATCCAATGTTTCGAGTATTTCTTATCATGATTTGCCTTACGTCCGTAGGCGCGAGCGCGCGCAGGCAGAGTGTGCGCGCGGGGGCCGGCTTCGGTTCCTCGCAGCGAGCGGTCCAACGTCGCGTGCAAGGGTCGTCCCGGGTAAATTACCTTTTTTTTTTTTTTTTTGCTTCTCCTTTTCCTTGTGCGGCGTCGTCCCGTCCGCGCTAGGGAAAAAAAAAAAGCAAGGAACAGAATGGGCCGAGAGGAAAACACAAAAGCTTCTTGTGTTTCCCGGGGCGGATCAGGAACTCGAGCTTCACCCGAACCCGGCGTGTGGAAACCTACTTTGTCCAAGGATACACCTACTTGATCCCGTTTTCGCGGCCAGCGTCAGTGGTCCGACAAGTTTGTTAAACCGAAAGAGTTTGAGCCCGAAGGACCGTGTCCGTGTCCGACGTACGATGATGCTTGTCTGCTAAGTCCCAGCGGCGGGCCGTCGGAGGCACGAAGCTGGGCCTTCCCTCCCTCAACTCGACTCTCATCTCGAACCTCTCGGCTCGACTCTTGTCTTCTCGTTGCTTCCTCGTGTGACCACTGACCACCCTTCGAGCCGGCTGGGCCAAGATGAACGAATGCCGGGGGGGGAGCCCCAACGCGAGTGCCATTGGCCGAACGTCCGCTGCCAAGGGGATGCGTGGAATTGGCCGCCCCAAAAGGCCCAACGTTGCAGCGCGGCATCCGGGACTGAGCTTTGTATGTGTGTATGCATTGACTGCACTGCTGTTTAGGTGATATTCAGGCACCAAAGCAGGGGCGACAGGGGGGGGGAGCTCATATAAGCTATATTACATAGAGTACGAAAACATGCCATGTTCTTCCTCGTCTTGTTATTCGACGGGAAAACGAGAGAGGCGGCTACGAGAGCAGGGAGGGGAATGTCAGTCGGCGGTGCATGCATGTCACTTTTTGTGTAGCCACACACACACACACACGACGCCCTCGAGCGGAAATGGGCCAACGGGCAAGGCTGGACATGCGGCGGCACAGAACAGCTGTGCCACCAGGCACGCGAGGGCTTGTTGTGACACACGCCCGCCCGGCCTTTGCCTCGCAGCATGTTTGCCTGTCTGCCCGCCCGCCCGCAGTTCGCGCCCGTCGGTCTAGAAGGGCTACAGAACTGGTGAAGAATAGCTTCCTCGCGATTCTGCCGGCGCCCGCTTCATAAAGCCCGAGACGGGCGTTCTGTTGCGGCCGGCGATGTTGGCAGAGGGTGGGGAGGAGGAGGAGGAGGAGGAGGAGGAGGAGGGAGGAAACGAACAGTTAGTTAGCTACTGATCCAGGTACGGATGGATGCCACGGCCTAGCATTACACTGCTTGCCGTCGTGACACTGGCCCAGCACTTGTTTTGTTGCTCAACCATGGGCGGCTGCTATCTCCTACATGAGCTCGTTGGAAATGCTCCCCCAGACCCCAAACCGCCATGCTTCATGATCGTTCCGTCGCATTGCCACGCCCACTGTGTTGGTGATCAACATTACCGATACCCTTCTCGAGAGTCCACGCCGGTTGGAGTCCTTTTTTGGGCAAATTGAGCCATGCTTCGCCCATCTCACCTATAGTGCTGTCTGTACCTTACTTGACGCCACCAAAGCATCCGTACTACGTTCACTATTCGCCGCTATTCTCCGGTCCCATGCCCACTTCTCCCTCCCCTGCACTTTTGACCCTCGTCTGTCTGCACTTTGACCCTCCTCTGCACAAGTGGATCCGGAACCAACAGAGAGACCATCCCTCATCCAGAAGCTTGCAGGGAGTCCCGGACGATGCCTGGGGGGTGTGGCCCAGCTCAGCACTAGGTAATATGTACTATGTATACGGGCGACGCATCGTTGCAGTCGGCGGAGACGGGGGACGGCACTCTTTGGGGTATGGGCGAGGAGGCAGGATTAATGTTGATTGGGGGGGGGGGGCGGCGGATGCCCCAAGGGGCCCAGGTACTACGTACAGCAGAGTAAGCCGCGAATGATGGCCGTTGTTCGTCGTGCTCGCACTGCACCGGCGCGCGTACCAGGTGTGATGGGCTGCGCGCCAAGGGGCCCATCACCGTGGTCACCATCGAGTCGCGGGCGTGGACCGGGGGGGAGGAGGGCAGACATGGGCATAGCCAGCGTGGGTCGGCATAAGCTCATAAGTTTCCTTGACGACACGGATCCGGACGCAGCTGAGTCTGAGCCTGTCTCGCCCTGCCCGTCTTCTTTTTTATCATCCTCAGCAGAATCATCATCATCATCATCTTCTTCAACACTGTCATCATCCGGTCCCCCGTTGCGTACCCTCTGATCGACAGCTGCGACGAAAACGACGACCAGATCGGCGGCGACCCCTCCACAACCGCCGGTTTTCTTCTCAAAAGTCATATCTGCCTTTTGGCCTGCTAGCTAGCTCGTCATCGTCGACCGGCCCGACAGCCACAGGAGTAACGGCGGCAACGGTACTAGCACAAACACAAGCACAAGCACAAGCACAGACACAGACACAGACACAGGCACAGACGCAGGCACTGGTACTGGCACAAGCAGCGGCAACGGCAACGACAGCGACGATGGCGCCCATGACCAATGCCAATAGTTTCCTCAGCCTAGGCAGCGGCGGCGGCGACGACGACGACGCTAGTAGCCACTGCCAGATGACGACAATGACGGGGACGGCTGCCTTTAGACGAACCAGCGAGGATAGCGTGGACCGGTCTCACGGGCTCTGGGACTATTTCCATCATGGGTTCGACGGGAACAGCAGTCCCGAACTGCACCAGTTTCCCCAGCATCAGCATCAGCATCAGCATCAGCGGCAGCGGCAGCGGCGACAACAGGCGCATCAACCAAAACCAAAACCACAGCGACAGCAGCAGCAGCAGCAGCAGCAACAACAACACAAGCTGCGGGTGCAGCATCAACAGCAGCACCGGTCACCCTCGCCATCATCCTACCTCAGCCTCTACCTGCGGCCCAAGTCTTCCAGGAGCCACCAATCCCTCAATGTCCCGCAGACGAGCTCCGAGCCGGGGACAACGGGGAGCCAGACCGCGGCCGGGCCAGCGAGCTCGTGCACTTGGCCATTGAGCATCAAGAGCCACGAGAAGAAGGGCAGCAGCGGCAGCAGCAAGACGGCGGTGACGACAGCGACGACGACGACGACGACGACGACGATACACAACATGCGAGAGACGCTGTCCTCGGCCGGGTCGTCGACGATCGTGGCCCCGCCGCCCGTATCACCGTCGACGGGGTCCCTTGGCGCCGAGATGACGAAGCAGGAATTCGAGGCTCTGCCAGAGGCCATTCAGCGAAAGGTGAGCGAGACAGATTTTTTTTTCTTTTTTTTTTTTCTTTTCTTCTAGTTGTTGCGTGTTTCGTCATTCATCAGTCACATTCAGACACACTCCGATCTTGCCTGTATTTGGTGGTTCCTCTCCGAGCCGTTCTTCTGCGTGATCCCTTTTCCCAGTCCATTGGTGTTTTTCTTTTTTCTTTCTTCTTCTTCTTCTTCTTCGGGAATCCTTTCTTTCTTTTCTGTTTCCTCGGGGTCTCATGCGCCGGGCCTCTGTGCGACGATCCCGCAAATCTCAATTGCCGGGTCGTCGGCTTGGCGCAGCCTCCTCACCTCCCCCCTTCTCTGCCCCCTCCGGTCAAGGGACCGAGAACCACGCCGTCGAGGGCTTTTTGGGAAATATTTTCTTTGTTTTGTTTCCGAGACCCGGCAGCTCCAGGGCAAGGGCGCAAATCTGTCTGGAAGACGGTGTCAAGGACACTTGATGCAAATGGGCGCGGGTCGGCCAGCATAAGGCTCACGGTGATGACATGGGCTGTGTGGGTGAGCAAGATGAGATGAATTGAGAGGGAGGCTTGGTTTGGTTGCGACAAGCTCACGCCCTCTCACTCACTCACTCTCTCACTCACTCTCTCTCTCTCACTCACTCTCACTCACTCACTCTCTCTCTCACTCACTCTCTCACTCACTCTCTCACTCACTCTCTCTCTCTCACACACACACACACACACACACACACACACACACGCACTCTCACACACACTCTCATCCTCCTCCACCCACCGAGCCGCCGGAAGGGGCCCCAGATCCAGGGGCCACCCCTCCAACGAGTCCCTGACTCAACCCAGGGGTCTGCACAGCTGCAGCAGGGGTTGGTCAGGTACCTGTCAACGCGAACCGGCTCGCCGAAGGGGCTTGTTCAGGACTGCGTGCGCCACTGGCTCAGTGGCTCTTCACTGTCAGAGGCTTGGGGCTGCTGTCATGCTCTGCCCCGTCCCTCCCATTCCGGCCGCCCGCCCGCCCGCACGCACGCACATGCTGTCCCGCCCCCTTCGAAGCTCACCATAATCTATCGTCACATCCAACCAACACCCAGCAACTTGCTTCAAACCCTCTCTTTCTCCCTCACTGTCCCCCCCCACTCCATGCATCTACCTGTATGCCAATCTCGTCCCGTCTGGGGGGCCAGTCAGCATTGGCCAATCTCGGATCAGGCCCGACAAGCGGGCGCGAGTGGCCTTCTCTCGTTCATGCTTCCTCTCCGCCCGCTCATGCACATGCACCGCAGGCAGCTGCCAAAGACCTCGTCTGCGTATGCGCCGCGCAAAAGACGCGGACGGGGACGGGCGATTGGCCGGCGACCATGTCAGCTTTTTTTTGGTGGCGGAGGGGCCGAGAGAGGTGTCATCGCGACCTTGCATCGGGCGAATGGCAACGTGTCGACGACGACACGGACTCGCCAGAGTATCATCGTCGACAACAACAACAACAATAACAACAGCGAGCCCGGTCTCATCCCGTCTCTTGGTTTCGGACGTGGTTTGGCCATTTCTACCTTGCATCATCCGTCAACTCTCATCCCTCATCCCTCCCCAACCACACACCTCTCACATCTCACTTGCCGCGTCCTCGTCCCAACATGCGACGCAAGCATACACACACACACACACACACACACACACACACACACACACACACCACACACACAACAGACACAAACACATACACACGTCTCCCCCCCGGGGGTCAACCGTGATCGGCCATCAATATTCTCCCGCCCCCAAGACCGTACGACATGTCTCACTCCACACATGCAGAATCTGGCCCGACCATCTCCGTCGTGTCTCTGTGTGCTTGTTCCCTCCTCGTTCCTGTCCCCCTCCCCGTCCCCACTCCTCGCTGCAGCAGCGGCGGGCCTCTTGGTTCGGGCACCGCCGGGTACATCTCAATTCCCACATTCCATGGAACCCCCCGGGCCGCCAAGTGGTGTCGCCGGCCAAGGGGAAACCCGAGCTAGGCCGCATACGCCGTTGGTGTCTCTAGTCTCTAGTGCTGCGTGGACTCGTCGACCTGTACCTGGCCCTGTCTTGGTTGTCTCTGCCCGTCTGTCTTGTCTCTCTCGTCCTGCCTGTATCGCCGTTGCCCCCCCAGGCCTGCACAAGTCAGTCTATGTGGCACCCGCACCCGCACTGATGCTGGGCCCGGCGAGCCCTGTTGCACTGACCTGACTTAACATGCACCGCGGACTCGTTCTCATTCCCACACACGTCCGACCCATTAGTTCCTACTCGTCGTCTCTGCACCAGCCACCCGCTGGCCCCGTCTCGTTCGACGGCACACGGCTTGTGGCTTTCCCGCCCAGGTTGTCCCAGCATTGTCGATACAAGGCGTTACCCTGGAGGAACGCCGGGCTTGGCCCCGAGGCCAGACCTGAGGTGCTTCGTGTATACCGACCTCGTTGTACTGGACTTTATCTGTCTTCAAGCGAAGCTAGTGTAAGGCTGGCAAAAACGAGGAGAGAGAGAGAGAGAGAGAGAAGAGAGACAGAGATAGGGGATAACGGGTGCTCTTACTGCTGTTGATAGAGGTCGACTTGCATTGCAGCACCGTATCCAGGTATCGGCGGACCTCTCAGTCCATCATTTCCTTATCCCGTCACGCCGTCCTTCGATAGCAAGCTCCCATGACATGCCCCTCCATGCATCTCGTAGGATATGCAATGCAGGTGCCGTCCATTGACCATCAACGCAACGTAACGCCAGTGCGACTGAGCAGGCGAAGGAGTGAGCACGGCCCAGCAGCGCGGCGTCTCCCCTTCCCCTCCCCTTCTCCCCTTCCCATTATTTACGGTCCCTCCTTTGCACATTCCACGACTAAGACAATACATGCCCCCCTGTTGTTCCTCAATTCCATTCTTGCCCTTGTCTCCATTCCGGCCGATGTCTTTGCATCTTTTTCCTTTCTTTTTCCTTTTTCTTTTCCCTCCTTGCTAAATCGTACTTTAGTACTTCAGCTCCCTCGAACGCCTACACTTCGCCAAACTCGCCCCGGCTCCCACTCCCCCGCCCAAACACCCCGACTTCTGCTGCGACCATTCAGGCACCGGCTCCGGCACCGGCTCCGGCTCCAATCCCAAGACCCTGAAGCAGCGCCGAAGGGAACGGCAGGCCAGGCTCGCTGCTGACCAGGGCCCTGACCGCATCAAGAGACGCTCGTCTCACCGTGCCGTCGGTCCCCGCTCGTCGGCCTCCTCCGTGTACGTGCGTCTGCCGGACAAGATCAAAAAGAGGCATCTGACGACCGAGGAGCAAATCATTGCCTCGCGGAACCGGAGGCACGACATCATTCTCGACCCGGCGGATGAGGCTGTCTACAAGGTCCGAAGAAGAGCGTCCAGCCTGACGATCCAAGACGAGTTGTGGAGCCCGACCTTGTCGGTGAGACCCCAGACGATGGAGGACAGGCCGAGCGAGGAGCCGCACGAGCGGGTGGCCAAGCCCGTGGAGCAGAGGTCGTCGCCTCAGAAGAAGCGCGACTCTTTCTACGACAGTTTCCGCTGGCTCGAGGAGGATGACGAGCTGGACCTGCGCCTGCAGCTCGACGACTACCACGCCAACTTGAGAGACGACCTCCCCGCCAACGCGGAACAGCGCAGGCCGTCGTTTCGCAGGCACTTGTCCATCTCCAAGAACCCCTTTGGACGCACCTCTCTCTCGTCGAGCCGTCCCGGCACCACGCCGGGCCTCATCAGCAGCCCGTCGTCCCCGCGCCTCCCAGACTATTCGAGCAGCCCCCTCGCTGCCTCGTCCAGCCACGGCCGCCGGAGATCGCGCGCGCTGTCGCTGATCTCGCCCAAGCACAGCCCCCAGGACTCCCTCGCCGCCTTCGACCCGGAGGCGGCTCACTACAAGGACCCGGAGGCCCGTCTGAAGCTGCGGGTGTACCTCGCGTCCCCTCAGAAGTTTGACGAGGCCATCGAGTTCGGCTTTCCTTCCAGAGAGGCCATGGTGTCGAGGCCCGGCAGGAATGCCAAGCAGCCCAAGGCCAGATCGCCCAAGCCCGCGGCCGAGACGGAGAACATGCGTACGTTCCTCGCCGACGACAGGTCTTCCATCTCGAGCGACGACGCATCCCTCGACTCGGACTCGCCCAAGACGCCTCACACCATGGAGATGGCGGGGGGGCTTAGGCCGCCGCCTGTCAAAGACGACCAGCTTCATTCGCCCAAGCCGTCGGCCGAGTACGCACGGATGCCGGCGGAGGCGAGGGAAATGACGCTGCGCATGACCCTCACGCGACCCGACCTGCGAGCCCACGAGGACCAGATGTACGGGTGGCAGAGGAACTGCGCGAGCGGCAGGAAATCCAGCAACGCGCCGCGCGACGACTTCCCGACGGCCACGTACGTCCGTGATGCGTCGTCCAAGGAGAGCATCGAGCGCCAGTTCGCGGCCATGGATCAGGAGAACGCCCAGGCGAGCGACCAGGGCGTCATGAAGCGTTTTTGGAACAGGGTCCGACGCGGACCCGCATAGCAAGGCCCTTTTGGCCGCACATTCCAGACTCCCACGGCCGAGTCGCAATTCCCCGTGCGCGCCAAGGGGGGGGGGGGGGGGGTTCAGCAAAAAGAAGCAAAAAACCGCATCCACGACACCAACAGCAAAGCAAGCCTGTTTCTTATACCTTCCCCTCCCCCCCCCATCTCATCAAATCTGTATACAGGCAACAATTCATAGTGTCTATTATTTGCCTATTTCAGAAGCAGAATTTTTCATTCTGTTTTGTTTTGTTTTACAAGCGACACGGTGCAGGACAATCATCATCATCATCATCATCATTGTATCGAGCCGGGAGTTGACATGGGCGTCGTTTGAAAGCATGGGGGAGGAGTTCAAAGAGAGAGAGAGAGAGAGGCATTTTCCCGCCCCGCCCTTTCCGCCTGTAAATATTGTACAGCCGCCACCGGAGAGAGCCTTTATTGCAGTAGATCCTTCATCAAACAGGGGGGGGTGGGAGAGGACAGGGTCCCGGTGTAGGGTAAAGGGCGTGCGTAGGGCGGATAGTCAAGAAAGTCTTTTTTTTTTTTAAGAAAAATAAAGCCAAGATTAAAAAAAATTAAAAGAACCCCACTCGCTCTCCTCCGTATGCCATCCGAAGTCAGGGACGTTCCGACGTGGTACAAAACAAAACACGCCGGGATGTTGGACAGGGGTGTGTGTGTGTGTGTGTGTGTGTGACTTGACATTGGACAACTCGGGCGTCGCAGAATAGGATCGACTGCGTCAGTCGACCGTGGGAAGAAGAAGCCCCGGGGACGTAAGCGCAGGCAGGCTCGTCACCCGCAGTCACCCGCAGCGTCCCGCGTTTCTTCGCTGCTGCGCGTCACGAACACCCGGCGGGAGGAGGGGGAGGTACACTCCTCCATAGCCCCCCCCCCCCGCAAATCCTTTTTTTTCTTGTCCTTCCGGGAAGGCGTTTCGGGAGAGGGACAAGTAAAAAAAGAGACGAAGAAATAAAAGTAGGAAGGGGGGGGGGGGGCCGACAAACGATAAATGTCGGACTCTGACTTGTCTGAACCGCCTGGTTGATGTTGATAGACGACCCCTGGTCTCTACGCCACACGGACCCCTTCTTGTTTCCGCTACAGAGGGGAAGGGGGGGGTTTGGTTTTTAATCTCGGGTGCTCTGAAAAGGTAGGGATATCGAGACGACAGCAGAAGGGGAGAGGGCGCACGTTGTTTCGAGACCAAATCTTTGAATGAGATGGAAGATGTGGTGCATGTGTGCGTGCGTGCGTGCGTGTCTGATGAGATTGGCACCCAGGGATATCGGACCTGTCTGTCTGTCTGTCTGTCTGTCCATCTGTCTGCCTGCCGAAGATCTGTTCAGCTCACTGGTTTTGCACCATGGTGGCGCGGCGCTTGGGGCTTCTCGTCTATGCTTGTGCGGGCGGGTGTGGGGTGGAGACGAGGACCTCCGCCCCCCTCTCGTTAGCGTCCCTTTGCGAGGAAGCTCAATAGCGGACGGAGGCGATGGCGAGGCACAGTATTGCAGTGGAGTAGAAGGCTGGGACGGAAGGGTGAGAAAGACGGCGAAGCGGGAGGCATGTCGTGTGGGTGTGTGTGTGTGTTTTTCCTCTACACTGGTACGGATATTGTTATTCCATTCCGGCGTCCATTTGGGAGGTTGCTGATACCTACAACACTAGGTATAGGCCCCTGAGGCTCCTCTCACCGAAACGATTCTGTGATTCTTGCCTGGCTAGACCTCCCCCCCCCGGCCCGCGCCCGGGAACCAGCTGCGCTTCGTGGCGTCGCGGGATTTGGGGCGTTGTTACTATCGGGTCCGTGGGTGCGCTGGCAAGAGCATGGATGGAGGCATATATTGTTGCCTTTGTCTTCTCGTCTCTGCCGAGGAGACGAGACGGGAAGAGCTCACGGCTCGGACTCGACCAAACCGCAGCTCCTCCGACATGTGCTCAGGGCGTGCGAGCAAGCGACGTAACGACCGGGCTTTTTTTTTTTTAATTCGAGTTTTCATTCATTTAATATCATTCTCTTGATCCTTCCTGCTCGCTGTCGAGGCGTTGCTGCCCTGCCTTCTTCCTAAGATTGACAATTTGGAAGAGGAGGGGGCTCGGACGTCGAGACATGCTTGTTTGATGCCACGTGCCGGAGAGAGATTACGGCATGGCTGCGTTTCCTTCTGCCGCTGTGCACTTGGGTGTGGTTCGCTTGGACAGAAGAAGGGGGGGGGGTGGGGGCTGAATTGGAAAGGTCGAAACGAACGGACGGACGAAAGGGAGTGGATTTTGAGGTCTTTTTTTTTTTCTTTTCTTCTTTTCCTTTTGTTTTTTCTTTCTTTTTCCCGGTTTGCGAGCCACGGTTGGCTTGAAATCCCAACACGAGTGTGCTCCTGACCAATGTCACCATCGAGGTAAGCAGACGGGTCTAGTTGCATCGTTGCAACAGGGGGAGACGGGGGCTGGAGAGGGGAAATAAAAAGAAAACACCTATCCATGAGGGGCGTAGCTACGACAGTAGTACAGAGCGAAGTCGACGACCATCATCAAACATGATGCGATGATAACGGATCTCTGCTTGGACCACAACAGGCCCGCAATCAATGTGAGGCAATAGTCAGCAGGGGGGCGGTGGTGGATGAGGAGTAGGAATGGTGCCACCTGGTGTCGTCGACATGCAAGTCTGAACAGCCCCCCGACGAAACATGGGACACCGACAGCACATGCGTGTGTGCGCCCGGCAAGGGAACAAAGTTGGGAATGCCCACATCGGTCCGTCTCTGGGCAGGCAGCACGCCGGCCGCATCACGAGTCGGTCGGGGCGACAAGGACCGGCGATGTGGGGCCGGCGATGGCCGGCGATGTCCGGCACTGGTCATCTGACGATTGCAGATGTGGCAAGGGACCTCACCCCGCGCCCGTGGAGAAGAGAAGGATGTCAATGGTAGTCGTCTCGTCGGATGAGAAAGTGCGCGCTCTAGCTCGTGATGCCGCCGTCGTGGATAGAGGACGTCGAGGGAGCGCCGATGAAGGCGACAACCAGTTGACCGATGCAAATCAAGTCAGAGATATTGAGCATGAGGACCTTTTGGCCACGAATATCATATCCTTCAGTCTCTCGACAAAGTGCTCTCCTCCTTGGGTAATTGGGAAGGAAAGAAGCTTGTCTAGTCTACTACTACTACCCATGTCGGACTTCTGTCGATGTCACGTGACAGCGCGTAGGTGGGTCCTGAAAAGTGGACCCCCATGTGGCGTGGCCAAACGTCACGACAGTGAAATTTTGGTGAGCCGGGGAGGGACCCTGAGATCGAGCAAGGTGCGCCTTCTCAACATCGCCATTTTCTCGCCCCCTTCAATATGATGAGAAGCTCGAATAAGCCGTACGTTTGCTGGCGATGTCTCACAGCCAAGACGTCGCTGGCTCCGGTGCCCGGCGGATCGCGATTTGTCCCACAGCTTCAGCAGGGCCCCTCTGATATCTCCAGAAGAGTAAGTCTTAGACACCCCCCCCCTCCCCCCCCCCCCGGCGAGTACCATGATGGATTTGTAGAACCAGTTCAAAACTGATGTGCTTTGCAGTCGTATGCTGGTGCACGTCACAAGTATGGTGGCGGCGGCGGCGGGGGAGGCCGACGCCGTGGCGGCCCCATCACCCCGGCCTCGGACCAGGAGCTAGCCCACATCCGCGAAAAGTCCGACATCAGGGAGCGCCTCCGGGAGTGGGAGTCGGCGAACCGCGAGCCCTCTCGCCGCCTGCTCCAGGACATGCCCGCTCAGGAACACCCGCTGTCTAACTTCCTGACCAGGCCGGACCTGCCTTTCGCCGCCTCGGAAGGGGAGGGCGAGGAAGGGTCCGAGCTGCATAGGAACAGCAGGAGGAACCGCGTCCTCTTCGAAGCCGACGAGCTCGCCGACCTGCGCGGCGCCACGTCGGCGCTTCTCGCCGGCGACTTGGTCGAGACGAGGCAGGTCCATCGCCGCCCTTGCGGCCCTCGCTTCTGCTGACAAGAACTCGCAGATACGGACACGGACGCCTGCCCGTCCTGGGCATCTGCCTGGGACGTCACCACGGGCTGCAGTACTTCTACATAAGCACCGGCGAGGTCGTCCCCGAGCGCAACATACCCACCCTCTTCACCCTCACCAACTTTGTCGACCCGGCCAAGCTCCAGCCGCTGGTCGCCATCCTGCCCGAGGAACCCGTCACCAAGCCGCGTAACGTGCTGTTCCACAACCACACGCCGGCCGCCCTCGCGACGGCCTCCCGGCTCCAGGGCGAGCTGATCAAGTTCTACCAGGACTCCGTCTCCTTCTACCAGTCCCACCTGACGCTCGACACGGCCAGCAGCTTCCTGGCCCACCCCGAGAAGCCGCAGTACCTCAGCCTCGAGGAGCTGGCCGACAAGCTGCTGCCCGAGTACCTCAAGCAGGAAGACCGCTTCCTCCCGCACGCCCTGTACGCCGTCCACACCGCCGTCCAGCGCGACGAGCTGGGCTTCCGCCCCCTGAACGCCAAGTGGCACAGGCGCAACTACATCTACGAGGTCCGCCCCGCCTCCGACCTCCGCATCATGCGCAAGGTCGAGAGCCAGGTCCGCGAGCTGGTCGAGGGCGCCGCGCTGCGCGAGGATCCCGCCGAGTCGCTCTCGCTGCTCAGGCAGAACAGCCTCGGCTCCTTCATCCTCAAGGCCCGCGGCGTCATCCAGGCGAGCCGCCTGCGGAGGGAATGGACGCCGCACGGCATGATCGGCCCGAGCGACGAAAAGGTCGACAACCTCGCCTCGTGGACCAGGCAGGAGGTCGACTACATCCGCTTCATGGAGCTCTGGTCCTGCCACCGCATCGTGACAAAGGCCTCGCAGCTCGAGAGCCTGGGCTCCACCATCCTCCGGCTGACCAACGCCTACAAGGACGCCGACTGGCTCGCCCACTGGATGGGCTTCACCTTCCTCCAGGAGATCGGCTGGATCCCGCCCTGGGACATCCCGGCCCGCTACGAGTACAGGTTCCCCGACACCAGGGTCCACAGGGGCGCCGACATGCTCATGCCGCTCGTCGACGTCAACGGCTCCCTCCGGCCCGACATCGCCGAGGGCCACAGGCGCGACTGGGCCGGGACGACCGTCTTCTGCGTCGACTCGGAGCACACGGCCGACGTCGACGACGGCTTCTCCGTCGAGCCCACCGAGGACCCGGGGGCCCACTGGATCCACGTCCACATCGCCGACCCGGCGTCGCGCATCGACCCCAAGTCCGAGCTCGCGCGCCAGCTCGAGAAGGCCCCGTCCAGCCTGTACCTGGCCGGGTTCCCCAACAAGATGCTGCCGCGGGACCTCGAGCAGGAGTTCTCCCTCGACCCGGGCCGCCCGGCCCTGACCTTCAGCGCCAAGGTCAACGAGCGGGGCGACATGCTCGACTACAAGGTCGAGCCGGGCACCCTCCGGAACGTCCTCCACGTGCCCAAGGACGAGGTCGCCGCCATCCTCCCCGGCGGCGGCGGCGGCGGCGGCCCGCAGCAGCAGCCGCCGCCCACCCCCTCGGCCGCCGACACCTTTGCCGTCGGCCGGCCGCCCGCGGCGCCGCCGCGGCCCGTGAAGCGCATCACCACGGCCGCCGACCTCGCTCAGAAGGACAGGGACGACCTCGTCCTCCTCGACCGGCTCTGCGCGGCGCTCAAAGACCGCCGCGTCGAAAAGGGGCAGCTCCCGCACTTCCAGCCCCGCTTCGGCTCCCCCGAGGTGTCGTTCGACTCCGTCGTCGTCAGGGGCGACCCGGACGTCCTCGACTCCTCCCTGGCGTGGCAGGGCGACCCCTTCATCAAGCTCGCGTGGCGGCACCCCACCGCGGCCGACCGCCTCGTCGAGCGCCTCATGCACACGGCCGGCGAGGTCGCCGCCGAGTGGTGCCGGGCCCGCCGCATCCCCGTCCCCTACAGCACGCAGCCCGAGGCCCTCCGCAACCTGGACGAGCTCGCCGCCTTCCGCCGCGCGCACGTCGACCCCGTCGCCGCGCGCGGCGAGCCCGTCCCCGTCGACGTCCTGCACGGCCTCTTCGCCCTCGTCGGCACCTCGGAGCTCTCGGCCGACCCGGCGCCCTTCTACTCCGTCGGCCTCGACGCCTACGCCAAGGCCTCCAGCCCCCTCCGCCGCTTCGCCGACCTCGTCGTGCACTGGCAGATCCACGCCGCCCTCGCCCGCGAGCGCGCCACCGGCCGCTCCCTCGCCGGCCACGACTGCTCCGACGCCCCCGACCTCCTCCCCTGGACGCGCCGCGCCCTCGCCCCCGCCCTGCCCGTCCTGCAGGCCCTCCAGCGCCAGATCAAGCAGGTCGACAACCGCGACGGCCCCACCCAGTGGGCCGCCCAGGCCCTCCTCCGCGCCTGGCGCTTCCGCGAGGCCCCGCTGCCCGCCCGCTTCGCCTTCGTCGTCGACGGCCTGTACCCCTTCGGCCTGCGCGGCCGCCTCGAGGACTTCCGCGGCCTCGCCGCCTCCGTCGACCTCGCGAGCCTCGACCCCGTCGCCAGGCTCGCCGACGTCCACGTCGACGACCGCTTCGAGGTCGAGATCCACGACATCAACGTCGTCACCGCCCAGGTCTCCGTCCGGCCCCTGCGGAGGCTGGCTCCGGACGATGCCGTCGCGTCTTCCGCCTGAGGGAGCGGTATGTCATCCCCGTGTAAGAATAACATGTACAACAACAACAACAACGTACCTATGTTGCTAGGTAGACTCTTCACTGTGTAAGATAGAGAGAGAAACAGTCCGGGCTGGTTTTCGGGATTGCATGTAATCAAGACACCTTCACGATCAAGCGACTCATCCGGACGATCGGATCCTGTGCGCGCGTAAACTCTGGTATCATATTTCGTTCATTGACTTAGAGAAGAAGAAAAAAAAAAGAGGCAAATGTTACAGCTCCGTGATCCTTTTACGTGCTCCGCCTCCCCCCCCCCCCAAGCGCAAGCCGTCGTCATCCGTTGGGCGCGCCCCACCTCACGCGGGCTTAGAGCCCCGCCAACACGCTCTGGACACCGACGCTGCCGGCGTCGTCGCGCCGCTGGACAAAGGCCTTGAAGTCGGCCTTGGTCAGCTTCTTGCCCTGGCCCGAGGGGCCGGCGGCGAGGGTGCGGGACTTCTCGCGCAGCGCCTCGGGGCCGACGATGAAGAGAGAGCCGATGTCGGTGAGCAGCTCGGCCGAGGTCTCGACGTCGGGCGCGAGCGACCACTCCTTGAGGGTGGACGAGTACTTGGACAGGTCCTGCGCCACCATGAGGCCGCCCGTGGCGTTGACCTGGAACTTTTTGAAGTGGTCAAAGAGCAGGGCCAGGACCGCCAGCGCGACCTCTGAGCTCCAGACCTCGAGGTTCTGGCCGTCGACGGCCTGCGCGGCGTACTTGGCGACGCGGGAGAGGAACTGGCTGATCTGCAGGCACGTGGGCGTCTGCAGAGAGTCGAGGTCGGCGTCGCGCGGGCGGAAGTCGAGCTTCTTCTGGTTCGCGAGGCAGCGCGTGACCCAGTTCGTGACGACGTCGATGGAGCTGCGCATGACGGCGTTGGTCTTGCGCTCGATGTTGCCCATGGCCGTTTTGGTCTGCGACGCCATGCTGCGCCGCACCGTCGTGTTGGACTCGGCGAGCTTGATCAGCACAGTGGTGATGAAGCGCTCCATGATGCTGGTGATGGTGACCGCGGGCCGTATCGCGGGGAGGTACGTCAGGTCCGGCTCCGTCTTGATGTTCTCCTGGGCCGTCGCGTTGTCGAGAGCGGCGTCCAGGGCCGTCTCGACGTAGACGCGGCCCATCGTCGTGAGCAGGAGGTTGAGGAGGACGTTGACGTCCTTGGGCGTGTCGACGGGGGAGCCGAGCTCGAGGGTTCGGCGGACGGACTCGGCGAGCCACTTCATCATTCTCTTGGCGTTGGCGACGCGGAGGATCCCGTCCTCCTCCGACACCTCCACGTCGTCCTTGCTCTCGTTGTTGTCTTGGATTCCCGCGACACGAAGCATCATGGCCCTCTGGGTGGCCGTTAGTTCGGACGAGTCGAGACGCTCGAGATAGGCGTCCTTCGCCGACGACAGCAGCTGTGAACTCTGCTGGGCGAGGGAGGCCATGAAGCCGGTCGGCGCCTTCTTCCTCTTGGAGTGATATGTTGTGAACTTGAAGAGCAGCGAGCTGTATGTTTCCTCGAGGCTCTTCCTCTCTCGGTCGATGTACGAATTGCCGACGAGGTACGGGACAAACAGCTCCTCCATCTGCTGGTCCAGGGTCTGGGAAATCTGCGGCGATGCCGGCTCCGGGTGCTCGGTTAGGCCGTGCGACTTGAGGTCTTCGATCAAGGCGTTGATGTATGTCCTGGAAGAGTGCAGTGATCTCAGGAAGGCCAGGGACGAGACCTCGTTGGCCTTGTCGAGCACCATCTCGAGCCTTTGCTGGATGGACTGTTGAAATATTCTTTGGATAAACTTGATGAGAACGGTTTCGTAGAAGGGGAACGCCCGCTTGATGATGAAGGACTCCTCCTGCATGATCAGCTTGACTTCGTCGACCAGAGACTGCAAGCTGGCTTCGACGCCAGGCGGGTCGGCGTCGGGGTCCGCGATCTGTTCCCATATGTCTCCGTCCACCGTCACTTCATCCGAGATGAGCTGGTCTCTGTCGATGAAGAACTGGTGCTGGTTGACGAAGGTGGCGATGACGCTGGCGCCACCGTTGAAGTCGTAAAGCACCTTGGAACATTCCATCATGTCGTCGAAGTTCTGGCGTCGGTAGCTGCTGTTGAACTGCTTCAGCAGTTCTTGCTCCAAGGATTCCGAGAACTTTTCGAGAACCTCTCTCGTGTTGTGCACGCGGCTGGTCCCGGTGACGCCGTTCGTGACGCCGTTTCCCCGGAACCCGTTCGTCCCGTTAGTCTGGCCCCACGATGAAGGATCGAGCCGTTGGCTGATGCGCACGAGCTGACGGGAGATGATGGCGCAGCGGACCTTGTTCTCGGCGCCTCCTTGTCTCTGAATCTCCTCCAGCGACGTGAGCTGGCCTGTTTCGCAGACCTCGAGCCAGCACTGGATGAGGAAGTTGGCGTCTTGGGCCCGTCTCCGTTTCCGATCCAGCTCCTCGAGCTTCTCGCCAATCTGCACGGCAATGTTTCCGCCGGCATTCTTGTCGGCGCCGTCGATGCCGGGTTGGTTCAGCGATAGATCGAGTGCCTCGAACGAGGCCATCGACTGGTCGAGCTTCCGGCCGAGGGTGTCGAGGGTCTGGTCGTGCTGGGCTTCGGCCCTTCGTACGTTGGATTGGAGTTCCGATTCCCTCTCCTGGAGTTCCTCGGACAACGACCCGAGTTGCGACAGCGCGTCTAAGGGTACAAGTCAGCGAGCGGACGGGGCGGTGGACGGGAGGCAGGCGTCGTACTTTCAAAGGTGCGGATGAGAGGCTTCGGTTCGAAGCCGGACTGCGCAGGGCCCGACCGACGGTTTGCTGGCACAGCACTCTCGGCCAGGTTATCGATAAATTCGCGGACGACAAAGTCCTGGGTCGAGAAGTCGTCCAGGGTGAAGCTGGGCCCTTGAGGGAACAAGGACTTGGCCCCAGACCCAGACCGCTCCATGGCTGCGATCGTGCAGAGACGTGTTGGTGGTGTGCGTTGGTTCGGACGTCAGCAGCCGGCTACATGGTTTTGAGAAGATGGGTTAGTTGTCGTTGGAGTATCGCCAGTAGGTAGCTTGGGTGGGTAGGTGCTCCTGGAGGTTGTGTTTCGGGAGCACGGGTATATCTGCATGGCCGGCTCAGTGACGAGCTGCTCCCTGGCGACTTGGATTAGCGTCCGCTGCGTACGTGAACTGCCCCGCCTAGTGTACGTAAGTAAGTACCTACCTAGGCTCGTGTGTACCTAGGTACGTAGCGCTTCATCTCTCACCCATCACGTGATAGACATCGAATGCGGCATTGTCGATATTCTTTCCTTTCGTTCTCTCCCTGGCAAAACCAAAATTGGCGTCCGTCATAATGGCTTCGCAGTCTTTCTCATGTCAAACAGGCAGTGTTGCGTGGATCTCAAACAGGTCATCGACATCGGAGTTTGGCCATGTAGCTTTGGCTGGGAACGGGCACCGGGCGTTATCCGGCTTCAATGTAACTAACATTCGCAGGCGAGCCATGCATTGGACCATCAAGTACCGGCTCTTCATATCGAGACCTCGGAAACTTCGTGCATAACTCAGAAGAAAGAACAAGAATAAAAAAAAGACACGACAGGGCAGCCTCGGTGTTGTGTTCCTTCTCGACCGGCACTTCCAGCCGTGCTGATACGGATGACCCCGGTCCATGAAATTAGCAGATGTTCTCTGGCCGCTCGAGTGTTTCGTTTTGGTGACGAGTGCCGCTAGCTGAAGTTGCCCAGTTGACCTTAAACTAAAGGGAGCCTTCTCACAAGCGTATCATTTGTCGTCCTGTTGTCAAAGGGGGTTGGTTGGGGGGGGGGGGGGGGGGGGGGCGAGTTAAACGGGTTAATAGTAGGCATCGCGCAGACCATTGTTGCCGCTGAGGCTTTATAAGTCGTCACCAACAACCCCTAGGGATTCCTTGATGAGAACTGTCGCGGCGGCCCGTCACCCACGATTCCCACTTTGGGCGGGATTGAAATCCGCTTTGGTGAGCTCCCGCTCCAATCTGCCCTACCATGCCATCCACACCTTCGCCCGGCCGGGCATTCAAAACATACCGTCCGGGGAGGGAGGAGGGAAGAGGCAGAGATACAGCAGTATAACGATGTTCACAAAGAAGGCGAACCACGAACCAGGATGTTTGTAACTTGGCAAGCCATCGATTGGTAACAGCCTGCAAAAGTCGCTAGGAATAATACAATAAATCATCCCCTCCCCTTTCGTTTTCTTCCATCATCTTTCATCAAAAGATATCAAACGACATTCATCCTCTCGCCCGCAAGACCCACCAACTCCCCCTCCCCCCTTACGTCTTTCCATTGATCCTTTACAGCCCGTCGACTACAACCACGCCCTCGCGGAAGGACGCACGCATGGACGGGAGAGCCGAGGGTGAAGGGAAAACACTGGAAAAGGGAAGGAGAAAAAAGCTGCTGCCGCGATGCGACCTCGTTGACAAACACTCTCTCTCACCCACCCACCACAAACCACACACACACCTGAAGCACTACCCTCCCCAACTCCCTTTGATGTGATAAAAATTGGTAATTACATATTCAAGACCACACAGCGCGGATGTACGTTGCATGGCCTGTGTTGAGTCTTGTTGACTGACGTTCTCTGCGATATTGGTATCACGGGGATTACTGAAAGTGAAGGGAACGACCTGGCCCGGGTCTCGCTCTAAATCAGAGGAATATACAGAAGAGATTGATGCTGTGACAAGCAAGGAGGAAAAAAAAAAAAAAAAAAAGAGGAAAAAAAAAGTGGTCAAACAGAAACCGATTTGAGGTCAAGGGAAACTATGTTCGCGAGCGGATGAGGTCAATTACGCCGCCCGAGGAGGGGGAGGGCATGCCACGCCTGTCGCACGTCGGGACGATATGGAAATAGTGTACGCGGCCGGACGCAGGATGGGCTGCGATAGTGGCGAAGGTTGGATTGCGTACCCGAGGAGACGTGGGTTGTAAAGGTAAGGTATGTAACGGGTGATAGGGCTTTTAGAGTACTCTTGAGTCATCTAGTGTTGGAATGCAGAGACACCGCCGCCAAAAATGATGCTCCGGAAAAGACCTGGGTATAAAAAAGGACGGATCATGATTCTGGGGGTGTCGTGGAGCGCCGTGGAGCGCCGTGGGCGAGAGCGGAGCTCGCGGCGTGTTGTTATTGCGCGGTGGCCATTAGTGTCTCAAGACGGCCATGGCTTCGAGGCATGTCTGTTGTTATAGTTTTGCGGGACTTAGCGCTGGTTTTGCTTGTTAATCTCGCCCAGGTTGAGCCAGCTCATGTCTGACGTGGAGGCCATGGGGAGAGGGGGCTGCTGGCTGACGCCAACCTGGTTGTCCGTTTGGATTTGCCGGTTCGGCATGCTTGGCGCCAGCGAAGTCGGGTAAAGACTCTCGGCGTAGACACTGCTCGCCGCACGATCGGCACCCCAGGGCCTCGAGGAGCCGGTGGGGTCCCACGTATCGCGGACGCTCTCAGGGATGCCGCTCGAGTATCCGGAGGACATATCCGACTGAGGTCTTCTGGGAGATTCTATCGTGGCAGACACACCGTCCCGGAAGGGGATCTGGTTCGAGTAGTTTGACACAGTCGGACTGCCCGAGGCGACGCGGCTGAGCTCTGGCCGGCCATTGTGCTGAATGGGCGGAATAGTGGACAAGTCCTGGGTGATGAGGTGCAGGGGAGGGACCGTGGCGGAGTCTTGTGTGATCCGGTTCCTGTCGACTCCGTTCGAGTAGCGAGAGCTGTTGTCCGAGTCGACCGTTGTCCGCTTCGAGTTACCAAATCCAAGGATGTTGAGCGCGCTGCCGCCGGACCAGTACCGGTTCCAGCCCGAGCTTCTGCGCGTCTCGCCATTACGGCCGACGGGAGCTCCTCTGGTCGCTGGACGCGGCTCGGCAACGTCGGCGGCGAACGAGACACCCTTCTCGTCGCGGGATGGGGGCGATAGGGCCGGCTCGTCGTTCGTCTGGGGGATGGGCTTGCCGATAGTGCTCTTGAACAAGCTGTTGGAATCATCACGGAGGCCACCGGACTTTTGCGTGTTGTTGCCGTTGACCTTACCCATCAAGATAGCCATGGAAGAGAACGAGCCCGCTGATTCCTGCTGCTGGTGGCCACGGAAGTGACCGCCGGGGGCGGAACCAAAGTCGTCCGCGCCGTACCCAAGGCCGGCCTTCTCGTCAGGGAAGCCTCTCGGGCTCATGCCCCTGGTATTTGGGATCTCGGCGTTCTGACGGTTCTTGGCGGCACGGCGGCGCCGGATACAGAAGAGAGATAGACCTAGGAGGATCATGATACCGGTGATGGTGCCAAGAACGATGCCGAGGATAGCGTTGGCACTAACTGCTGCCGGAGCACCGACTGCGGCGGTCTCGGAGCTTGCTGCCGACGAGGCGGAGGCGGACGCACTGATAGACGCAGGCAGAGTGGAATAGGCGGGACCCAACAGATCAGAGCTGCTAGCAGTCTGGGTCGCGGCAGTGCCGCCGGCGGAGCTTGTCGATTCGCTGGAGATGAGGACATCCTGCTCGCTCAGCTTCTGTGCGGCGTTCTCCCAAGTGTTCCCGCGGGCGTTGAAAATACAGAGGGAGTCGTTGGCAGATCCCGAGCCTCCTGCAAACACGACGAGCCCGTCGGGATCTTGGGCGACGCTGTAGTTGAGGCGCGTGCCTACGGGCGCAAACGTGCTGTTGTAAGCTGGCCAGTCGCTGAGGGTCAGAGCGCGCTTCACGAACTCGCCAGTCGCCTCCCTCGTCACCTTCTTCGACACCGCGGCAGAGTTGACGACGGGGGCGCCCGAGGCGTCGATGAGGACCATTCGCTTGACCTGGTTCGGTGTCATTGAGAGATCGAAAGTGAACAGGCTCTTGCTTCCATCGTCTCCGTTGATGATGACGGCCTGCATCGCGGCCCTGTCTTTCGTCAAGGGATCGGCGAGTGTCGCACCAGAGTCGGTCCAGGCAGTGTCGGGGCTGAAGAGCATGATCTTGTTGTTGGTGGCGCTGCCTCCGACCAGGGCCGCCTGGGTGTCGGACCATGGCAGAAGTATGGGGTTTATGACGGGCGCCGCTGTCGACGAGAAGGCTCGGGTGTTATAAGGCGCGGACGCTCCGACCACGAAGGTTTGGGTCGAGGGACCCGAGTATCCATCCTGGCTTCCGCCGTACATGACAATCTGATCGCTGCCGGGGAGATATGTTGCGCCGTGAAGCAACCGGTCTTGGGTGACAGGGTCCTGCGGCGTGATGGATTCCCATTTCCCGGTCGAGTAGGTGAATTTCTGCAGGCCGCGGTAATCTGCCGACGCCGCCTTACCTCCAACAATGTACAAGCCAGCCTGGCTGGCATCCTTGGGGTTCGAGCCCACGCATACAGCTCCCGTTACTGATTCGCCCTGCGACAAGATCTTCCATTCAGCGCCTTGCTCGAGCGCCAGCGACTGGAAAGCGCCGGCAGAGTATGTGTACAAAACGTTGTCGTGGATGACTGAACATATGTTCTCCAGAGCGACCTTGGGCTCGGGGACCTTCATCGTGTCCGTCTATTACGTAGATGTACGTAATTGCGTCGTGGTAGATGCGAGTGGCAGGTGACGTTTCCAAAAATGAGTGTCGTGCAGTCTACAACATGACATGAAATTCCCCTGTCAATGAAGTCGTTGAATCCAAATCAATTTCTCCAAACGGTGGCGGCTCGGTTCCAATGCGCCAATTTCTCGAAAATGGTCAAGAAGTCTCCCGAACGAGGGATGATCCAAAAGGCTGAATAGGCAAGCGAACGCCTTCGAGGCTTCGAATTGGTTGGGGGTTGAAACGATCGGGCTATCGAAGCGAATTCGGTTGGTCGGTCCCAAACTGGTAGGACGAGAAGCGGGTGACGAGAAGATGGAGAGGCGGTCCAAAGGGAGAAAGAAACGGAACCGTCGAGCTGGTCGTGATATTACGCTTGTCTCGGAGTTTGATCTGCAGAACAAAGCTTCAGGGGGGCTCTCAACAGCCAACCGGTCCGAGGTAGACGGAAGGAGATAAACGAAAAAAGGGCTTCCTGTCGATTCTTCCAAGTCCTGAAGGCCTCTGTGTCGCGGGTTTTAGGGTAGCCAAGCAGAGACCTCGCAGTCGATGGGCGAATTCGTGAGAGTGTGAGTGTGAGTGTGTGAGTGTGTGCGTATGAAAGATGTCGTATCTGGGTGTGTCGTGTCGTATCGCCCCGGGCTATTACTGTCGCTCGTGTCCGTCGATCGCTTGTTTCGGGTAAGATAAGGGGAAGAGAGGGGGACAATGCTGCCGCGTCGAGGAATCGAAGAACGATTCAGTTGTTGTTTTTTTGTTGTTTTTTGTCTCGCGAGGATTCAACGTTCCAGACGATGAGTAGCAATTCCACCTCGAAGGAGCGAAAAATGCACACGCGGCACCAGGAGGAGAGGAAGGAGAGGAGAACGGAGACCAAGGGAGGAAGTGTAGGTAGCATAGGTAGGTAGAGGAAGAGGCGAAAGGAAAAGAGTGGTACCAGTCACCCTTGTCGGTCTGTGTGCTAGTGGGTAGTCAGTCGTGCTGCTCCCTCTCTCTCTCTCTCTCTCCTGTCTCTCTGTATCTATCCCAGCAGCGCTGCAGGACCACGAGTAGCAGCGGCAGCAGTCGTCGACCAGGTACGGATACTGCCCAAGTAGCAGGCGAGGAAACACGAGGCAGGGATTCGGGGAATCGTGACGGGGGTGGTTTACCAGGAGCACCCTAGTCAAGCATTTAGGGGGGGCTTGGACAGGCGATGGACGAATCATATGGCCCAAGAGCCATCGATTATGGATGAGACAGGGGGCGTACCATGAGCCAGCGCCAAAGTAGAGGGTGAGCCAAGAGTACATGGACTGGTGGTGAGACGATGCGGTGCCGCCGATGTACAGGCGGAGGATGCAACTACCCTAGAGGCTGGACCCTAGCGTGGCCTTTCTGGACCAGCACAAGATTGGAAAAGGAGGTGCTGGGGTACATGGCCTATCAGAAATCCCAATCTCGCTGTTCCTGGACCAGGGTCGACAGCGGACGAGACGCCAGTCGAGTTGTCACGGGAGAGACAACACCAGTCTACGCTACCTACTGTATCCGTAGACTAAACGGTTGAAGGGCTAGCCGTCGAGCAGTCAACCAATCGAACCAGTCACGGCAAGACAATGACAACGGGCGACCTACCTACGCTACTACCTAAATCGTGCGTTGGGGGCGCTTCACCTCGCTCAAATGTGTACCACTTGCTTGCTTCTCTCGCGAGCCCAGCGTAAAAAGGAAGCAGAATCGCGCGTTAGTGAAGCAAAGCAATGGCCATCGCAACGGTCTTTCCGTCCAGATGTTTTGCTGACTATTGAATTTTGTCTTTTTGTTATTGCCTTGGTATCGTGCCAGTGCACCGTGCTCGACATTCCTCTCGGGCTCATGTCCGAGCCCAACAGACTTTTGGGCCTGCATCGTCCGAGGATGGGGGGAAGACGGGTAGGTAATACAGCATAGCATGGGACGCATCGCACCAGACGGTGGCTGACTGACAGCAGCAGCAGACCGGCCGTCCATTGCTTTGGCGCGGCATCCCAAGCCCGTTTGCGTGCTTGCCATCTCGGTTGCCGGGACGGTGCGCCAGACCGCCACCGTTTGAGGTATCTCGATGATGCAGATGAATCCCGCACACAGCAATCCTCTTTGCTGGCAAAGTAGCTGACGGGCGACGAGAATGCCAGATCCGGAGGTCCCAGTCCCATCAAGCGGGCCAGCACCGTGTGGACACCTGGTTTCTGGCTCTTGATCTCCAAGTATCACGGACGTGCAATATCGGGCTTGCAAGCAACCGGACGGGGCAATGGGTCTGGACATACGGGACCTGCAACGAGGCGAGCGACAGGCGGACAATGAGAAGAAAACGAAAGCCTGTGCGAGTAAGACGCGCCTAAAGGTCGGGCGAACGAGATGGACCAACGTCATACCGCAGCACGCTCATCAAAGTCGACGGGTCTCCCAGCGGACTACGGATAATGGGATGGGAAACCTGGGGAGAGGCGGCGGCGGCGAGAGATCACCAGGCACCGGGCAAATTGCGAGCAATCAAAGAATCATGCACCTTCGACCGTTGCCCGGATTCAGGTCTAGCGTGTACCACACACAACCACGTCCGGTCCCGCACAGGACGGGGACCGTTTGCATGCATATGTGTGTGCTGAAATTGGACGAGAAGATTGCAGTGCAGAGACGGGGGTTGGGGAGGGGGCAAACGGGCAGGACTGCCAAGAGGCAAAGAAGAGTACCGGTAGGCGTCGAATACCTTGAGGAGAGGCACTGACCGTCAGGAAGAAGGGAGAAGAGTGTGGCAGCGTTGATCACTGCTGGTACGTACCGCGCCACGCTGCCCTCCGATGGAAAGGACCCAATGGTATTTTGACTGAAACGCGCTAGTCAAGCTCGCCCCTGCGTCGACCGACAGCGCCCCCCCTGAGCCACCATGAGAGAAACTGCATGGGCCCGCCTGTGGACGCTGCACGTCGCCGGCAAAGTCGACCGTTATTTTAGTGTACGTACCTGCCCACATGCTTGTACAGAGGTACGGAGTACATGACATGCAGTTGCTGTAGCAGTGCGCAGCAAAGCTGAGCTTACATACACTTACCCAGGTAGGTAGTTTATTCAGCTGCTCGACTCGACTCCCGCGCAAAATAGTAATTAACACCCTGTCTGCCTCCCCCCCCCCGCCACCCGGGCCACCTACTCTTCGCGAATATTGTCCCCCCTCCCCAGTATATTGTGTCCCTTTCTTTTTTTTTCCTTCAGGAAACGCTGGCAACGGCATGCCGGTGTGTCATACTGATCAACCCATCCGACTGCATAACATGATATAGTAGCAGAACGAGAGGCCCGAGGAAGACTGGAGGATGGGCGGATGGGCAGAAAAGGGAAACATCAGGCCGGCGCTACATTGCCTCAGTTGCGCGATCCCTCCTTTCTTCTCCCTTCGCTTCCGGGCCGCGGGGGGGGGGTCATTGAACCCCTCCCATGTCAGACTTGCTCCGGCACGGCTGCATCGCCGGAAGGCCACCCTCGACCACGTTGGGCCCCGGTGGGGGGAGGGAAGGGAGAGAAACTATCCGCAATCCGTATACCTAACTACATCTTGAAAGTTACACCAGATTTACCAAAACGCTCCTCCGAGCCGGTTGCGGATCCCATGACGGGTCAATCCAACACCGTCATTCTATGCCAACCCCCAGAAGGCTTACTTGTTTGCAAGAGTCGAAAACCGCCCCATGCTGCGATCAGAGTGGCGCACGACCTGGCGGTGCTGTCGAAGCGCACTCAGCCTAAAATCCTGATACTTCCACAGACGGAAGGCCCCCATCCATACCCTTCCGACTCACTCTCTCCGTACATTCCACCGTACGCGACGCAAAGCAAAGTCTGCCCGCTGTGGAACGAGGGGAGAGCCAGGCAACGCGCGCCCGCCCCCAGGGCTAGACCAGCTGGCAGCAGTAGCTTCGCCGCCGCTGCCTCCGACTGGAATCACTCTCCTGTCGAAGGAGGCCGCGTACCCTGGGGAATAGCAAAGCGCCTGAGCTGGGTAATGCCGGGCAGGATGCGGGGGCTTGGGCCATTCAATATGTACATTGTATATCCCGAATCCGCGATGCATAGAAACGCTTGCCCCCCTTCCCGGCACTTTCATCAACCCCCAACGACGCCGGCCCTGGATCTGACGCAACATAGCATTCCTGTGGTTTCAAGGACATTGCCTGGACCAAGAGAAGTCAAAACCGACCCGGATCCCCCTCCTCGACGGACAACCTAGGTCCCATGCAGTACATTGTACATTGTTAGGTGCTAGACTCGCCAGTGTCAGGAGGTCTAGTCTTGGCCCGCTGTGTGTGTGTGTGTGTCAGGCCTCTCCTTTCCAACGGAGACGAACTAGTCCAGACTCTAAAATTCCCATCCGATGAACCGCAGGCAGCCACTCCTCTTCCTCAGGCTAATTGACTCCTGCCCAACATCCCCCGCATTCGCCGGTTTCTCGGACTGCCGTGCGTATCTCGACTCATTTTGCCGCCACACCACCGCACGAGAAACCTCGATTTGGCGGCTTGGCTCCAACGGCGGCGCCCCGAAGGCTGCATGCGAGATATGCCGGTCGGTATATGAACGTGACATTCTTCCGTGCGTCGCGGACAGCCTGACACTGGGATAACGCCTTGAAAAGGACATGGGAAAAGAAAGAAAGAAAAAAAGAAAAGAAAAAAAGCCATGTGGGATGCACCCTCCTCCCCCCCTCTTCACACCGCCTCACACACCGAAGCCCACCTGCAGAGAGCGTTGACTACGTACGGTATTGCGTGCGTATGATGTGTGCTCGAGGCTTGAGAACTCGAGAGCTTTCCAGGCGGTTGCACAGCCAGCCCCCCCGCCCCCTCAAATCGGGTACTCTTCCCCAACCATTTGAATTAGGTAGGACACACATCCATCCGCAAATGAGCGCTGCAAAAATAAGAGGTAAAATGAACCAAAAAAAAAGAGAGAGAGAAAGAGAGGAAGAGAGGAAGGGTTGTCCTTCCATACCACAGACAGAGTGTGTGTTGATGTGTGGAAGGGACCACCCGGGACGCCTGCATATCATCGAATCGGAGAGTTTCCCCATCACTCCACGCCTTCCTGCTGGCCGACTCTACCTCGATGAAGATAGTCTAGGTAGTGTACTTGCAGGTGATGTCAGCTCTCCAGACGCTCTCCCAACACTGGAGATTTAGATCTTCCTTTCTTCTCCATCTCACAGCGCCAATCCAACCCGCTTTTGTTATTGTTCGCTCCGCCACACTGGTGGAAGGCCTTGCATACCTAGTCCATCATACACCAGAATGGGTATTGGGTAATCGACAAAGATTGCGATTTGCGCCCCGTCTCATCCGCACTTATTTCGACTGGTCGGAGGGGACGGCGAGGGCCAGCGTGACGCAGATAATGTGATCTCCGCGCCGCCCAACAAGGAGAGAGAGACCTGCCCTTCTGACATCCAGCGGCACCGCGTAAGCGCCCGAGACGGCAAGAAAAATAAAATGTATAGAAATCACATTCGCTATCCTAATTCCCCGACTCTTCGCGCATGCGGACCCAATTCGTCCCTCTCTTTATCACTCCCTAAATCCCCCCCCAAAAAATGCCACCTTGCTCTTTTTCCTCTTCAGCCCGGTCCGCTTCCCACAGACTGCGCGCGCCTCCGGGTTCCAGTCGACGTTCGGCCTTGTTCCTTGTCCCCCCCCTCCCTCACCCGTCTCACTCATTGGCCTTGAGAGACATCTTCAGCTTCATTCCAAAAGCTTGCAACAAGGCTCTCACATAAACTCACTCACTGACTTTTCAGCCATCAGCTCAACTGCCAACGTCATTGCTCCAGAAACCGTTGATGATGTTGGATTAGCGCCGAGGCTTTAGCTATGTCTCTTCATTCTTGAGCCCAGAGCCAATCAAGCTATAGCGTGAGTCACGTACTCAGTATACGTTCATAGACGGACCCTCTATATGGGCAATCTGCTGTTTCCATTATACACCACCCAAGGCCATGCCAGCAATAACCCCTTATTAGTACCAAACCCGCACCGCTGACTCTATCATGCGCTTTTGTTTTCGGCTCAAAGTATATACGAATCCTGTTTGACTCTGTCCCCTTTTCACCGCCGAACCGATTTCTGCTTTGATTCCATCTTGTTCCGCCTCGCGTACGGGTTACATGACGGTTTTTTTTTTTTCTGTTTCTCCCTATCCTCCTTTCTTCCTGGCCCTGGCTAGCTGTTAAGGACCCCTACCCAATACTGCTCGCCTTTTCGTCGTGTGGATTTTGCGGCCTCCTTTCAATCATGTCGCTAGTGTGGGCCAGGCGTCCGATGCCGTGGGCCCATTGTGACTTTTCCTAATCCACCCCTGTTCTCCGAGTTCCTCAATGCCCCCAAACTGGGTAAGTCAAGCGCAGCAACTTCTAGACGCTGGTGAAGGCTTCGGCTGGTAATTGGGCCTGTGCGAGCCTTAGTATTATTTTCCCTGTGTTCCAGGTTTCGGGGCATCCTACCTTTTTCTCGTGGAAGACTGCCAATGCCCTGGTGAAGTCCCAAGCGACGTCTGACAAGCACATTTCCGAGTACGCGTGTGTCATTGCGGTTTGCTTTGATAGTTCGACAATCATGGCCTGGCGTTGTTCTTGTTCCTGGGCCGGCGGCGCTTGTGCCTCGGCGACGAAGACATTAGGGAGTGGGTTGAAGGCTCTGAGGGAGAGCATATCGCTAACGACGCGGATGGGGTTGCTGTTGGGTCGTCCGGGTCCCAGAACAAACGTGCGAGAGAAGCTCCGGAGACCCGTCTTGCCGTCCTTGTCGCATTCTTCGAATTGACCGTGCACAGATATAATCATGCCGTCCACACCGCCGGGTGTCTGGCCAGTCGGGTCGGCGAGACCGGGCAGAAGGTGGCAATCCATAATGTACTTGCTGATGTCTACCTTGATGTCCGGGTGCTGTGTTTTCGGGAGGTCGTTCCAGAGGTTCCAGATGGCCTCTCTTCCCGTAATCAGTCTTGCAGCTCGGGCGGCTGGTGTCGTGATTTTCATGAGGTTCCGAGATTGCTTGATGTATGAAGCCCAGGGCATCGGCTGTGGCAAGCTTGCATCCCTAATGGAATGAGTATCGACCGCCAGAGAGAACTGACTGTTGTCGTCGTAATATTTGGCCAGGAGACCCGTGCGGTCCGTGTCAAAGCCGAGGAAGAACTCCAGCAGGAACGCCTCTCCAATGCCCGCAACGTCGCGGAAATCGGGTCCACGTTGGGGAATCGGCTTTGGCCGACCTGCTGCTTTGATCTCCGCAATCCGTTCCGGTGTCAGTTGCTCACCGTTCAAGACTTGCAGCTTAGGAAAGAAGTACAACAGCTCGAGCACCACCTTCGGGTCCGTGATGTTGAGCGGGTTCCCCGTTAGGTACAGAGTTTCCAGCTTCTTAAGCTTCTGTCGCCATCTCGACAGCCCTGTGACGGACGCAATCTGATTCCCACTCAGGTCGAGGTTCTTAAGGTCCGGGAACGTATCCGCCATCTCTTCGACTTGCGCGACGGTATCAATATTGTTGTTTGCCAGGCTGATGCTGTGGATGGCATCAATCTTCGCTTGGGCCGTCTTGAAGAGCTCGTCGCAAATCCTCATCATGACCTTGAAAAGCTTTTCGGCTCTGTCCTTGGACTCCAATATTCCCATCTGGATCAGGCCTTCGTCTTGGTACAGGGAGTCCAGCCTCAGAAGCTTGTTTTCCATGTCGTAGCGGAGCGACATGATGCTTTGCAATTTTTGTTTCGTCTCCTGAGCTGCGGCAGATGCTTCGTTCGCCTTGGCAATCGACCCGTCACTGTCAGTGATCTCCAATTGCGTTCCCGCGAAAGTGAAGGTGTTGACTTTGAGAATTTCCTCCGCATCTTCTTGGCTTGCCGCAACGTTGACCAAGTCCCCTCTCATACTTGACTATTGATGGTTAGCGGTTTCGTAGTCTCAAATTTCGTCTCAGCTACATGGAGGACACAAGCAGCCCGTATGGGGCTGTTTGTCTCTAGCTTCGCGTAGTGTCTTGCGTTGCAACGAGGCTGGACCAGTCGGCGTCCCTATGTAGTTCCCCTGAGCCTCACAACAACGCGACATACCTTCTTAATGTGCACCGTTTTGTTGCGGCCAGACAGAGTGGTGGCTTTCCGTTCGAGAAACATCAGCAGGTCCCTCAGGCCACCGTCGTCATTGCTCGCGGCCTTGCTCTCCTTCAGACCCTTGACGGTCAGCCAGACCAGACCAGAGCTCTGTGGCTTCCTCCTCGATACCAGATCGTTTCCATCGCCCGTGTCCAGATGTCGAGCAATCGCTTGGTGTACTTTCGAGCCTGGCTTGGTTGGGGGCCCGCCACCCCGCGTTGGTCGCTGAGGTCGCGAGTTGTTCGTGTCAGTCGAGGCTGCTCTGTTGTTTGGTCTACGTGTCCCACTTCCCCCAGCGACGCTTCCCATGTCAAGGTCTCCGTCCCTGTCGACTTGGGTTCTGCCACCTCGACGCTTTTGGATGCCGCCGCCGCCGCGCGATGTCTTCGTCCCAGCGGCGGAGTTGCGGGTTTCGCGTGCAGGCTGCGAGTTCATGCTGCGAGGGGCTCGAGGAGGCGCCATTTTGGAGTTGCTGCCACAAGCAAGATGATGCGACGAGTAGTGTTCGGTAGTAGATAGAGGGGTATTCGTAGATGGAGTTCGCTTGTTGAAGGCGACGGTGAAGACGATGACGAGCGATTTCTTCGATATGCCGTCACGCTTTCGGTGGTAACAGGTAACGATTGTCGAATCTAGAAGAAATCGCTGCGATGTTGTAGAGCGAATGACTGTTGTCTCGTTTCTGGGACGTGGGCAGCTTCAGAGTACAAAGGCCCTAAGGACCTAGGCGCAAACTCGGGCTACTGCGAGAAGCAGATGTACTTTTGGCGGAGCCTTTATATATCGACAAAGAGAACAGTGAATGAGTGACCGGCACGCAAGGGGGCAAAGACCGCGCAGCTTCGTGGGCGGTATTCGAGGTGAGGCGAGTGATGAAGTAGAGGGAAAAGGCAGTGAAGAAATTCGTCCGTCGCGAAAAGCAGTGACGTTTGAGTTAGCCCCACCACAGGTCACCAGACAGGCAGGCAGGCAGGCAGGCAGGCAGGAACGCTCAGGTCGCATGCGACCTCTCTGGACTAGGTTTAGCGCAATTGTGACTCTGGCTGCCTTCTTTGCCGCAGTATCTGATTGTTCAATGTATCGAAACTTTTCCGTGTGTGTTTCTCCCCATCCCTCTTCAATCAATATTAGTCACGAGGTTTACCAACGGGGTTTGCTTGTTATTGCAACCGCTATGATGCGCTGGCTTCATGCTGCGGGCTGTTGCCCCGGCAGTGGTGTTCCAAGGACTTTCCCAGGTTTACGATGTAACACAGCGATAGCTGAGTAGACAAGGAAGGCTGGCAGCGCCAGGGTCAATATGAACAGAACAATCCAAAGCGAAAGTATGAGGGAGAGGTAAAAATGCTTATATATTTCCTAGTAAGTCGCATCGTGCCACGTTTACCAGTTCTTCCGAATTGCCAAAAGCGCCAGACTAAGCTTTCATCGAAGAAAGCAGAGACGACGGGGCTGTCCCAGCCCCACTTGTAGACCCTGAAGCTGAGCTTGTCGACCAAACCTTATCAAGCACATTATTATGTAATCAATGTCAGGTGACCGCGATCTGATTTCGCGTCGAGCTCGACGACGCGTCTGGGTTAACCGCCACGCGAGCCCCTCGTTGTCCGCGAGCAGAGACCTTGCTGACCCCAGATTGGGAGGTTCTTCGTAACGGCCACGGAGACTCCCATCATGCTTACGCACTTTGGGCGAAAGACCAATAACTCAGTCATCGAGTGAGGACCATTCACTGTTTCCACCATGGATTCTGATGAATACGACGACGATCTCGCAGACGAAGATTTGGTGGAAGCACTTAGTCAGAGTCAAGCTGGCCCATCGAGCTCATCAGCCTTTAATCTGCAGACTGCGCCCTCTGCCAGGTCGTCGGCGTTTACCCATGCCCTCGAGCCATCTTTCAACCGAGACAACACGGGACGTCAACTCCCGGCAACCAATGTAGGTCGAAAGTTATTGATACCGTTTGCCCTCATCAATGCGAACGTTTTCTAAACGGTTCTGCAGGCATTTCAGAAATCAGCATCAACTCGACCTCTGGCAAACGAGTTGGATGACTTGCCCTCAGATGCATTTTCCTCCTCGCCGGAACCACTGTCCGCCGCACCACCCACCAGAAATGCAGCAACTGCGGCGCCCAGGGCTCAGAATGGATTGACTCGCACGTTATCGTCAAGCTTCAGACAGACCACCTTGCTGGGTGGTAGGGTCGCAGACGACGCCCCTATACAACCCTCTCAGCCAGGGTTCGGTCGGGTCTACAGGGGAGATAAGCCTGAAGAGGCCCCTTCTCAGCATGCTATCGATCGTGAAGCGATGAAGACCTGGTTGTATCCAACCAACCTCGGAGCCACCAGAGACTATCAGTTTAGTATCGTCAAAAACGGCCTGTTCAACAACACACTTGTCGCCTTACCCACTGGTCTTGGCAAGACATTCATCGCTGCGACCATTATGCTCAACTACTACCGTTGGACCAAGGACGCCAAGATTGTGTTCGTTGCACCTACCAAACCTCTGGTGGCACAGCAGGTAGACGCTTGCTTCAACATTGTGGGCATACCTCGATCTGAGACAACGCTCCTTACAGGCGACACGGCACCGGCCCTCAGAGTAGACGAGTGGTCGTCCAAACGAGTGTTCTTCATGACGCCGCAGACGCTGCAGAACGACATCTCTCACGGCTATGCCGACCCGAAATCCATCGTTCTGCTGGTGATAGACGAAGCTCATCGCGCCACGGGGGAGTACGCTTACGCCAAGGTCGTCAAGAGAATACGCCAATACAACCCCTATTTCCGGTTGTTGGCGTTGACCGCGACGCCCGGCTCAAAGATTGAGACGGTGCAAGAAATCATTGACAACCTCGGGATATCACACATCGAAATTCGAACCGAGGATTCCATTGACATCCGTCAATATGTGCACCAAAGAAACGTTGAGCAAGTTGTCCTCGATCCCTCTGATGAAATGTGCGAGATCAAGGATCTGTTCTCGAAGGCCCTGAAGCCGCTGATGGACAAGCTCACCCAGCAAAACATCTATTTCGGCAGGGATCCGATGGCAATAACAACGTACGGTTTGGTGAAGCAACAGCAGGAATGGTTCGCTACCGTCGGACGCAAAACCAATCCCGGAATGCAGTTCATGATGAGGGCTGTTTTCAGCATATTGCAGAGTCTTGCCCACGCAATCAAACTGCTCAACTTTCACGGGATCAGACCCTTCTACGAGAACCTGAAGGAGTTCCGAGGCGGGGTTGAAGACATGGGAGAGAAGGGGTCCAAGTACAAGAAGCAGATAGTTAACGACCAAAGCTTCCAGGAGATGATGATGAGGGTAGAGAAGTGGCTTCGCACCGAGGGCTTCGTCGGCCATCCGAAGCTTGCCGCTTTGCAGGACACTGTCCTCAACCACTTCATGGACGCCGGTGCGACGTCCACCCGCATCATAGTGTTCAGCGAGTACAGGGACAGTGCCGAGGATATTGTCCGGGTTCTGAACGTGCACAAACCACTGATCAAGGCCACTGTTTTCGTCGGCCAAGCGGACTCGAAGCGGTCCGCAGGCATGAAGCAGAGCGAACAGATTGCAACGATTCAGAAGTTTAAGGACGGCGAATACAATGTACTGGTCGCAACCTCCATCGGCGAAGAGGGCTTGGACATTGGACAAGTCGATCTCATTGTGTGCTACGATGCTTCATCCTCGCCCATCAGGATGCTTCAACGGATGGGCAGAACGGGACGAAAGAGGGCAGGCAACATCGTACTCTTGCTGATGCGGGGCAAAGAGGAGGACGCCTTTGCCAGGTCGAAGGACAACTACGCAGAGATGCAGAAGCTGATTTGCGAAGGGAGCAAGTTCAACTTCCGCCACGATCTTTCGGCTCGGATTGTGCCTAGGGATATTCGGCCCGAGGTGAACATGCAGCACATCGAGATCCCCATTGAAAACACGCAAAACCCGTCACTTCCCGAGCCCAAGAAGGGGAGGGCGAAGAAGAAGTTGCCCCCCAAGAAGTTCCATCTGCCAGACGGCGTCAATTTGGGCTTCGTCAAGGTATCAGATATGGGCAAGGCTAGTGCGGCCCCTAAAAGAGGTCGCCCTCAGAAAAAGCAAGAGCCGACAGAGGTGGACTTCGTTGCTGACGTGCCCTCGGTCAACTCGGTCGTCCTCACAGAAACACAGTTGGCTGAGTTGGACAGGGTGTACCGGTCTCTGCCTGCCAGCTGGTCCAAAATCGAAGAGACGGAGATGCCAAGTTTGACTGCCTGTCCCGAGCTCCAACGGCGGCTTCGACCAGTGGGCAAGGTTCAACACAGCCAACGAACGAAAAGGTTCGTCAAATTATGTCAGAAGCTTGCCAAGAGCCAAGACACAAGAAGCCGCTACATACAACCGTTTGGGGAAGAGGATACCAGCCGGTGGGAAGAGATTCCGGTCCCAGATTATGCCAGCGATACGGAAGACGGGGTGCCTCCGGGCAATGGTGCCAGGGGGCAGTTGAGAACGGTGGTGCCTGAGGGTGAGTCCATCGAGGAGCCAAGGCCAAAGAAACGCAAACCCAACGGTGCACCCAAGCGTTCAGCATTCACATCTGCTGCAGCGCTGGTGGACGACGACATGGACGAGACGGCGGATGAAGAAACGCCGTCGCGCCGACTTCCGAAGCCGAAGAAGGCTGCTACGGGACGAGGACGCGGCAAGAAGGCCTTGACGCGAGTGGGACGTGGCATCAACAGCGATGAGCTCGGCGACGACTGCGACAGAGACAGCGACGTGATGGAAACGGACGGGTCAGACAGCGGGGGTGACTTGCTCGACTTCGTCGTCTCGGACGACCACCCCGTGTCCAGCAACCACCCGACATCTTCGGCGTTGTCCACGAGCCAAGGCACGGCCACGGGCTCAACGCAGCGCAACGATGCCGCCCAGCCTTTTTACGTGCCGACCGAGTTCCCGGCGACACAGGAGTCGGCAGACTCGCTCCCGGATCTGGCGGATGTGCTTCTCAGTAGCAAGGCAAAGAGGTCGCGGACAGCAGCGTCGATGGACGAGTCTGAGGATGGAGACGCTACTCCGCGACAACAGGCAGGCGGACGGCAGCAGAGAAGGCGGCCAGTGTTTGAGAGCGACAGCGACGAGTAAAGTGAACAAGCTGGACTATCGACGCATTGCAATTGTAAAAGACATGCATGGGGCAGGGCAGCGGGCATGGCAGCAGAGCCAGCACCACCAGCTAGACATCACCAGGAACGATAGTAATGACTAAATGAATCCCGTGTTTATTGCTCTCATTCACTTCCCATCTCCTTCCGTGCAAACCCCCCTCTCCACACCCGGAACACCGACGACGACGCGGGAGAGCCACGCTTCTCTATCAAAAGTCTCGAGTCAGCAAGAAACGTCCCGATGATAATGCGGTTGCCGACGTAGCAACAACAAAAATTGAATATTTTTTTTGTTCTTTTTGGACCAGCAAATTTCAGAAACCCGAGTTAAAAGCACAACATCCCCACCCCGCCCACCCGCCGCCCCCTACCCCCCGACGGAATCGAGGGACAGCACATGACGGTGCAAAGGTTCCCAAGCCCATGTGCCGGTTCAAAGAGTAAGGGTGTCTCACGAGGGGCGAGACCGAAGGGGGAGAGGGGAGGGCCAGCATGACCGCCCCCCTTTTCCCCGGGGCGTCTCAGACGGCTCTTCCTATGAGTATAAAAGGTTTTATGACTTTCATCATATGGTGGTCTTCCCGTCCCCAGCCCCTCCACACTCCTTTCCTCCCCCTCGGGAGCTCGGGGACGTGGGAGTCCCAAAGCTCGAAAAGGGTGAGAAGAAAGGATGGGAGGAGGGAGGGAAGGGGGGGGGATTTCATAAAAGGAAATTTTTATCGAGCTTACCTCTCTGGTACGGACTTCAATCAAGGGTCCTGTACGACATTGCAGAGATCATCAGCCGAGGGGCGCGCGCGCGTCGGAAGTCGAGAAATTCGCAGGGTGGAAGGGGATGCCCTTCGTTGGGCGACGGACGCCCGGGTTGATGTTGACGGGAAAGCAACGAGGTTTGAAATTTTTTGCAGCAAACGCGGGTTTTGGAGAGCGGGCAAAGGAGAGGGACGTGGGGCGCGGAGGGAGCTTCAGCCAGCTGTCTGCCAACTGGCGGCGACCCACTAGAGCTCCCACCAATCGTGCGATGGAAGCGACACCTACCTAGGTTATTATCTAAGACAGACTAGACACTGCACACACACACACACACACACACACACATCTCTCTAGATTTCCCCCGACGGGAGGAAAATGGCTCCAACGGCAGCGGGAACGGCGCGAACGGCAGTCCGTTGCTGACCCGAAGCTTACGGGCACGACATACCACACTCCCAGCACGGGGCAGGGGAGGGGGGCCGCATAGGAAAGGGGATCTCTCGGCTCGCACGACATCGTCTTGCGATTTGATTCTATCTGAACTATCTAGGTAACTTTGGGTATCTATCTACGCCCGGCATTTCGCTTGTCCTTTCATCCCCTTCCCTCCCTCTCTGATGCATGCATCAAATGCACCCGGTGACTCAAGTCCGTCAAAGAACATGTTTCTTTCCCCCTCGTGTTCCAACCGCAGATCACTCCGCCGCCCCAGCCCTTTTGCCTGCGCAGCCGTGTGCGGGCGGCGCGTCGCGATGCTTGGGGCCAGAATACGGGCTGTCAGATCTGGCCCAGTGCCTCCGGCGTCCAGTGGGGGGAGCGGGACAATGCTTGGCTTTGCACGCCGAACACGTCATTCCTGTACTGTGAGGAGTCGAGAAGAGTCCGAAATGAATGAATATACTGCCTAGAGCTCGGATCCACAGATCAACGTGATGGCCAAGCAGGTGAATCTCAAAGTGTGTTTATGAATCTAGTATCTACAAGGGTGGGCTGCTGCAAGGTGTAGAGCTCTGTGGATGGTCTCCATGCTAACTCAACCCGTGTACCACGTGACAATCCCCTCCCCAAAAAAATGATGGCGTCCTCGTCATCGCCTGTGAATATCCTAATCCTCGTCACTCTAGGTGCCAGTTCTAATTTCTGTTCATTGTAACCTCCATTGTGACCTCCGTAGTAACCTCCATTATAATCAATTCCCAAAAATTGTTCTCACCATTGGTCGTAGGTAGGAGTAATGTTGGGGCTGCCCCAGTCGTCATTCGAGGCATCGTTCCAGGTGTCCTTGGGGTCCACAATGTCAGAACAATTAGGATTGCTCCAGCCGTCATTCGAGGTTCTTCTCGACTCCTCACATGTACCCCTTTCCGCGGGAACCCGAATCCTACACCATGTGCTCTCCTTACTTCTTCTGTACGTCTGCGTCAGGTCTTAGGGCCTCGGAGTCCTTCGTCACAGCGGCCGCGACAGCCGGGGATGTAGCCACGCCGGCGTTGTCGTCTGGGCCAGGCCTTCGGAGCAAAGGGCCCTCGTTCGCGCCGGGCGTCGCCGCTCGAGACCGGGGTTCGTCAGCCGCGGGCCCCGGGAGCCCTCTGCAGCGCTAGATGTGACAGATTGAGATTGTCTGCTTTGATCATCTCCTAGCTGGTTGAGGTCGAGAGAACGAGAACAGAAAAGTTCGCCTTCCTCAAACGACGGGAGTTCGTCGTACATGGGATCCCCGTCTCGGAGTTCCCAGGTGATGCCGTAACGCGCGGCTTCTTGTATGACGTTGGTCGATCGTCCAACGAGGGCGAGCATCTTCTTAATGGCCTGACGGAACTCTCCTTCAAGACCGACGTTTCCGCTAGCAATAACTTGCTTATCACGAGAAAGCGTGACGTAGTAGGTGGTCTTGGTCTGGTCGAAGTTCTTGTGCTGCAAAGTAAAGCAGATAAAGCCCTTCCAGTCAAACTCTGACGGTAGCAGTTCGTGGGCAGGATTTATGTTGTACATTGTCGGATCGTTAAGCAGCGAGCACATAGTGTTGGCGAGAGGCTTGTATCTCTTCTCATCCGTGGTGCTCCCTCGTTTATCATTGATCCAGATGTCCACTCGCGGTAGGACCTCCCGCTTGCGCTCTGCGAAGATCATAGATTATTGGTTGGCTAGCGAGAACCTAGGTGACAGCACACTGCTAAGCTCGAACTGGCTGCCGGGATAGCTTCCTATGGTGAGGAAGGGCGACGATATTGTTGACGCTTGCGAGCAAGGTCGTTTAGGTGCGAAGATTATAGATTACTAGTCGGCTAGCAAGAACCCAGGTGACGGCACACTGCTAAGCTCGAACTGGCTGCTAGGATAGCTTCCTATGGTGAGGAAGGGCGACGATATTGCTGACGCTTGCGAGCAAGGTCGTTTAGGCGTACGGCCCTGGTCCATAACGTCTGGCTCTTGCCGAGGGCGTTAGAGGTTTTCCCCTTCTATTTTATGCAGTCAGTAAATATATATGTACAGTCAAGAGCTTTTGATTACTTACTATTAGAGGCAGTAGCGCACTTACTTAACGTTATAGCTAGGGTAGCTAGATCAGATTCTGCGTCCATAGTTGCTTCATTCTTCGTAAAGAAGAAGACTTGAGAGATCAAGTGGCTAGGAATGGTGTTAGATCTGTTAAGAGCCTTCTGTATATATAGACAAGAGCTTTGTGTGAAGAGAGGATAACGCTTTCAGGAAAAGGTCTCTACCAGGCGTCAGGAGGGTTAATTTAAGGAGGAAGAGATGTTAGCTAGAATAGAGTAACAAGCTCGTACCTAGTCTTACTTTCTGTTGCTATTTTCACGCTGTTTTGTCAGGTGAGGGCAACTTGTGACAACAATTAGCAAAGCTTCTTGTGAGAGACACAACATAAACAGGCGCAAAAGAACAAGTAACAAACAAAGTATGACAATTATCAAGCTCCTTTAAAGGAATCTTCTCAAGCTCATAACACAAGGGTTATCAGGTCTCAGTTGCATATGCAAAGGGCAAACAAGGAATAATAAAATGTGTTTGTTTGTTGTATTAGCCAACCTGTCGTTGCTTGTTCAAGACCATTGACGTTTAGATAGATCTTTGGCGGTGTGACAAGGGCATTTTATTACCTAAGATTGTTTATTTTGTTTGCTTTGCTTCACTTCTGACGCAGGCGGTAGGCACGCGTAGGTGCACGCGTACCCACTTGTTCCTTCCTTTGTGATCTTCTTTCCTGGCTTATTAACCAGTGTTGTGTAGTTTTCTATTGTGTGCTAGATCTACCAGAAGTCAACAGCCAAAGCGTCTGTCTTGCGAGATTCCATCCGGATGGCGGATCAGGTACATAAATTTCTGGTGTCCTGCGGTACTCTTTGGCGCTTCCTCCGATTGTCAAGCAGATTCTGCGACCTTCCTTCCATTTGCCTGACCCACCCAGGTCGACTTCCATCCACCCGTTTCTTTCTGTCCTATGGGGGCTTTATTTTTTGTTTTGTTGTTTTGTTGTGTCTCCAGAAGCCCAGAGCAAACAGTCCATCAGCGAACACAAGAAGCTATGAGACTTAGAGTCCTCTTCAGTGCAACACTTCACGACATTGCTCGACGGGCACCCAGTAAGGTTTTAGTGGTTTTCAGAACTGCCAGATCAAATTGAGCGAGATAAATGTCTCTAAATCATCTTCCTCAAAACGTGGCGTCCCTCAGTCCCCCATGGCCGGCCTGCCCTGCCACCAGTCACGTTGCTAGCCATGTCCTCTCTATTATCAATCTCATACGAATTCAAGATGAGAAAATGAGATACACCCGAGAGCAAGCAGAGTGGTTATGCGAGACCAAATAATACAAAATCGCAAATGAGGGAGAGTCGAGCATACGACCCCCTCGAGCCCTCTAGAGGCTCTGTCCATATCCAGTCATCAAATCATTAGCCCATCCCGCGCCCAAGCGGACAAGTTTTGTCACACACGCTACAACTGCCCACAAGCAGCTGCCAACGTATCCATCGCACACCTTTCCAACCTCCATTTACTGGCTCGGAAAGCTATGGTAGTCCAAGGCCCACTCGAGAGACTGGAACGGATCCTGTGACGCTTGGGAGTAGCCCAAGCCGGCACTCGGCACCTCGCCGAAGAGGGATTCGTACGTCTTGCTCACGGGGTTGGCGGGGAAGAGCTGGAAGTCGTTGCCACAGAACTCATCGGCGCCGCCATTAAATGTGTCCTCGAAGCCCTCATCCACCTCGGCCAGAGAGTTTGGTGTGTAGAGCATGGCATTGCCCTGGCCAATGGGAGAAATGTGAGGGGCAGTCTGGACGGCATCCATCTGAGGCTGGCATGTGGGAACAGGCTGATAGATGGGGAATGCCATGTTCATCTTTTCGGCGAAGACAGACCGGTCAGGGGTGGGGAGTTGGGCGTGGGCACCATAGATGTCCTCATTCACAGTGAAGTCGGGGCCCTCCTGGTACGAGTAGGGGCCATAAGACACATCGGTGGAGGGGGTGTTGTGGTCCGACGGGGACATGGACATGTCAAGCTGACCATCGAACGGGCCCGAAACACCGAGAACTTGGTCAAAGTCTTCGTCCGAGATGTAGGAGGGGAACTCCATGCCATCAATGTGGGAAGCAAAGTCGCCCACGGGACCGATGGTGTGCAGGGGAGCAAGAATGGGGTCGTTGAAGTTGAACTGCGCCTGGTCCATTGGCGGAGGGGGGTGGCAGCGCTGCTGGTAGAAGGAGTAGGCATGTGGATGAGCTGGGGGGTGGAATGCGTCACGCTGCCGGCCTTGCTCGACGACTTCTTGCCGTTGGTCTTGGTGCGAACGTATTGCCAGCCGTGGGCCTTCTCCATGTGCTGCTTGCAGTTTGATTCCCGCTTCGACTTGTAGGGGCACGGCTTGTACAGGCACTCGTACATGGGCGGTGCCGAGGAGTGCTTGTCGTTGTGGTGGCGGTCCATCTCCTTCTCGGTGGGCCAACCGTACTCGTGGTATTTGCAGGACTTGACAGGGCATTTCCAAGGGCGGGAGTGAGTCTTCTCGTGCTTGGTCAAGTCACAAGGACGCTTGAACTCCTTGTTGCAACCAGGCTCGCGGCACTTCTTGGGGGCAAGCTCCTCGGGGCTCGCGTTCTTCTTGCGGCGGGCCATAGAGCGCATGATCTCCTCGTCGTCTTCTAATTGCTGGCTCAAGGAGCGCTTCATCTGGACGGGGCTCTTGGCGTCGTCAAGGTCGACCTCCAAGCCGGTCGCCATGGAAATGGCCTTTCCGTCCTTGCGAACGCGGACGAGCTCGGCTGGGCGTCCGTTCTCGGTGATGCCGCCGAACAGCTTGATTTCGTCGGTCCTGGAGAGGAGGTCAGCACAGTGAAGCGGGAGATGAGGGTGGGTGTCGTACGGGTCAACGTCCATCTCAGCAGCGTCTGATTCCTTGGCGGCAGCAAGTTGGCCGGCGTACTGGCGAATCTGTTCCACGAGGTCGATGAAATACCCGTTAGTGTAAGGCCGGTCGTTGGGTCGAGTCTGTTCTCGGTCGCTGAGGTATTCCACGGTGGCTTGAATGCAGCGGATCGACGTCAGGCAGAAATCGAGGTACAAGGCGGCGGTCTTGGTCCTCTCCTTCATCAACGATCGATAAGTATTTCCCCAAACTCCAGTTTGATTCAGGAGCCGACTTACCGGTGCCATAAAGATGAGCGTCTTTTCCAGGTCTCTCAGGCAGATGATCTCCTTCTCTCTGATACGCCTGGGAACGTCAAGAACAATCGGCTCGAAGTCCTTGAGGGCGGGCTTGGCCCGGAGTGGTCGAAGAATGTGCTCTTGGATGCGGTTGGCGGCCTTGGAGGTCAGGGCGGGAAGCTTCTCCATGGTGGAAGAAGCGTTGGCAGCAGAGCGGGTGATGGCGGATGCCTTCTTTGAAGCAGTGGTCGCAGTCTCTGTCTCGGCGGTATGCGCGACAGAGGTGCCGAGTCCGCTGTCTGATTCATGATGTCTCGAGGAGCGACGGGTTCTGGGGCGCAGGATGCGACGTTCCGCCTCCTTGGACTTTCCCTTTGCCATGGCGGGGTCAACGACAGGAAGGTTCAGGAAGCCTCTGGGCACGGGAAGGCTGTCGTCTCGGAAAGACTTGGCCTTGGGGGAGACGAGGGTGATGTTGGCAAGTGACTTGTCGATGTCGTCGACAAACAGTGCCATACGGCGGCGATGGGCATCGACGACGTCGTCCAGGTTGGTCTGGGAGCGTCGAAGGCTTGGGGGAGCAGTCAAAGCATCGTCAAGGGAAGATGTAGGACTGGTGGGAGAATGGAAGGTAGCACCCTTGCGGAGGCTGTTGGTCTTAAGAGTGAGGCGACTGCCGGCAGAGGACTCCGGGGGAGTCACCGGAGGAGTCCTGCGTCGAGGGTTGACGGAGACGGACATGGTGACGGTGATGACACGGGTGTCCACAACTCTGTCAACTACGGCGTGTTAGACGTCTTGCGGGTTCACCAAGTTGTAGGGCTGAAGAGAGCAGCGGCGGGAGTGAGTCACAACCAGGAGCACGCTGGTAGGCTCGATGGCGTAGTCCTAAACTCTTGAGCAAGCCCAAGGTTCAGGATTGGTCAATGTGGCGGAAAATGGTTTGAGATAGGAAACGTGCGGGTGAAGGACATGAAAGAGAAGAGGAGACCGAGTCTTACGTTGAGATGGGGCGGAGATGGTATCGATGAGGACGGTGTAGATATGATACGGCAGACAGCGAAGCAGGCGAGTCGATTTAAGTCGAGGCCGAAATCAGTCTGCCTGATTTTGAGGGGTTTCTGGGAGCGGGACAGATATCTGAGACGGCGTACAATTTGCGGCTTTTCGTCGCAGTAGTACGCGTCGGCGAGCAGACGAGGATGGAGGAGGGAAGAAATTGTGGTTTGTAGTAGGGTCCGTGGGATGTATCCGGAGGAAAGAGGAGAGGCAGGCGGGGTGGGTGGTGCGCGGCGGCCTCAGTGGAACAAGGCGGCGTGCGTGTCGTGTCGTGTCGTGTCCCAAAGAGTCGGGAGCCACGGATAGGACTACTGATAGAAAAAGCAGGAAGATGGATGGACGATGAGGAAGAGGGGGATTCGGTCGAAGGAAAGGACGATGAGGGTTGGGGGGGTAGGAGGGAAAAAGAGGCGTGGTCGTGAGCGAGGACGTGGAAGGCACGGTCGAAGGTCTTCGAGGTTGATTAGAAAAGCAGTACAGCAAGCAGCCGCCAGCACTGGAGTTCAAGGCGCGCTGGACCGACGGGCGGACCAAAACTATGGAAGGCGCCCGCCCGGGGTGAGAGACTGCTGCCTAATCGACTGGCCAATGAGAGAACGTCGCCGCCAACCCAGTGGAGGCGGAGTCTGGGCTTTTCGGTCCAGGGAAGGATCGGACCCCCTGTCAACAGCGACCCTCGAAAGGTACGTACCTCTCTCTCTGTGTCTCTCTCCCTTTCTCTCTCTCTCTCTCTCTCCCCGCTCCTTCCTCCCTTGCCATCTTTTCCGCTGCGGGCGCCGAAATAGAACAGATTTTGTCTGGCAACTAATTCCGGGCTCAGGTCGACCCGCTGTGAAGATCACCGCAGCTCTGCAGCAAACTGCTGGAACCGCAGGGCGGTGGACGAAAGCGTTAGTGTCCTGAGCACAGCCCGAATCAAGCATCGATGTAACTAACATATGAGCAGAGACCACATAACATACATCCTACGGAGATATTCTCAAAGGTTATGCGATACCCTCGCCCTTAGCATTACACTATACTACACCACAGCACTCGCCCGTGTCGCAGCATTGAGCTTCAGTCCGTTTACTAATCAGGGGTACGGAGTGGTGTAACGACAACATGAGTAACGAGAGAGAGAGAGAGAGAGAGAGAGAGAGAGAATGTGTAGCAGGGCTGGACGCTTTGCTTTACGACCACCTTACGACCTTGCTGACAGCGAACGACACCGACCGTAAGCACGGCGGCAATGAAACCCGACCAATGCCCCCCGTTCTCCGTGTCTGTTAATTCCCACCGTCATGGCCGTACGTTTGTGGGCCTCTCGGACTCCCTCTTGGCATCCATCTAACCATCTCGCCGACCCGTATCCGTAGTATTACGAATGACCTACGGATACTCTGTACGGCTGCTTTTTCTGCTCGCAAATCCCAATGGGTCCGGAGCAACAGAAAGAGCCGGGGCCAGGGCTGTAGTGTACTGTACGCTACACTCCTCGGGTGCAGGGTAGAGAGTCTAGGGTGCTCTATCCGTACGAACCCAGGAACCGCTGCTTCTCCCTGCCGAATATCCGTACTTTACACAGCGTTACCTTACAGATGGAGACGATGAAATGTGTTTAATCGAGTTTCAACATGCACCGCCGAAAATGGTCTGAAGTGGCTTGGGGCTCATCCCGGTTTCTCACTGTCGCCAACTCGGAACGATGGCCTGGCATAACGAGAAGATGCATTCGCTGAGATGGGCACACGGGTGACTGGAATCGCAGTGTGTACCATTACATACACCACACCGTCTACACGGCCAAAGGTGTCAAGTGTCATCTCAGCCTGGCAGGGCGTAGCATAGCAGCGCGCTGCATTGCATTACACTGCGCTGCGCTGCACACACACACAGCACATCTCGACATGGCTCAACTGCACCCACCCCCCGCCTGTTGCACCGGCCGTGGCGTTGAGGCCACTAACGACGACAAGACTGGAACAAGACTAACAGATCAACACAACCGAATGGCAAGACTGGACCGGCGGACGCTTGAGGGTTTTCTGCATATGCATGGTCCTTTCGCCTCTACCCAATTTGGCCGCACTCGCTTATTATCCTCGTCCAAATTAGCCCATCAAAACCAGAGTCCAGAGACCAGCCCCGCCTATCAATCTCCACCCGCCAACCTGATCCATGCCTTCCCACTGGATCGTTTCATTCTCCGCCAATCTGGTACCATCCTAAGCGAACAGTTGGCTCCTCAATTCCGCTCTCTGAGCAGTGAAAATCCTCAGCCTCCTCCGCAGGACCGTCGGGGACAACCCCCCCCCCCTCTTGGCATTTACCCAAACCGGCAAACGGGCTCCAGTCTCGAATTGAGACCAACATTGTCAGTCGATTAAGCCGCCAACAATGCGGAAATTGACCAATCATGTCTCCAGGCTCTTACCCTTGCCGCTTGCCGCACCACTGTGATATCAGTGTCTCCATCGACCCGTGGCCCGTGATCCATGGCCCGTGGAGTTTATTGATGACGGATCCACTCGGAGCCAAGTCCTAGGTCTCGCTCACCGTTGGGTCAAGGACGGCTGATCATACTACTACAATCGGCTCGCCAAGAGGGGAGTCCTGACGGCCGCCCGGTGCTTGTCGAAAGTCGGTACACTCTGTTCGCTCGGCCACGGGATTAGCAGGGATGGAGGACGGCAGCGGGCGCTCATCGTCCCCTATCCTGTGTCACCAATCCCGTGTCATACACGACATACCTACTACGTGCTACCTACTCTGCGCACCCCGGTCTGATCAGCAAAGCAGAGCCCACCAGTCCGGTCTGGGTCGCCCGATGACGTCCGGCGCAGAGCGCGCCGTGATGAGGTTGCATCTGAGGACTACTCGATGTTTAGCAATGCGCAGGTTCGCGCTGGGCTTGCGGGCGTTTGCACTCCCCCTATTGAGGATATCGGAACACACAAACGTGAGCAACATGGACCTGCGTGGTTTGACTGACTCGTCACCGAGCTTGCGTCGTTTGGAGCTTGGCGCTTTGCTCTGATGGTAGTGTTACCTACTGGATTGCGCGGCTGCGCGCACCAACCCCCTCCAGGGTCAGTATTCGGGTTCGCACTCTGCCGTATGAGCGTCGTTGCTGCACGGGACTTTGAGTGAGTGCAGGGGGAGCAGTCGCATGATGGGCTAGGTACGCATTCGCTTGCAGGTACGCAGGCCAAATGAGCCTTCGTTAGCCAATTGCTCACCACCACCACTCCTCCTCATCTCTCTCTCTCTCTCTCTCTCTCTCTCTCTCTCTCTCTCTCTCTCTTTCCCTATCTTTCCCTCTTTCTATTCTCCACACGTAGGGCTGGTGTGGCTGTCATAGTGACTCCGACTCAAGCCAATCCAATAAGGTGGACTGGTCGAAGCAGAAACTCAAAGCAAGCCTTTTGACTCAGAGCCGGCTCTCGGCCGCAACCCGCGCACTCATCAGACGAGAGACGGTGTCCCGTCATACCTCCCTCCAACTGAGCCGCTTCGTCACCACTCACCTCCTTTTCGTTCCTCAAACTAGTCTCTCCCGTATTCCAAGACGCAAGACGTGAGACTTGGGGAACCTCGTTTCTCTTTGGCCATGCAGACAGGGCATGTGCTTTTGCTGCAGTCTTACTGGTTCACGAAGCCCGTCTTGGGTGACACGTACTCCGTCACGAACCAGCGATTTCTAATCCAAACCAGTCTGCCCTCCAGTCAGCCTTGTGGATCCCGTCTTCCACCAACCATCTCCGTGGGAATTGGGCAGCCTATCACCGGACTCCGCTCTGCCGATCTCTACAGCCACCTCCCGACTACGTTGTGGTTTACGTCGTCGCAAGGCATCAGCATTTTCGGCATTGTCGTCTCCTTCTTCGAACACTGCGTTCCTAGCACCGTAGCAGCATACCCTCCTATCCACGCACGCGCCCTTTGAGAGGGGGGCTGCATGTATCCCAGTGACACACAAGTGACAGGAGACTTTATCGGATGGATTCGAGGAAGCATGTTGTTTGTCCCCGTCTCGCCCCCAACTGGATTGAAAGAAAGGCCACGAATCTGCATCGTCAATGAACGCCAATCTACTTGTGCCAAATGAGCCAAAGTCTGGCTGCATCCTTGTTTTATTTCTGCCTTTGGACTTGTTATCGGTACTCCCAGCTTGGCGGCCCTCTAGGAATCGGGTCGATCCCAGGTCCATGCACGTCAGATTCCCAAAGGACCTCGCAGGCGAACCTTGTTTCTGGCGCGCCCCTCCAGACATGCTTTCATTCTTTTCGGGAGGGGCGAGCCACGGAATTCGGGATTCAAAGGCGTCAATTTCCGTCTCATCAGTTCATCTACTTCTGCTGTCTACTGTCGCCCCCCTCCAGCCCAGCCGCGCCGGCCAAGCCGCGTCTACCGCCGCTGGTTGGGGGCCGCTCGCCATCGCTCTTCGACTTCCTCCATCAGCTCGTCCAGTGACAACCCCGGAGCGGATTCCGGTGGGCTCGCGGCAGTGTCGTCCCGCGCTCCCCAGCCGCTTCCGTCCTCCAGCACGACGCTCAGGAGCGGGCCCCTTCTCGCCCTCGCCCCCATGGTCATATCTCGATCTGTCCTGGCCATGGACCTTTGCAGCGGGCGAGGGACGAGGTGCGCCGTTGAGTCTTCGGGCTGGAAGGGCTGGCTGTCTGCGCTCCAGCCGGGGCTGGCCGTAGAACCACTTGGTCCTTGGTCCTGGTCCTGGTCCTGGTCTTGATTGCCACTGCGATACCCTGGTGTTCTCTGCACGTGTTGTGAATGATGCTCGTGGCCTTCGGCGTTGCATTGCTCCCGACGAGTTCGTTCCCGCCGTACGGCCTTCTCGTACCGAATGTTCGTATAAAGCGGCCGGCGGGCCAGGCGGACCTCTGTCGGATCCGTGCCCTCGTGCCGGCTTCTCGACGACGGCCCGGAGCGTCCCCGACGCGGATCCCGCCGCGGTCCTGTACCCCCGCAAGCATCGCGACTCACCGGGCGTCCCGCGGCGTGCAGGTGCTTGTCGCCGATGAAGCCGTACCGTCTGGATGCTTCCGCGGCGGCGTCCTCTGGCCGGAACGGCAGGTTGTCGTCGTCGTCGTCGTCGTCGTCGTCGTCGTCGTCGTCGACGACGAACACCGGGCCGCTACACACTGCTGCGTTAGCTTCCTCCTCGAGACAGCGGGGACACTTGCCGTTGAGCGGTTCGAGGGCCGGCTTGGGCCGGCATTTCTCCTCCCTCGGGGGCGCGGCGGGGGCGGGGAAGAAGCACAGGCAGAAGAGAACCAGCCACGGGCTCCTACGGTCTTGTTCTCGCCGACTTCTCGTCGTCGACGACAACGCCGCCGCGTGGGCGTGTCCCCTGCGGCGCCTCTTCTCGTCGTCGCAGGTGATTACCTCGGTCCGGCCGTGTCGGCAGCCCTTGTAGATGGTTTGCTTCCTCCAGCACATGCTTTCTACTCACCGTGTTCCTTGGAGGGCTTCAGTTTAGAGCTTGGCTTCTCGGGGCTCAGGGTTATGTAGCGCGTGGTGTTCTTGTTGGTTTCGGCAGACGAGTCTGGAGACGCCCAGCCCAATGTGAAGAATGCCGTGAATGTTATAGTGCGTACGGGAAGCCTGAAGAACGGCCATGGATGGATACCCTGTGCCGGATCTTGTAGGTAGTTCAGTCATGTGTTCGAGCTGGCGACAAGGCCCTCCCATGCAATTTTCTCTGTGAAGTCGTCGCTCTTTGTTCACAATGCCGAACAACTACATTGTCCAGGCAGACATCGCCTCTGTTCCCGAACGGACGGTTTAGCACGATACGGAACACTCCCTCCCCCCCAGAGAGGCAGACGCAAACCACACCACAGCAGAGTCCCCGTCGTTGAGCCTACTGTGTCGCTCGCTCTGTTGTCAAGGAGTGGAGTTGCCGAGGTTGCGACGGAGTTATCAACGTTCTCCGGTAAAATTACAATGTGTCCGCCAGCTTGCCATATCATAAAATTACCTTTCCGCCCATCTTTTGCGCTTGGTTTGTTCGTATTTCTATTTTGGAGAGGGTTTCTTGTCGGCTGTACTGACGCTTTGTTTGCCGACTCTCCTTCCCTTGGGTTGGGACCACCAGTCAACCCGGCCAGCCCCGTCAGCCGCTCTCCTTGAACAACCGCAAAACACAGCCTCTGGCTCTAAAGAGCTGCGTCCGGCATTAGAAGTAGTCGGTCTGGTTCCAGAAAAGAAAAAGAAGAAATTGGTATGTGGGCTTATGTCCTTGCCTGGTATCAATGTACGTTTTTTTTTTTCCGAACAAGGGAAGCGGCAAAGTATCACGACAGCCCGTGTTCCCTTTGGGCCGTGTATCCAACCTTTCTTTGCCTTGCGCGTAAGGGATGGAAACGCTGCCCTCTTGCCTCAAGAGTAAGCCTCCTGACCGAATCAAACAAGGAAGCGACCTTTGGGGGGGGGATATGTCTTTGAGCAAATCTGAGTCAAAAAGGCCCCCGTGGCCCCCATGACTGTAGGCCAGCCAGACTTACACCACGACCTGTTGAGTTTCTCTGCCAAGCTCTATTCTTCCCCCCTCCTTTTCTTTTTCCTTAACGATCAAATCCGAGCAAGCGAGCATGGGCTTCTCATGGCCTTCCCTAGGACGCTGGACGTCCCGTAGAGCCCGTTCCTCTTCGGCCTCACTCGAGCCGCTTCGGAGTGTTTCCAACGGCCGCGCTATGACGACGACAGTGTGCTACTCCCCCAACGGCGGGGACCAATGCGCCTCACCGTCAGGGCTCGCGCCATACGACGAGATTTCGTCGCCGTCGTCATCATCGCCTTCGTCGTCTCCCGCCAGCGAGCACCACCAGAGGTTCCCGACCGGCCTCTTTGGAGTCCAGACCTACGGCGTTGAGGAGACGGAGGCGCTCGCAAAAGGTGAGTCCCCCCACGCGCTCGACGCGCTGCGCCGGCGGCAGAAGGAAGCTGAGAGACGTCTGAGGAGTGACAGGAAGGAAACGAATCCGCGCGTCTGGTCGCGGGCGGTTTCCTCTGCTCGGGGGCGCCGGCCGAGGGAAGAGGAGGCGGCTCCGCAGCGGCGGCGAATCCACCATCACAAAGACCACCGATATCACTACGACCACATCCGGCCGCGCAAAGATGCGTCCTTCAAAGAACGGCATGACGGGTCGAGAGAGGTGAATCATTGTCACAGCCGGGAGGGCGGGGCAGTAGACGATGCTAATGCGTGACGCAGGCCGAAGACGTCGAGGAGGAGCCCAGCGGAGACGGAGAAGGTTCCTCGTTTGCCGCACCTGCGCTTCCCGGAGTTTGGGCTGATGATGAAAGAAGCTGGTATTTCGGCCACGATCGAAGGTAGTGACCCCACGTCTGTCCATGGGGAGGGTATAGACGTGGAAGCGTCCTCGAACGAGAGTATTTTGTCAAAGGACAGGTCTCCGAGCTGCCTACTTGGTCTTCGTGACAACGACGACACCGGAGGCCGGGAAAGCCCCGAGAAACCGACAAAAGACGAGCCGGGAATTCACCGACCCGCGTCTGACGACTTTGAAGGCCGGCAGATGGACGAGGAGGAAGAAGCTCCCCACGGACTGAGCTACGATATCCCTCGTCCTACCACCGGCCTGGGCTGGTACGAAGATGATGCGTCGTCGGTGAAATCCGCCGTCGACCACTCCGACTCGCAGTCGAGCGTGCGCGACCCTGGCGGATCGGCGGAAAGCATCACGCTGGAATCGCAACCCCATCCTGTACACCAGGACCCTTTACGATGCAGTCCGTTTATCCGCTGCTGCTCTCAAGCGTCACCTTTACCCGAGGTAGGGGAGACCCCGACAACAGAAAACAAGCACAGCAAGCTGAACCCGTCTATGAGCACCGTCATGAAGCACACGAGTAGCTTCCTTCAGTTCAGCACGGACGACGACGACGATGACTGGCTGGGCCCACGGCCCGAGGAATCTGGTTCAGCCTCACATCAACATGTCGAATACCCCCCCGCTCACGCAGAACCCTCCTCTAACTCCATCGTGGATGACTCAAATCCTGTCTCCCCTACATCACGTAGATCCTTTTCAATCTCAAGAGAAGAGCAAGAGCAAGAGCAAGAGATCGACGACATCCTCGACATCTACGCAACCTCCCCTGACTGTGTCCCCTCCACCACACCCGTCCAATACAGCGACTTGCCCCCTTATCCCCCATACCACCCCTCCGCCTCCGCCCCCCTCCGCACGATCGCTCGCGGTCTCTCTCTACCTCCCACAACCTCCTTCGCCGACCTCCAGGAGTGCCTCGCCCGCAACGCAAACATCCTCCGCTACCTCGTCCTCCACCGCATCCCATCCCCCTCCATCAACCCCATCGAGTACGTCACCGACCTCGTGGAGCCGATCCTCCCGCTCCCTCTCCCGCCGCACCCCTCCCTCGCCCAGAATCACCCCCCGCACCCGCGGCGGCGCGAGTACACCGGCCTCCTACAGGCAGTCCGCTCGGTCCAGTGGTCCGCCGACGCCATCAACGACATGCTCGCCGTCGTCGACTCGGATCCGTCGCCGCCGGGGAGCTGCGGACGCCCCTCGACGGCGCTGCCCATGTTCCGCAAGCTCCGCGCCGCGGACGCGCAGCGGAAGGGGTGCCTCACGTCCGCGCAGCTGCACAGGCTGCACCGCCACGGGGTGTCGCTGCTCGACGTGTTGCAGATGAACGACGTCCCCAAGGTCGTCGCCCGCGGGCTGAGCGAGCGGTTCATGGAGGCGGCCGAGAGCGGCGTGTTGGAGATCGCGAAGGAGGGCAACCTGCTCGACGAGGAGGGCGCCCTCCTGGAGCTGCTGGTAGACCCGGACGATATCGTTCCGACGAGCCCTGGGAGCGAGAGGAGGGGCAGGCCTCGGGTATGGAGCGGGCTGAGGAATTGTGTTGGTGTCGACGAGGATGACGGAGAGACGACGGACGACGAGAATGAGAACTACGAAGCGCAGGCGGCTGTTGGATCGCTTTTTCAACACGTGGACGACGGGCACGATGTCGACAACATGTCGTACACCGTGAGCCCCCTGTCTCCCGCCACGGATCCCGGCGAGCATGGCTGGGACCGCCACGAGGTATCCCCGCTGACGACGTCCTGCCGCCTCCAGGAGCTCGAGGCTCTATTCCACGAAGCCCGGGTTCTTTCTTCCGAGAAAATCCGTCCAGCCGACGGGACGACCCCCGACACGCCGCGCAAGACGCTCAGGAGGACGCGCATGCTCCGGACGTGCGGCGACAGGGGTGGCGTCCTGGTCGACGAGGAGACGGCCAAGAGCCCCGAGATGCAGCGCTTCTTCCACGAGATCGGGGCGGCGCCGCCGGCGGACGCGGACTCTCGGCTCGTCAAGGGGGGCAGGAGGAGCTGGGGCGTGGACCTCGGGGGGATGTTGAGCGCTTAGTCTTTTTTTTTTTTTTTTTTTGTACGGGCAGGAGTTGCGGGCTTTTGCATGGAGGCATACGGCGTAAAGGAGTGGGGATACAAGCCATAGCGTGATAATCCTAGAGCGTGATAATCCTAGAGCGTGATAATCCTAGAGATAAAAAGATTCATATGTCTGTCTACTTATCTTATGTACATCCAACAAATAGGTGGACAAAAAGGGGGGGGGGGGTATATTTACTTTTCCTTTTTACACATGCGCCCAGCCGTTGTATACGAGCACCTGCCCCTCGTTGATCAGGCAATGGACGCCCTTCTCCTCCCTCCCGTCCCCCTCGGCCTCCCACTCGGCGAGCCTCTTCCTCACAAGCCACTCCTTGACGCGGTCGCTCGTGAGCAGCCGCCGGATCCTGGCCTCCCAGGTGCCGACCACGATCCTCCAGAGCGAGAGCCAGCTGTCGCCGACGTCGCGGGGGTGCGCCCACTCGTACGCGCCAGGCGAGTACCCGACCCGCACGCGCGGGTTCAGGAAAACGCCCAGGCTCTCGGACAGCGGGTTGTCGGCGTGGATCAGGCAGCACTCGCTCGCCTCGAGGTGCTTCTCCTCGGCCAGCGAGTCCGGTACGGCGCGGAACTCGAGCCGCCGATGGCCCGACGCGCGGGACACCAGGAACGGCGCGGCGGGCATCGCCACGATGCCGTTCCAGCAGCTCCGCACGGGCACGGCGTCCGAATAGGTCTCCATCGCCTCCCGGCTCGCCCGCGACCGGAAGTACGGCCACGTCTGCATCAGGTGGCCTTGCCCGGCCGAGTCCCGCAGGGCGAACGTGTCGTAGTAGTACGGCGGCTGGGAGAAGTCGAGCGAGCACGCCGCGCCGTAGAGGCCGTTGTTGGTGTCGAGCAGGGCGAGGACGTCATCCGTCTGTGCGTAGGTGTATGTCTGGTTAGCCTCCGGTCCCTCACCACAACCACGTGGAGAAGAAAGTTCAACCTACAGTGAACACCACATCGTTCAAGAAAAGAACCTTGTCGAAGATCTCCCCTTCATCCCCCAGCTTCCACAGGTCCTTGAGCGTCAGGTTCCTCAGCCGAGCCAGGAAGGGGATCCGCCTCATCTCTCTCTTCCCTCTCGGCGTCGTGATCCACCCCTCCCTGGCCTCGCCTTGCGCGGGGACGGCCTCGACCTCCTCCTGGTGCGTCCTGTTGTCCAGCACGACGTTGCGGCGGACTCCCCTGCGGCCCAGCTCCTCGTCCAGCGCCAGCAACGCGGCCTTGCTGTCGTCCCAGCTCCCGCTCTCGTACACGCTCACGAAGACGTTGTCGCGGCCCAGCGCCTCGACGAGAGCCAGCACCGCGCCCGCCCAGTGGTCCCGAATCAGCGCCGCATCGTTGTAGTGCATGCCGGCGATGTACACCCGCTCGGCGCGCCGCGGGCGCTTCGGGTCGTGCCGCGGGGCGCCCGTCACCAGGCGCTGCACGCGCAGGGCTTCGAGGAAGTTGTAGACGGCGAAGACGAGGACGAGGTTGCGCAGGGCGCGGGAGCGGAGGAGGCGCCTGGCGCTGAGGCGTAGGCCGTTGAGGAGGCCCATCGAGGGATGGTCGAAAGGGGGAGGGCGCGAGGCGGGTAGAGCAGGTCGATTGACGGTAACGACTGGTCAGCCAGGGAGGTAGGTATATAGGGTTTAACGAATGAGTGTCTCGGTGGACAACGCCATCGAAACAGTCAGTGTATGCCGAACAGCACGTATGTCGTTGGCAGTTGCCTCAAGCTGGAGATTAGTGCTTAGTGAGCCCCTCCTTCACTCTCTCCTGTCTATTATCCCAGCCAAGATGGGTGACAGGGCTCCTTACCCGTTCAGAAATACAGCTCCCCGGGATCCCTTTTTTTTAGCATGTGTACATAGGTAGGTAGTAGTATGTAATTAGCCGTCAGAGGGCGCAGTATCATTGGTCGGCAGACCTGTCAGGGCCGACCTATTCTGGGAAGCATGGAGAAGACAGGGAGCCAAGCGATTGGCTGTTGTGGAGCCGACGCCAGTGATACACGTACGTATTAGTATTAGTGCATCGTATATCTGCATGTCAAACGTGCGGATATTTGTGGTTGGTCTATGAGGAAGACATGGCAGGGGGCACAGTCGTGACCCTGTAGATCATACAGATTACCGGTACAGGTGCTGACACATACCAGTTGCAAGCCACGGGCCGTTTATGATTCCGGTCGAGCATGGTTGGCTCTAAGGTTCCCGGTAGAAGCCCACTTTATGCAAGCCCACACTACCTTGGCGTTGGCTGGAAGTGAACCAACCTGTCCGTACATGATAGAGCATCGCCGCCAATTGCATCAGCTGAATCCCGCGGCGGCTTCATGGCAAATCACATACGCAGAAAATGTGGTCTACAGCTGCAACTCGCTGTAGGCAATTGTTGTAGACTCTCTGCCTATGTGACCAAGGGAGCTTTTGAAATGAGATATCAGGCTGGCTGACGTCGATAACGCATCTAGCCTCCTCAGCAATTTACCATCTGACTTTCTTTGTCGTCTGCCATTCCCATAGTTCTCTTCCATTTGGCCTGACATCGGCTCGCTTTCAAGCAGAAGCGACTCTGTTCTAGTGACATCTTCCTCATGCTCGACATCGAACACCAACCATGGCAGACTCCGCGAACTACACGGTAGGCTGGATTTGCGCCCTGCCCACTGAGTTCAACGCAGCCAAGGCCTTACTCGACGAGAAGCACGAGGAATGCCCGCCGGTTGCGAAACACGACAACAACAGCTATGCGCTCGGCAGGATAGGCAGTCATAATGTCGTGATAGCCGTCATGCCAAGCGGGGAGTATGGCACGACCTCGGCCGCGGCTGTGGCTCGAGACATGGTGCACAGCTTCCCCAACGTGCGTATTGGACTCATGGTCGGCATCGGCGGCGGCGCGCCCAGCCCAAAGCACGACGTACGTCTTGGTGATGTCGTGGTCAGCAGCTGTGGCAGAGGTAAAGGCGGCGTCTTCCAGTACGACTTTGGTAAGGCCGTCCAGGGTCAAGACGTCTCATTCCAGAACACGGGCTTCCTGAACCAGCCACCGACAGTTCTGCGAACAGCTGTCAGCGCGCTCGAGAGTCAATACGAGATGGAAGGCCACCAACTCAATTCCATCGTTGACGGGGCGTTCGAACAGTGGCCGCGACTACGTAAACGATACTCCCGGCCTCCTCCCGGCAGCGATAGGCTCTACTGCTCCGATATAATCCATCCCGACTTGCCGGACGCATGTAGTAGCGTCTGTAGTAATGATCCTGCCCATCTAGTACTTCAAGCTCGGAGAGATGAACTCGACAATGACCCCGCAATCCACTACGGTTTGATTGCCAGCGCGAACAGACTGATGAAGAACGCTACGCTCCGGGACAAGCTGGCGGAGAAGGGCGTCCTCTGCTTCGAGATGGAGGCCGCCGGCCTGATGAACCACTTCCCCTGTCTTGTGGTCCGTGGGATTTGCGACTACTCTGACTCGCACAAGAACGATGAATGGCAGGGCTTTGCCGCGATGATGGCGGCGGCATATGCGAAGGATCTCTTGCGTCAGATCCCGCCTAGCAAAGTTGAGGCCGAGAGTCGAATCGGCGATGCTTTGGTTCTTCGTTAGTCTCACGTCCTTGGTTCATTGCCGCCCCCCCCCCCCCCCCCCCAATCCAACCAGCTCTGTCTGACTTTGAGCAGTCCGCGAAGGCATCGATCGTGTGCATCAAGATGTGAATGAGATGAAGAACGATGCGGCACTTACCAAGAATGAGAAATATCTCAAAAAACTCTATCGCTGGTTGTCAGCGCCCGACCCCTCGACCAATGCTGCGTTGGCGAGAGCACGCAAGCACCCTGGCACCGGAACCTGGTTTCTAGAAAGCGCCACTTTCCGAGATTGGGTGGCCGGAAAACGTCAGCACTTGTGGCTCTACGGCCATGCAGGATGTGGCAAGACCGTTCTGAGCACGACAATCCTGGATCATCTCAGGGAAACAGGGGAAACGAGTGCCGACCTTACGCTTGAGTTCTTCTTCGACTTCAACAACACCGGAAACCAAACGCTGGAGAGCCTCTTACGCTCGCTAGCATTGCAGCTTTACCGCAATAGTGGTGAGGCTGCAAGGAGACTCGAGGACCTTTTTAGGTCTAATAGCGATGGCCAGGCACAGATAGGCATCAGCACACTGTCGGCCTGCGTCGAGGCAATGTTGCAAATCTCCCCAAGGGTCACTATCGTCCTAGATGCCTTAGATGAGTGTACGACAAGGACCCAGCTTCTCTCTTGGATCCAGTATTGTGTTTCTGGGTCAGGCATCTGCAATACTAAGCTGATTGTCACTGGGCGGCCTGAGGCGGAATTTGATCGTGTCATTCCTCGGCTTTTTGATGAGAACAACTGCATGTTGCTTGACAAGAAGGCTGTCAACGCTGACATACGCTCCTACGTCGCGCATGAGCTTCGTAAGAGGCCCGATTTTGTGGAAAAGAGGATGCCTCGTGATGTTATCGAGCAGATCCGCAAAAGTGTTGGCGACAAAGCCGATGGGATGTGAGTTTTCGTCCTTCTCATATATAAGTATGGCCAACTGTCTGACGCATATCATAGGTTTAGATGGGCGACGTGCCAGTTGGATACTCTTGCCAAATGTCTACATCTTCAGGCTATCCAAGAAGCCCTCAATAATTTGCCGCCGACCCTGAATGAGACATACGAGCGCATAATAGAGAACATCCCATCGGAACTCAAGAGCGACGCCATACGCCTCTTACAATTCCTCGTCCACACAGACCGACCTTTAACTCTCTCGGCCGCAATCGACGTAATAGCTACACAGATAGAGGGCGAGCAAACAGGCTTCAACGCGAAACGCAGACTCTTTCTCAAGGAAGATGTACTGAAATATTGCCCTAGTTTGGTGGTAGTCACTGAGGTCCTGAAAGACAGGTACAGCAAGCGTACTGAAATGGAGATACACCTCGCCCACTTCTCGGTCAAGGAGTATCTCACATGCGACGAACAATTTCAAATTGCAACTGCCAGTGCTGCAATCACCAAAACCTACCTTACGTATCTGACAGATATTAAGGGAATTTCAGGGAAAAGTTTGCAGCTGCGCTTTGAAAAGTCAGACCTTCCCGTGGAGTCTATTGAGTCGGACTTTCCATTGGCATTTTACGCGGCAAAACGCTGGATGTACTATGCGAAGCTAGCTATGCATTCCGATGATGTTTTCCAAAAAGTTCTGTTGTTCTTACAAGACAAGGATGCCTTTGAGCTGTGGATTATGTTCTTACAAGATAAGGATGCCCTTTACCTGTGCATTTTGGGTTTCGCGCAGATGAATTTTCATTAACATCAAAGGGTCTATATTATGCTTGTCAAGGAGGGCTTTCAAGAGTATCAAGAAGTCTGCTGGAGGAAGGGGCAGACGTTAAAGCAGTAACTGGGAACAATGACACTCCGCTCCAAGCTGCATCATCTCACGGCCATTAAGAGGTTGTACAACTGCTTCTAGACAATGGGGCAGACGTTAAGACAAAGGTAACGGGTGGCTTTCGCAGTGACGCTCTTGAGGCTGCCTCCTCAAGGGGCAATCTGGAGACTGTGCAGCTTCTCCTAGACCACGGGGCAGAAGTCGACGTAAAGCACGTCTGGTATGCCTCGGCTAGAGGGTACCACGCGGTTGCACGGCTTCTAAGAGAGAGGAATCAGCTGCCACCTCCTCCCAAGCGAGCGTCGAAAGTACGATGGCAGCAGATAGCCGGAAAACCTCGACCTCAATCGAACATACTTACCCCGAGCCTCCTCTCAACCCCCCGGTTGAAAACTGCTGGCTATCCCCCAGGTAGAGACCCCCCTCGTCATAATAAATGACTCACGTGGTCCAACACGCCCTCAGTCCGTGCATGGCTGCCGCCGAGATAGCGAGGGGGAGACGCTTTCCTCTATAAACAGAATACAACGTGACTGTGTTTTCCGATCCAGCATCAATAGACCTTTGAGAAGACCCCCTCCCGAAGATTTGCCAAGAACCTCAGCCTTCCTCTGTGATGAGTGACCACACACACCAGCCATCGTAGTTGCAGTCTGAACGGCTGATATTCATTCGACGAGTTGGACGTGGATGATGATAGCTTCAGGACCTGGCGCAAGGTCTGGTCCTGGCGGCACGACTGAGAGCGGTGCTTGTCGCTCGAAAACGCAGACCCCACACGCAATTCTCATCATGTCAATAACAGAGAACCGTTGTTTTTGAAGTTTTGTCATTGACTCAAGAAAAAACTAGTTTTACACTCCAAGGCGCCCCTTTTTTGTATTCGTCGCCTCATCTAACAATCACAAGGTGAGCCCCTTGTCCTTTACCTGGGCTTCTTATTGCCACTGTATTCCTTGACCGTCTACTACTGTGGGTCGTTAGATATGAGAGTCAAACTGATGCTGGGGCAGCATCATCTGCTGTGTGTACCAATCCCGCGTGGGCTTGGTTGCCTGGACGCGATGTTTGCTTATTTGGCGAAGTGCAGGTCGTAGCCGAGCCACTTGCGACGGACGACTTCCTCAACACTCAGGCCAGGGTAGCCGTAAGTCAGCGGCAGGAAGAAGTACCAGCCGGCAAGAGCGATGAGCAGGATGACACCGCAAGCGACCCAGGCACCGACAAGACTTTGGCCGGCAAACCGCTCGCGGGCGGAGATGTGTCTCTTGGGTCCATGGGCCTTGCCGTTGCCCTTAATAGGCTGGTATCCCTCCTCGGGCACGGGCTCGGCGGTGAAGATAAACTCTAGGAGAGCACCGGCGACTAGACACGAAGCGAGATGAGCCGGCAAGTAGTGATGCAGGAAGAGTTGGCGGCCCATCAAGTAGAAGGGGAAGTAGTGAGTGGCCCAAGCCAGGAAAAAGAATCCGGTGGAGTTGTACAGCCGTGACCGAGTGCCTGAACATGGTTAGCATCGACATTTGAGGTTACAGCATAGGTCAGAGAGAGCTTACGGTGGTCAAGAGCGTCAATGCCTCGTCTAAGTGACACCTGGTCCGCACCGATGATACCGGCAAAGACAGCCAACAGACTGCTCGCAAGCCACCAGCCGACGGGGTTGCCGAGGAAGTAGATCTGCTGGCGGGTGTCGTTCTGGGTCCAGAAGCTGACACCACGGAGCAGGAAGGGCCACTGGTAGGGGTGGCTGGCGTAGGGGTGGCTGCTGGTCAACTGGTTGTTGTGCCAGAACATGGACCGCTGCAGCTCAAACCACTTGCGGAAGAAGGACAGAGACTTGACCTGCTTCTCGGGCTTCTCTCGTCTCTTGGAGTCCAGGGGAAGCGAGGGGAGGTCCTCGACAAACCAAATGTTGGAGCTCGGCGCCAGCTGCTTGTTACCGTTGATCTCCTGCTGCTTGTGTCCCCAGTCGGGAAGGGGAGTAGTGTGGGTCCACATGGCAACCTTGCTGGGGTTGTGGATCAGCTTGAAGTGGCTCGAGATAGTCTTGAACTCCTGGCCCGGCTTTCCGTTCTCGACTCTGATCTCGAAGAGCGTGTCATTCAGACGGTCACCGTACGCTTCGGTCAGGGGAACGGTGGTGAACTCCTGGTTCGTGGGGTAGTAAGGCGAGGCCACGTCGTGAGACAGGAGCATCGTGTCGGTACCCAAGTGCCTGAGACGAACAACGTCCTGGTTCTTGACGGGCTTGCCAGTCTTGTGGTCATCGATAAGAGGGATGATCTGCCAGTAGTTGTTGGTGTCGTTGTAAGGGTAACCAGTGACCTGCTGGCCCTGGCTGGAAACACGGCCGTCCTCGTAGCGCAGAGGGTAGCGGTCCTCGTGGCTGTGAAGGTAGGTCTTGGTCTCCTTGTGGCGCAGGGTAATGGTATCGTAATACTCGACAGTCAGAGAGTTGGCCAGCATGACGTTGTCGCTCAGCGTCTCCTGGAATTCGGGGGTCATGAAGTCGTCGCCCGGGCCAGATCGGGTCAAGACGGCAAAGTGCACCTGGAACCAGAAGAGGTAAAACATGAAGGGCAGGATAATCAGACCAAAGGCGCGGGCGGCAAAGTGCTTGCCGAACTCGGGAAGGCTCAGGGCGCCACCAGGTCTCTTGATGTCCAACAGAGCCCAGAGGTCGATAACGACAGCGGATCCAATGGTGACGAAGGCGAAGAGGCCAACGTACTTGGTCGAGATGTCGGCAGAAAGGGCGAAACCGGTCAGGACAAGCCACTTCCACCACTTGCGGGAAAAGGGCTCGTGGCGCAGCTTGTAGAACTTGATGTAGCAGAGCAAACTGCAGGCCATGGCGAAGACAAGGGTGGCATCCAGAAGGATCAACCGGGTCTGGCCAATGTGGGCGTTGTCAAGCAGGACGAGACCAGCAGCCAGAAGGCAGGCGGGCAAGCTGTAGCCAGACTCCCACATGATGAGGTAGGTGACGGAGACAGTCAGGGCGCCAAGAATGGCGGGCATAGCTCGGAAGGCGACATAGGGCACCTTGTTGGAGATGTAGGAATCGCCAATGTTGTCGAAGTGGAAATGTCCATCGTAGCCAACGAGCCATCCCATGAAGGCGAAGAGAAGCTTTCCGAAGGGGGGGTGGACATCGAAGAAGTAGGTTCTCTCGAGGTAGTAAGAGGCGAACTGTCAGAGGTTGTCACGTTAGCGGGAGCCGTCGACATGTTGGGGGACTAAGTTTTGGGTAAGCTCGGGACGTACCTTGCCAAAGTGAACCTCGTCGAAGACGACCTCATTAGGATGGCTGATGCCCCAGAATCGAGTGACGAAGGCGAGAATGGTGGTGACGAGGAGGCCGACGCTGTACTCGGCGTCGGAACTGATGCGCTTGGTCTTTACAACGGACTTGTCGTTCGGTGCTTTGACGACATCATCGGAGACGGCGCCAGGCGTGGTCGGCCGCTTCGCAGTGTTGCGCTGGCGAACGCTGCCCTGCGGGGTGGCGGTCGTCTGCGCCATGATTCGGGAAAGGTTCGAAATCAATAAGAATAAGATACGGGAGGGGCTGCTCGCGATGGAGGTTGTCAGTACAAGCCTTGGAGGGTTGCAGGAGAGCTGGGGAATATATTTTGGTCCACGGGGGGGCCAGGATGTCACGGCGGAAAAAGAGAAGGACAGATAGCTCCAACTGATGGACGCCAATAGGACGGAATGGGTACGTATCGCTTCGTTGAGCTGCACCCAAGGGGCTTTTTAGCTACTTACACGCTATGGAGAAAAGCGGACCGCGTCAGCCCTCGTGTCGTGCTGATGGAGAGAAAAGAGAATAGAAAAAAAAAGGGATGGCGGTAAGGAGTGACTGAAGAAGAAGCTGTACTATGTAGAAGGGGAAATAAGGGAGAGGGTACGAATACAACTCTGAACCTCTCGAAGATGAAATAGAGATGGGGTAAAATGACAAGGGAAGATTGATCGCCTTCTGGGGGTGCAACTTCTCATGGAAAAAATAATCAATAGGGGAGGGTACCCCCTGACGAGCTGCAGGTTGACACTGAACCTTCCCGAAGACTGGTTGGCCTTGGTGGGTGGATTGGACACTTGGCCAAAGTTAGAGAGCTGTCATGGTACGGTACTATCCATCCATTCCATGGGATCCCATTGAGTTAATTCGATTGGACGAAGCTGCACTAACTCTCGGTACCTAAAAGATGGGAGAGCTCCAGCCCGATAAGATAAGACTTGCTCGATGGCTCCGATACATCAGGTAGTCACTTTACCGGATATACTGGCTGTCCCGGCCGTCTCCCGGTTCGGCAAGTGCAAAGTTGTAAGTTTCAGATCAGGCTTGCGAGTGAAGAGAAGGATTCTGCTCAACGAGAGATGCGACAGTTTTCTCTCAATGGCCACTCCCAAGTTATCCGCCGGTACTGTCAGAATTTCGGTGGTGGGAAGTGGAAGAGGCGTGGTGCTTAGCCTCTCCGACCTCAACGGGACTCAGCTAACTTTTATGTTGAGTCTCTTCAACTCGAATGGGAGAGAATACGACTCAATTGACTTTATACCAAAATTCTCAAACTGGCGCTTTTGACGCATGTAACCGCGTTGTCACGTCTCAGCCCGCGCGTTTGGCAGGGCCGAAAGCAGCCAGCCACCCGCTGCTACCCGCCCGGGCCAGGCGACACTAGAGCCGAAGAACGGAGCTCGACGGCGGGGTGACCGAGTCCCGCACTCCTCTCCAGCCGATGAACTTTATGTGTTGCTCCCAGTAACGTACTCCGTAGTCGCAGCCCAATTGAAAACCACCCCGCCCTTCCCCCCCCACGATAGTTTCTCCTTCCCTCACTCAGTCCACCCGCTCACGCCAATGTTCTCGCTCGTCAGATCCGTCGCCAGATTCTCATCCCGCGCCGCCATCCGCCGCCCTCCCTCGTTCCGTCTCCAGTCCTTCAGCGTCCACGCCTCCAAGATGTCTGACCAGTCCATCGTCTTCACCAAGAACGCCCCGGCCCGTGAGTTCGCCTCCCCAACGCATAAAATCTCTAGAATAAGTTGCTAACTAATTCGTTGGATAGCTGTTGGACCTTACGTATGAACATTCCGTGACCCTATGAGCCAACCTCGGAACAATCAGACTAATCCTGATTCCCCCCCTTCCCCTATCTTAGTCTCAGGCCATCAAGACCCCCACCGCCATCTACTGCTCCGGCCAGATCCCTCTCACCCCTGCCGGCGACCTCCTTGAGGGCTCCATCACCGACAAGACCAAGCAGTGCATCACCAACCTCAAGGCCGTCCTCGTCGAGGCCGGCTCCTCCATCGAGAAGGTCGTCAAGGTCAACATCTTCCTCGCCGACATGGGCAGCTTTGCCGTGAGTCCCTGTCCCTTCCCCCCTCCCTCTCATGTGAATTTCATCCCTGACGCCCCCCATCAGGAGATGAACGGCGAGTACGAGAAGTGGTTCACCCACAAGCCTGCCCGCAGCTGCGTCGCCGTCAAGACCCTCCCCAAGAACGTCGACGTTGAGATCGAGGCCATTGCCCTCCCCTAAGCGTCTCGTCGCTGCTGTGTAGCCTGACAGGATCTAATTCAAAAGGCAGTCAAATGTCAACGGTGCCTCGCGTGTTCCTAGTGACTCCAAATTCATACGCTGTGACCGTGGATATGTCCAATCATGCCACAAACGGTACTCAATGCCCTGAAGCGCCTGACTTATCCCTCTACAATTTGGCCCGCATGTCCAAAGTGTTTCTTCAAGATAAGCACAATTGTCAGACCGGACGTTCATATTTCCGCCGTCCCTCGCCATTTTCCTCTCGCGCCTGACCTTCAACTCCAAGAAATTGTTTTTGCGGGCGCCAGTATATCAATAACAACATCAACCACTCAGATAATCAGTCATATGCCGACACGGGTCAACTCAAATGTAGGTAATATGCAGAAAGGTAGCTTTGATGTTCTACAACGCCCTTCCGTCTATCGGTACAAGTCCCACCGCTTTCTAGCAGAGCCTCCACCAAGCCAAGAGCCCCCAACGGCTCTCGCACAATCACACCCGTCCGTGGCCAGTCGCAAATCGCTTATTCGTCATCATCGGCGGCCTCGACGTACTTGTGGCGGATGTCCTTCCATTGACGCTAAATTCGGCTCCTTGTTAGCAAAACCATCTCTCCCATGTGACCAAACGTGCTTCCGCAGCGAAGTTGCAGTTTTGCTCGAAGCAGGCTCGTCGATACACCAAAACAAAATGAGGAAGGGGGTCCTTACGCCACGGTTCACGTAGTCCCAGTACTTGTTCATCGCACCGTTGAAGCCCCTAGAGCGCAACATGTCAGCCCATCCCGGTTCCTATCCGGCACATCCCGACACGCCCCGGGCCTGTCGGTCCTTCTCCCTACAGCCCCAGGGATCGCATCGGATTATCGCCTTGGGGAATCATCGCTTACAGCTCGAAAGCAAAGCCCGTCGCAAAGACGAAACCGAGCATGGAGAAGTTGTTCTTGAAAAGAGCACTGTTCCACCCAAGCCGTTAGCAAGCGTTTCCCAGTCATCGCATTCGGTCTGTCGGGCAATCAATCGCTCAGGACTTCGAAGCCGCGGAACTCCGGTCGCTCGGCGATGCAAGTAGAGGGAGACGTCGAGGGGGTGAGGACTTGCTTGTAGAAAGGGCGTGTAGGGGCCTGCGGAGGAGCAAAAAGTGAGCGATTAGCCAATTGCGGTGATGGGAAGGGCTTCCATTGAGATACGAGCATACCATCTTGAATGTCTTTTGTCAAATTGTACGTCTCGTGTAGAGGCAAGGGTGCTTCGTTGCGGTCGGCGAGGCGGTGGTCGTTGGAAGTGGGTTGGGTCGGATGGTTTTGGGGAGCGAGTCTTGACGAAATTCGCGATGTTCCGGGAGCAACTAGCTTTGCCGAAATACATGCCCTCTGATTGGCCCATTGACCCACCAGCCTCTTCGTCCAGCGCTTCATTGATGACTAAAGCCCCCAGACGACTGCGCCAGCCTCACAAAGTTACTTGTCAAGCCACGTTTTGGACGACGTCAAGGTCAAGATTGTTATCTTACGATGCTCGCGCAGGTAACGGAAGGCGCAAAAGGCGACCAACACATATCATTGGTAACATGTTGGGCACGACGAGACATGCAATATATCCAAAGAAGCAGGGAAGTAGACTGTCAAACAATCTGGCAACGGCACCAACAGACATTCAAAATAAGTGAGACTTCGGTGAGCCAACTGAATAATAACTGCACTACTACGTATGAACGCTGAATTGCAAACCCATTAACCCTGTTTGCTCGGCGATGCATCGTGGCCGCGATTGCCCAGCTTCACCTTGGCATGGACCTTGGCATTGTGCACCTTCTGTCTGAACGGAGTATGTTCCGATCTGCGCCCACGGAGTCCGGTGTATGTCCGCAGAGGGGGGTCGAGCCCATCGGCAAACCTGCGATGCTCCTCGAGGCGTTTGTCTGAGATAGTTTCTGGGGCCCATCTTTTTCTGATAAACCAAGGCAGACATGCCGCCGCCCATGCGTCGGGGATCAAGCGAATCAAGACACCAAACGGAAGGGAAATCGCGCCGAGACCAATAGACAAACCCCATTCCTTTCCATTCAGAGGCTTGATCTGGAACGCGGCGCCTCCAACAAAAATGATGAGTATCTGTCCACCAATCATGATCAGGTTGATACCGATAAAGAAGTAGTTCTTGGTGATGTTCTCGAAGACGTTGAACCTGTTGTCCAGGCGGCGGTTGCTAGTTGACAGTTAGCACTTACTCGGTCAGCAAGTCATGGGATACTTACTTGAGTTCGTTGAAGATTTGCAGCCAAACAAACGTGTTGAAGACGAGAGTCCTCAAACGTTCATGCTCGTCATCGGAGTCGCTATAGCCCATGAGACTCTTTCCGGCAAAGTTCAATACGAAGGTAATGACGAGCTGACAGATGGCTTGGCCAATGATCATTTTAGCCATTCTCAGAGTTATTAGCGACGCAGACTTTCGGTCGGGCTTGCGGTCCAGAACACTGCGCGTCGGAGGGTCGGTGGCAAGCGCAAGGGCAGCGAAGGTATCCATGATCAAATTCACCCAAAGCAACTGAACAGCATTCAGTACCGACTGCTCACTTGAGCTCGCAACTGCACTGACGAAAGTCAAAACTACAGCCGTGACGTTGACAGTAAGTTGGAACTTTTCAGAGGGTCAGCACTTGTAACGATTATTGAATAGCGAACGTCCTGTTTGACATACCTGCAGAAACTTCTTTACGGAGTCATTGACAGCTCTTCCCCACATCAGGGCCTTGACGATGGAAGCAAAGTTGTCATCCATAAGAATTATACCAGATGCCTCCTTTGCAACTTCGGTGCCAGCGATGCCCATGGAAAATCCTATGTCTGCCATCTTGAGTGCGGGAGCGTCGTTTGTGCCATCACCGGTCACGGCTACCGTCTCGCCAAGGTCCTTCAGAGTCCGGACTAGGATCCTCTTGTCTTCAGGGCTTGAGCGAGCGAGAACTTGCAGCTTGGGAACGATGTCTTTGAGTTCTTCTTCCGTCTTGCGTCGGAAAGTTGGGCCCTCCATAGCGATGCCGCCGTCTTCCGGATGATAGATGCCACATTCCTTGGCGATGGCTCTGGCAGTCAGGATGTTGTCACCCGTGACCATGCGGACGATGACGCCTGCGCGGTTGCAATCCTTGATGGCGTCGATAACAGAAGGTCGCAGCGGGTCTTTGATGCCGTAGATGGCAACGAGCGTCATGTCTTGGTGTATCTTGTCAAAGTCTGCAGTTCTAGAGTCATCTTTTGAGATGGCGTCCTTAGGTGGCCAGGAATCAAAGTCCCTGAATGAAGACCCGATGGTGCGAAGGGTTTGGCCGGCGTATGAGTCGATCGTCTGTGCAAACATCTCCTTGTCTTCAGCCGTCATATCCGCGGCACTCAACTCGGAGCCACTGGGATTGTCAAGGACTTTGGTGCATTGCTTCAGAAGAATTTCCGAAGCTCCCTTCACGTAAACTCTGTACTTCCCATTTGGTAGCTTGATTACAGTCGCCATGTATTTGACTGCCGAGTCGAAAGGTACGACCTGGACGACATCGGCGTTCGTCCGCTCTTCTTGAACAGGCCCGGCTGCCAACTGATCCCGGCTGAATGTGAGCAGAGCGACCTCGGTCTTGGATCCGATAAAAGTGTGTTCTCCTTCTTGGTCTCCCTCAAAGGCGGTGGAATTGACGGCGTTGCCTTGCATTAACAGTTGTTTCGTCTCGGGGCTCAAATCCTTGGTGAAGTCACCAATTGAAACGTTTCGGATCGAATTGACAGTTGTTTCATCCGAGGGCGAGGAGCTGCTCTTTCGCTTCTCTGCCGTGGGCTCTTCGAGGGGGGCATCCTTGCCGCCAAAGCTGATGCTTTTTCCAAGAGTTGTGGCTACGACCGACATCTTGTTCTGTGTGAGAGTTCCTGTTTTGTCCGAGCAAATTGTCGTGGCATTTCCCATTATTTCGCAGGCTTTCAGGACTCGAACCAAGTTGTTGTCTTTCATCATCCGAGTTGTGGCGAACGCCAGTGCCAGGGTGACAGCCAGAGGTAGACCCTCCGGAACCGCCACGACGACGACAGTGACGGAAACGATGAAGAGCTTGAGGAAAGCCTGTCCCTTCTGTTCGGGGCTGTCGTTGTTTCCAGGCAGCGCGACAAGAAACTTGATGAAAAGTACCACAAACAGTAGGAGAGCCGCGCCGCCGCCGAACTTGGCGATGTGGTCGGCAAGGACGTTGAGCTTTCTCTGCAACGGGGTGTCTTCTTGCTCGGTTCTGAGAGACATGGTGATTCGGCCATACGAAGAGTTGACGCCAACCGCAGTAACCAGGAAAGTGCCGGTACCCTCCTGAACCTTGCTGCCAGAGATGATGAAAGGGTCCATTTTCTCAATGTCGTGTCGCTCAACCTTCTCCTGTGCCATTTGCTCAAGAGCCTCATACACATCGTCGGCGCCAATCTTTTTGATGAGGTCGGACTCGCCCGTGGCTGAAGACTCGTCACACTTGACTCCATGGCCTTGAATGAAGATACCGTCAACCGGGACCATATCTCCCGTTGAGAGATGGACGACGTCGCCAACGACGATGTCATAGACAGATATCTCGACGGACTTGCCGGAACGAACGACCTTGATTGTGCGATCGTCGTTTTTCTTGTTAAGTGTGTTGAACTGACGTTGCATCTTCCAGTCGTTGATCGAGCCAACCAAGACGACAATGATAATGGCAATCATGATGGCAACGCCCTCTACCCACTCAACTTTGGCTTCACCTGGTTCGTGTGATTGGCCAAAGGTTTCATATAAGCCCAGAGCGAGAGATACAACGGCCGCGATTGTCAACAGAATCAGCACCTTGTCATTGTAGGCAATCCACACCATCTGCAGGAAGGACTTCTGCTTCTTGGGAGGCAGGCGGTTATCTCGAAAAGTGTATTTTCGATCCGAGTACCCGCCTGTGTACTCAGCAGGGGGGGGCGGGATGGGCACGTCGTTCTTCGCATTGGGGTCCGGCTGAGGAACTTGGTTGCCAGCTGCGCCGTACTTGGGTACGCCCTTTAGGGCAGCTTCCTCGAAGGAAACACTGGCGTCCAATTTGTCCTCGTCAACACCCAGTCCAGATTTGCGGTTCGTTTGTAGACCTTTCTCCAAGCCACGCAGGCCTCCGAGAGCGTAGAAGGCACTGAGATTTTTGGGGTTCAGAAGCTTGGTGAGATGGCCTGGGGTGAAAGCGAATTTGCTGTCCTGCTTGGAGTTGAACATGTCCTCTGTGCCAGGATCAGGAGTAAGAGCATCCGCCGTATCCAGGGTGAATTGGCTAGGCCCATGATGATTCTCATCCTTGGCTGCTTTGGACTCTTCAATGTCCAGTGGTTGACTCTGTTTCTTTTCGTCTTCGGTCGACATATTAACGCCTTTGTCGGCATGTTGCCCATTGGCTGTGGCCATGGTTGGTTGGTAGGGATGAACAAAACCGATGTGTGCTGGGTGGCTTCCGAATTGATGTAGTAGCTAATAGTGATGTGGTGATTGCTTATTAGACCAGACCTGTCATGTTCTTTATGTTGAGTGAAGAATTGATTCAAAAAAAGAGGCGCATCTGTCGATGTATTTAGCCTCGTGCCCAATAAAGTGGTGGAGGAGTGCGGGTCAAGCAATCGTATCGTGAAAGGCAAGTGCATTAATGCCTGCAGGGAGAAAAGGTTTCTTTTCTTACCCGATGAATCGAAGCGAACCTGTATGACAGTTTCCCGGGGCCGTTATGGCCAGAGGACCGAAGGAAGGTACGGAGGGCGAAGCTCTGATAGTACCTCTTGGGAAGAAGAAGAAACCACCACAGAGTAGTGAAATCGACAACTAGAGAGAAGGAGAGACACTAGAAGCGGACGAAAGCAAAGGACAGGCGACAATAGGCCGTATTTGAAAAGGGAGAGAAGAGCACAACATAAGTTTCCTATTGTACGCCAGTCTATACCTGGTTATGCTTGTCCCGTTTAAGCAGCACACGCACACACACACACACCCTCGCGCACACACAATATCATGGCCAATTTCACCTGCCGCGACCACATTCGTGAGGACTGTACCTTCTTTTGCGTCCGCATAAACCGCTGTATTTCGGGGGTCAAGCAAGCAAGCTGTGTCAGTAATGGGATGAGCAGTGACGACATAGGCTTCTGTTTGACTACTCAGGGCCATCCGAAGAAGGAGGCTTGGGAAGGATGGTCAATGCCAGGATCGAGCGTGGAGGGCTGTGACCGTCATCTTACAATACCTCTGATGGTTGCTCCTCCGAGTCGCTTCTGGTTTGATGAGAGCGAGACCAGCATGCCACCCAAGGCTTGGCAAACGCGGACTGTGACCAAGAAAGCTTGAGTGGCGGGATGAAGCTTGTGCTTCTTGGCCAGGGCGCTGCCTATACAACAAGGGTCGTCGGATGATATAGGCAGACAACAAGTACTTCCCTGATTGGTCTGTCTCCGTAATACCTCTCATGTCGTCAGAGAGCATGAAGACTATCAGCGCGCCGCTGGCTGTGAAGCGGTGACAACATAGGTAGTAGGTAGTGTAAGTACTGTAAGTTTGGAAACGCCTTTCCTCCCAATAACGGATAGTGCGAAACGCGCCGCCCTCTCGCAGGCTCAGACATCTATATCAATGCTGCCTGATGGGCACTTCTATCTATCACACACCCCCTCCTTCCCTGCGATGAACCGAGGCGGCCGGCCAGCTGGCGTTTAAACAATCTCCTGGGCAACCCATGCTTCCAGACTTGTTCCACGCTTTTAGATTGCAACTTCGGCCGCTGGAAGAGGCGGGTACTATCCGTATGGACAGCCTGGTTGAAACAGGCAATTAGAAAAGCCAACTTACTATGGCCAGACAATGTGCTGTCACACACACACTCTCTCTCTCCACCCTGTCGAATGCCACAATCGCCAAGCCTCCATTGTTTGAGACCACAGCGGAACAGCCAGACGGAAAGGTTAGAACCTGGAGGCACAGGGGTAAAAACTCGCTAACATGGGATGGCATCCTACACACTGGAGTGCTGTAATCTGACACTTCTTACCGAAAGACACGCCGGTCGGCTGCAGGTCTGACGAGACCAGTAACGCGACACACGTGGCGTCATTCTGGCCAGACCGCACTTTCTGAAGCGCGGAGAGTATGTCCTGCCTGCCCAGACTTGATTGCGGCTGCCCTGCTACCCTCCTGGTCCAGGTTTCATGACAGCTGAGTGACGGCGACCAGTAAGTAGGTAGGTAGGTACCCAAGCACTGCCAAGGTAGAAGCAGGTAGGTAGGTAGGTAGGTAGATAGGCTCCCTCCCTCTTGTATCGTGTAGCTGAACCCGCCGGATTGGATCATGTTTGGTTGTCGCCCAATCAGTGGCCTGATGCGCAGAGAAGGTTCACACCCCACAATGGTCTGTGCGTACATTAGGAGGGGTTGTTTCGACCTCAACTCCCACAGGCGCATTCGCTTTCTTTTGCCAGCCAAACCAAACTGCTAGGCCAGCTTCCTTCGCATCGAAACCTGGCTGCCGCCGCCCTGTTTGCGATCTCGGTGTCACCTACGCCCATAAGTGTGTCAAACTGCCCCGAAGCCTGCAGCAAGCCTCGAGTCTTTGGCAAACCCGATTGGCTGCACGCACGCGCCCTGCTTCCCTTTGCACCAAGCTTAAGCTGTTCCCTAGCCATCATCGCATAAGTGCCCAAAGCCATCAGTCAGCGCTTTGGGCGGGCGGTGAGCTACGCACACAGCCTGCTTGAACAGCGAAGCCTTGCGACGCTTCTCCGAAGCCCATCGGTTGGACCAGTCCGACTGACTGCAGGGTTTTCCGGCTAGCCCGTTGCTACCAGTCTAGCCGACTCTGTCAACACTTATCAAGATTTCCGACATTATGCCTTCCGAACCCACGAAAGCCTCCAACGCGGGCATTATCACGGATGACGCGGGCGAGCGCCACATTCCCGAGTCGAAGCGAGCGGACGGAAGCACCCGCAAAGCTATCAAGATCCGTCCCGGCTACCGCCCACCCGAAGATGTCGAGGTCTACAAGAACCGCACTGCCGCGGCTTTTCGTGACCGCACCACAAAGGGTGGCATCCCTGGCGCGGCGGGTTTGAAGGAAGAGAAGCCCGAAGCCTCTCACTCTGCTTCCAGCAACAAGAATGCAAAGCGTCGGGAAGCCAGGAAGAAGGCTAAGGCCGCAGGAGAGGACGAGGTCGACGATGCCAAGCAGCAGTCTAGTGCCGACCACCCCAATGCCCAAGAGGTCGACCCCGAAGTTGAGAAGGAGAAGAAGGCCCGGAATCTTAAGAAGAAGCTCAAGCAGGCCAAGGATCTCAAGAACAAGAAGGAGGGCGGCGAGACGCTGTTGCCCGAGCAAATCGCCAAGGTTATAAAGATCAACGAGCTCATCCGTGAGTTGGACGCTTTGGGGTTTGATGCCGAAGGGGAGCCCAAAGCCAAGGATGGTGCCGAGGCTGATGCCACACACAAGGACGAATCAAACGAAGCCTGATGCTTGGGCCAGCCACGATGGCATCTTTCGAATCCTAAACCATTTGCGTTGCATGGTCGACGTTTGATCAGAAATGCACCGTTGCGACTGTCTGCTCGATATTTACAGACTCCTTTTAAGCTGGAAGGTCCGTCCGTGCCGCAACGCAGGGCGAGTGACTAATGCCTAGATTTCTGCCTCCAGCAACCTCCCATGTAAACATGGGCAAATCGTGACCCTTAAGGCTCCGCTAGCTCGTTTGTGGCTCGATAAGTAAATGAGCTGGCAGCGCGAGCGTACAGTTCTGCGCCGAGCAATCGTTGCCAAAACCAACATTATCAGGGCTGCGTCGGAGGGGGCTATGCTTCCCCAGTTGGGTATGTTGGAAGTCAAAACGTGCACTTCAACAGAGGCAGGAGGGCAGGGCTATGCGCAGGATTTTGGTTTGCATAAAAATACCCTAAGCACGTCATGCGCGATGATGGTGCGAGGATCAACAGATACACGACGCTGCGGCTAGGGATAAGGGGATGTGGTGCAGGTCCCTTCATATACCTCCGTAGTTGCCTTTGACAAAAAAGAATACCCTGTTTGGAAGTATTTGAGAAGTTTGCCCGGCTCCATGGTCTTGGAAGTGGGCTGGGCTTGAAGGTCGTGTGCACTTTGGTTACTATAGCTCAAGCCTTTTGACTGCAGGATGCGGCCAGAGGTAGATCCGTTCAGGTTAGATTAACTTCCAAACCAAGGCTTGGCATTCCATCACCCCAACATCTGGAGGAAATGCTTCGGTGTTGTTGTTGTTTTTCGGCAACGGAATGATTCCTTGGCCTCGCGGGTCAGAGTAGACATGCGGCGCCCCGCGCCGATCCGGGACACGCCGTTCCGTCCCATTCGAGGCCCCGTCTGAACCAGGGCTTGGGAATAATTTCTGGTCAACCCCTCCGGTTCAGATCGCAGATTGCTTTTGGAACGCTCCCAGCGGAGGTGAAGATCGCAGCCAGATGGGACCCACCGGGGAGGGGGGGGGGGAGGGGGGGGGCGTGTTTCAACTTCAGTCCGAGAGACGAGCCAGAGCCGCAGCCGGAGTAGGAGAGAATCTCAAGTGTCCATGTCAACGAAGGGGCACGGTAGAGCAGACCTTCATTGAGACGGTAGAAATACGGCCCAGGTTCGCTAACTGCCCCAATTTTGGAATGTGGTGTTTAACCGATTACACACATATTCGTCGAGGAGTCTTTGGCACCCTTCTCTCTGCTTTCCTTCCTCCTGTGCTTTGCTGAAATACAGGCCAACAATCTTACTGGGATTTTCGTTGCAAGCTCGCCCGTGTGTCATCGGGCAAACATTTGTACGGCTAACCCGTCAGCGACGAGTCCGGGGCTCTCTGGCAAATCAGAAGCCGGGTCGGATCGGATGACGAGACGATGGCAGCCAAGTCGTCCTGAGATGGGCCGAGATAAGTCTGGTTCTTTGTTGACCTACGAGGTAGGCCGAGGAAATGCAGGATACGACAGCATGTACGGGCTTCCTTGGGGTTCGACGTTTGTTATGCATCCGCGAATTTGCGAACTGTTCGGAAAGAGCACTTCTTGTCAAGGCTCCATCTTTCTGATACAGACAATGGCCCCACCTTGTTCTGCCATACCTGGTGCTATCTGTTCCAGTGCATGCTTTGGCTGTATGAGGCTTGACTATGAGGTCCTATATTCTGCATTGCTACGCCTCCCTCCCAGTCACGTGTCCGGTACCAGCAGAAACAGCAGACAGCTCGTAGTATGATGCGATCCTCGCTGCATGAGGAGAGAAAACCGTCTACAAAAATGCATTCGGCCTGCACGGAATACGCGTACCACTTCTGTGGTACCGATTACTGATGTATTCCGAACCCGGGCGAGTGGATGGACTATTGGACGCGACAAGTTGTTTCGATATTGTAAACGAGTGCTCAAGAGAGACCCCAACTGTAATATTTTATAATAGGTAATTTCGACTTCAGCACATGCATCGCTGGACAACGAGGGAGACGAGAACCTGTTCTAAACGACCTAAACTGTATAGAGGCGCAATGCAGGGTGGCGGGGGCGAGGCAACGGGGCCTGGCCAGGGAGACAGCTGTCGGCATTACACTAGTGCCGCTGACTGGGGGCCGGGCGACTCTTTGATGCGCTGGTGTGGCGTCAAAGCTAGGGTGGAGCTGAAGCTTAGCCACCCGACTCGTGTGCGAAACATACTTCCTACGCTGACGTTTCCCTTCCGGACATGGTTGAATTGGACAATTGTCCAACAGACACTATCACCACCCAACAAGTCAATCACTGCTAGGCTGGCCCTCACGATACCTGCTCCTTCTACCCGCGCTTTCCTGGGCGAACTGCATCCTATCGCGACGCATCTGCCATCGACAGCTTGTTCTTTTTGATGATCACCACCATCCACACCAACCTCCGAACATGAGGCTTAGGGGCAAGGCTGTCGCCTCCTGGCGCATCCTGCTGTCTGTCCTTTCCCTGGCAGCAGCTGTCCAAGCAAAGGACGAGCCGACGATCAAAGTCGCCACAATCAAGCATCCCCCTCTCAACCTGAACTATTTCGAAGATTCCAATACCATCCTTTACCAAGATGTCTCCGAACGAAACCTCTACCGATCCGAGGATGCTGGTGTCACATGGGATAGGGTCAAAGATATCCCTGACAACCAGGCCTCCCTCCTCACAATGCACGAGTTCGACAAGAGCCGAGCCTACGTACTCACCGAAGGCACCGAACACTTCAAGACGACCGACCAAGGCAAATCGTGGCAGAAGTTCTCGAGCGGTGCGCCCCCCAATATCTTCGTGGGCGGGGACATCCTTCACTTCCACGCCGGCGATCCAGACCGTGTCATCTTCAACGGAGCAGATTGCATAGGTATCTTTTGCGATCTGATCACACTGTACACGACGGACAATTTCAAGTCGAAGGCCAAGTTCCTGCGCGGTAACACCGAGGGGTGCTATTGGGCCAAATCTTCGGATCTCTTCACCACGGGCAAAGAAGACCTCGATAAGCAGCGCATTCTTTGTGTCGTGCGAGACAACTTCTCGCCTTTCAAGGAAGACAACAGACTTCTTGCGTCGGACAACTATTTCGAAAAGGTTGACAACAAGGTTCAGGAATTCGAACCAGACATGGATACAAACCACGGCGTCCAGGGTGTCGTCAGTCTGGCCGTAGTCAAGAAGTATCTCATGGTCGCCACATCGTCCCTCAACACCGACGAGATGGGGCTCTTTGTCACGGACGACACCATTAAGTGGCACCGCGCCATGTTCCCTACTAGCCACGGACACAAGGTCAATCAAGGCGCCTACACCGTGCTGGAAAGCACCAACTACAGCATCCAGATTGATGTGATGAACACTAGACCCTCGAACCCGACCGGAGTCATGTTCACGAGTAACTCGAACGGCACCTTTTTCACCGAAAACCTCGAGCACACGAACCGCAACACCAAGGGCCATGTCGACTTTGAGAAGATCACCGGTGTACAGGGTATCTTCATGGTCAACGTTGTTAAGAACTGGGAGGAAGTGGAAAAGGACACCGGCAGGGGTGGCAAACATGTCGAGAAAGAGATTGTCAGCAAAATAACGTTCGACGACGGCCGGACCTTTCACGATCTGAAGAGTGGCGGCGACCAACTGCACCTTCACTCGGTCACTGATCTCGATAACGTTGGCAGAGTGTTCTCTAGTCCCGCGCCTGGTCTTGTTCTTGCCATCGGAAACAAAGGCAAGTCCCTGGGCAAATTTGCTGACGGTGACGTTTACGTCTCCGACGATGCGGGTGTGACTTGGAAAAAAGCCTTGGATGGCCCTCACAAGTACGAGTTTGGTGACCTAGGCTCGATTTTGGTCGCCGTGAAGGACTCTCACAAGGAGGACATTGGAGAAATCCGGTACTCTTTGGACCATGGCGAGAGTTGGAAGACAGCTCCGCTTCCCGATGACTTGAAGATTAAGCCAGAGCTCCTTACAACGACACAAGACTCGACTAGTCTCAAGTTTTTGCTCGTTGGCAGAACGGGAGGCGACAACGCAAAGTTTCACATCATTGCTCTCGACTTCGAAGGGCTGCATGAGCGAACATGCAAGGACGATGACTTTGAGGATTGGCACGCCCGGCTTGATGAAAACGGCAAGCCTTCGTGCCTGATGGGCCACAAACAGACCTACCGCCGCCGCAAGAAGACAGCCGACTGCTTCTTGAACCAGGAGTTCAAAGACCCTGTCCCGGTTACTGAAGACTGCGAGTGCACGGACGCAGACTTCGAGTGTGATTACAACTTCATCAGGGATGGCGACAGCTGCAAGAAGGCTGGCCCGATCATCGCACCGGACAATGTATGCAAGAACGCCAGGCCGGACGATACTTTCAAGGGTTCTTCCGGCTGGCGCAAGATCCCAGGGAACACTTGCAAGCGAAAGAGTGGTGATCAGAAGGATGATCCTGTCGAGCGGAAATGCTCCGAGGCTGTAAATGCCCCAGCTGCCCCTGCTGATGGCAAGATCAAAGCCGTCCAGCATGTCTTTGAGACCGATTTCAAGGATTTTGAAAAGATCTACTTGGAGCGAGGCGAATCGAGCACCGAGGTCGACGAAACCATGATCGTGCGACCTGTTGAATACTCGGGAAACAGCATGCGGGCCGACAAACAGATATGGCGAACCAAGGACCACGGCAAGAACTGGGAAAAAATCCTTCAAGACGAGGACGTGCGGGGTATCTACCCGCATAGCTTTTTCAAAGACGTCGTCTTCTTCACCACTGATTCCAAGAAAGTTCTGTACACGATCGATCGTGCCGAGCATTTCCACTCGTTCGAGGCTCCCACGAAGCCCGGTCCAGGCAACCCCCTGTCGTTCCATCCTGACAAGAAGGATTGGCTTATCTGGGTTGGGGAGAAGTGCGAAAAAGTCAATGGCAAGGAAACCTGCTTCATGGAGGCCTCGATTTCGAGAGACCGTGGCGACAACTGGAAGACGGCAATGCGCTACGTCCAGAAGTGCGAGTTCACAGGCCACTCCGCCTACAGGTATCGCGACCTGCGCCAGATTGTCTGTCTCGCGCACAAGGAGGAGAATAATGAGAAGGACAACCCGAAGGTTATAGTGTCCAGCAATGACTTCTTCGAAGAGGACAAGACGTTCCACCAGGACCGCGTCAAGAACTTTGCCTTGATGGCCGAGTTTATTGTTGTTGCTGCCGAAGACCAGGAAAAGCAGGGGCTGCGAGCCCTTGCCAGCTTGGACGGCGTTTCCTATGCCGAAGCTCACTTCCCTGTCAACTTCAAGGTGAGCCACCAAAACGCCTACACAGTCCTAGACAGCTCCACGCATGCCGTCAACTTGTTCGTGGCTACCGAGACTGCCGAAGGTCGCCGCTATGGAAGTATCATCAAGAGCAACTCGAACGGCACATCCTACGTTATGAGCGCGCAGGCAGTCAACTGCAACGACCAGTACTACGTCGACTTTGAGAAGATTCCCGGCCTCGAGGGCGTCGCTCTCATCAACACAGTCGCGAACCGTGACAAGCACAACGAGCCGAAGAAGGTGCAGACCCAGATCTCACACAACGACGGTTCGCAATGGGCTTTCCTCCCCCCGCCAAAGGCCGATGTTGATGGCAAATCCTACTCGTGCAGTAGTACTGGGGGAGATGAGAAGTGCGCGCTGCATCTTCACCATTATACCGAGCGCTTAGACAAGAGGAATACGTTTTCTGCTGCTACTGCTGTTGGGCTCATGTTTGGCAACGGCAACGTCGGGTCGAGTCTCAGCTCCCTCAAGGACGCCGATACCTTCATGACCACTGATGCCGGCATCACTTGGAAAAACGTCAAAAAGGGTGCTTGGACCTGGCAATATGGTGACCAGGGCTCGATTGTCGTGCTCGTCCAGCGGGCCAGTCGCGAGAACCCAGTCAAAACGAAAACCATTTCGTACACGACCGACGAGGGCAAGACTTGGAAGGACTTCGCCTTCACTGACAAGGAGGTCACCGTCCTGGATATCTCTACTCTCCGCTCTGGCGCATCGCGCAACTTTCTCATCTGGTGCAAGAACGATGGCGGCGAGACGTTCTCTGTCAACGTGGACTTCACTGGCCTGGCTGACCGTCCTTGCAAGAGTGACGAGGGCAGCTCCGACTACTACCTTTGGTCGCCCAAGCACCCATCGCAGCCCAATAACTGTCTCTTCGGACACGTATCACAGTATCTGCGTAAGAAGGACGATGCGAACTGCTACAACGATGCCAGGGTTCAGCACCTCTACCAGGTGGAGAACTGCACCTGCACAAGGGCTGATTACGAATGGTAAGTGACCCAGCACGCCGGTGTCTTTTTTACTCAAGCTAAAACTCTCCAGTGACTACAACTTTGAGCTCGACGCTCACCAACAATGCAGTCTTGTCCCTGGCAAGTCTCCGATTTCGGCGGAGCAGTGGTGTAAGGAGAACCCCGATGCCGTCGAATACTACGAACCCACGGGATACCGTAGAATCCCGCTTACCACTTGCACTGGGAACGGCTATGATGAGCTCGACAAGCAGGCCAATGTTCACCCCTGCGCTGGCAAGGAAGATGAGTTTGAGAGGCGGCGCAGAACCTCTGGTATCGCCATCTTCTTCGCTGTGGTGATCCCGTTCGGCCTCGCAGGTGCGATGGGCTGGTGGGTATACCGCAACTGGAACGGCAAAATCGGTCAAATACGGCTGGGCGAGTCGTCCAGTCTCGACAATGACGCCCCGTGGGTCAAGTACCCAGTCATCGCCCTGTCGGCGGTGGTTGCCGTCGCCGCGGCCCTGCCGCTCGTCGCCTCGGCCCTGTGGAGGCGCGCCACCTCTGCTTACGAGAGCGTGAGCGGTGGAGGCGGAGGCAGCTGGCTCGGCGGGCGTGGCAACCGCCGGTTTACCACGAGAGACAGCTTTGCCCGGGGCAGAGGAGATTACGCCGTGGTCGACGACGACGAGGGCGAGCTCCTGGGTGACGACAGTGATGAGGAGGTATGAAAGAGTTTTATGACGGAGGGCAGCATTGTTGCCGTAGAGTCAAGGGAGAGATAAAGCGACACATTGATACTGTAGCAAGACTGTTTCTTTTGGATTTCGGCATGGGGGTATCAGGCAGGCAGGCAGACGAAGGCAGAAAATACAGTTGTAGACCTTTTGTTATAGCTTATATGTTTTAACAAGCATGGCGTTGTTTCCGAGGCATTTTTCAAGTGCTTTTTTTTTTTTTTCCAGACTAGAGCATCCCATGTGTGAATGGCTTCCGATTCTGGGTGACATCGTGAGATCATGGGCCGTGATATATAGCGAAGCGCCGAGACACGATCTGAGCTGTCCAATTTTCCCTGCGGCGAGAACGGAGCGGCGATGGCCATGTCTGAGGGTATCTTATCCGAGTAGCGCCAGGGCAGGCAGGTAGGCAGGCAGGGCGAGAGAGACTGAGAAACCCACACACGAGTTTTGGAATCCAGACTTTCCCGGCTCACCCGGCCGAATGGGATGAGAGGATCATCTCCCACGACTCAGAGAGAAATAAAGAGAAAGAGAGGGGATTGCGGACAGCTCGTGATTTGAGATGAGCTTGTATCTGACGCAAGGGGCCCGAACTTATGGAAAGGGGTCGGAAGGGGAGCAGTGTTGATCCCGACCGGACTGGACCCGGACGATGGGCAACCCAAGCAGAGGCCAAGCTTTTTTCTTTCCCTCTCGGTTGTTTTCCTTTCTTTCCCACTCCTCGTCCTCGCCCAGGGTTCACCACATTCCGGGACCGTGCGCATTTCAGAATAGAGACCGGGAGGGAGGGGGGGAGGATGAGAAATAATTGCCCCCCCACCCCCCCCCCTTGTCAACTTGGTGCCAATAGCAGATACAGGCATCTCGGGCAAATCTGCCTTAAGGGAAGTGATCTGCAGGTCCCGAAGGGCGTCAAGCTGGTGATGTGCAGAGCGTTTCGCCTTATTTGTGCAGCTGGGGGGGGCAAGTCTTTGGGGGCTCGATGCTGGGCGATGAGAGAGAGAGGGGAAAACACACAGTGGAGATACTACACGTACCACGTGTGTACCATGTGTACGAATATGCGTGCGTGTGCCAGCCAGCTGTGTGTTAATTAGCTCACACACACACTCTCTCTCTCTCTCTTTTATTTTTTTTTATTTAAAAAAAATCTTCTTGGGGGACGTATGAGGTAGAGATGGGCGCATGCAGCTGGCAAAGGGAAAAGGGGGCGGGGAATGGGCGACGTTATTGGCTCCTTGACTCCGCAGACTGTTTTCTAGCTCCAATATCCTAGTTGTGGGGAGGGGGAGATGTGCGAGCCGGGGCGGCTTGCATAGTCGATATTGGACAATGACATGGACTATTATTCTTCAGGCAAATACAACGCGACGACTTTCCCTTTTTTAGGGGGTTAGCTCTTGAGGCGTTGCGCAACGTTCAGAGCGTTGAACCGCCTGACCGCCATCGTAGGCTGCATCCGTCCACATCTGTCCAAGACATTCGCCGGGTTGTCGACGACCGATGCTGGGGGAACTCGCGATAGGGCGGCCGGGTTCCTCCATGTCTGAGACCCTCGAGACGTGTCATGCACAACGACATCATCGGCGGGCTCGATTGGACCGACTGTTGCGCGTGCTGAGTTGGCCCAGTAATTATAGAAAGAAATCTGGGATTGGGCTCTGGTAGACCAGGACGGTGCGTTTTGAACCCGCCGTGACCGACTTGTGGTGAGGCGTCTGCTAGTCCAGCGCGCTGTTAGGCGTCGGGTTATTTTCTCCCCTCAAAATGGAGCTATGCATCTGGCAGATGCAGGAACGGCACCTAGGTATGTATGTACGTTAGTGGCGTTTTTCTCGGGGTACTTGGTACATAGTCTTGGATACCCCTTTTCCCCCTAGTCTTCCCCGCCATCACCTCGGGCGGTAACACTCCTGAGTCTTGAAAACCGAAAGTCGCTACCAGGAGACGCAATGCCCTGGGGCACGGCGGCAGGTGGGAAATGTGGTCCAGAAATTGCCGCCGAGGCGCCGACGGCCAGCCACGAACACGAGAATCACGACAGAGACGAGACCGTGGGGAAGGGCCGCGAGAGACATGCATGGGCCGAATGGAACAACGGCCCCGGAACATGAGCTGGCCGTTGATGTTTCATTTCAATCCTCTTCCGGGGATCTTCGTCGACGTAGCTAGTGTGCACAGTAATCAGCATAGGGCAGGAGACAGTCGCCTCCGGGAGAAGGAAGCAGAAAAAAGAGTGAATACCCACGCAGGGAGACCCCGTTACCTTCGTGCGCATCTCAGCATCTCTGCGAACGAAGGTGTGTGCGCGCGCGTGGACACCGGAAATAACCTGTCATTCGGGGTAAAAGAATAATGCTTGTTCGGGCGAGCAACGCCACCGGTGGCCACATGTTATGCTGCCAGGGATGAGGGCAAATGGGCGACCAGCCGACAGACCACGGGCTGAGCCAAAAAAGAAGGTTCCCTGCTAGAGGAGCAGAATAGGGTGGTATTGAGAGGTTCATCTTATTTTTTCAGGGATCCTATGCTAATATCGCTAAGCTAATTTACCGGACGCACCAGTCGTGGACGCCCAATGCGCCCCCGTCCCTTCCTGCAGCCACCCCCCGCAAGCTCGCTCCCCAATTAGGTAGCAGCCATGCCACTCCGGGTACCTTGCAGCCCCGCCCCTCTAGCCCGCCCTGCGATCCTTCTTCCAACATCACACCACTCTTTTCATGCTCTCCGCCTTCAGTCTTTGGTCTCACTTCGTGCCTTTCTGTGGTGGTGGTGTGGTGTTCTTCGTTGCTTTCTTCTGTCTCGCTACTGGCCGATGCGGGAGCCTAACCCCGGATTCACCACGCACGACGTCTCCGACCAACGTTGCCACGACTGGGTCTCCTCCGTCCATGATGTGATGGAGGATTGATTTGCATACAGAGCTCACTCTCACGAGTCACACGGCCTCTCCCGATTGCCTGTCCCCGCCTTTGCCCATCCAGAACGTAGCCTACTACGTAGACACGCTTGTGCAGTGCCGAGTCGTCATCTTTTGGGTCAATCAAACGTCTCTTTCCTCCCCTCTGGTTTCTTGCCCATGTGCTCTTACGAGACTTTTGGCTTTTTCCATGTCTGGACAGGATGCTTCTTGGCCGCCCGTCCAACCAGCGAGCCAAACCCCTCTTGGCCATACTTAACCGGGATTACCATCTCGCCTCCCTTTTCCTTGCCGCCTTCCAAGGCCAAGAACAGGGTAACTGCTTCTCACCGTCTCGTTGACTCGGATGTCAGCGCAGCAGCCCAGATTACGAGCCCGTATCCTCTGGCCCAAACCCCTGAGCGACTCCTCCTCCGCTAAGTAGGGATGGCATAGTCCCCGTTGGCATCGTTTCGACTCTAACAGCTTCTGTTGCTTATTGCGTATCCGTAGTCAACCATGGGCAAGATCTCCTTGTGCTCTGGGGTCCACCCGTCCTGGCCCTCAACCCCTCTTCATTCGGGTTCCTCAACGCTGTCTGCTGTGTGTCCTGATGCCGAGAGCAGGGGCTCGCTGACTGCCAAGTTGCTGCTTGTCATTCCAAAACAAAAAACCTTGGGTCTAGACGAGATACGGTCCCTCATCACGCGTGTTGGCCTGTCACTCATTATCCAGCAACACCGAAACTCGTGGACGAACCAGGCCCCGGTTTGGTCAACAAGTGTCACCCGCACCTTGGGAATACACAACATTACACACACAGGTCATTGGACACTAGGCAGTCCGCACTTGCCCACTCGTCCATCCGAGGGGTGGGCACACCCACACCGTCGCGCGCACAAACCCCGGTTCAGGGCCTCTGCCAGGGACATGCTAGCCTTCTCACGGTCGTACCCATGAAGATACGGATACTAGTAATCTACCTAATCTCACCACCAACATAATAATAACATCCCGGTCCCGCCAGTTTCCGTCCTTCTCTTTCCCTCTCTCCTTCCCCTTCCTCACGAAAACACTGTCAAATGAGTTGATGCCGTCAACGTAGTTTCGTCTCTACCACAATCTTTCACTACCGCTTCACTCTTTTAGCGGGCATTCGCTTTTACACCAGACACTATCGTCGATTAATATACCAGGAAAAAAAAAACACCCCCCAAGGGCAACTCTAATTCACCATGAAGGGATCCATCCTCGCTGTCGCAGCCGCCATCGGCGGTGTCAGCGCCGCTGCTCACCGTCACGCTCAAGCTCACGGTCAGCTGTTCAAGAGAGGCGTCGACCAGGCCTCTGTCTGTGTCCCCGGCTGCACCACCATCTACACCACCATTTACGGCGAGCCTACGCGTATGTTTCCCAAACCCTTTCACGCTCTCGGGTGATGCGAGAAGCTCTCACGGAAAGATGAGCATCGACGAGACGCCGGGCCCCGCAGGCCTACTTAGACCAATCTTCGCCGTACTAACCTCGTTATCAACAGTGGTTCCTAACAAGCCCAGCAGCGCGCCCGCCGTCGTCCCCTCGGCGCCCGCGACAACTGAAGCCCCGCCGAAGCCCACGTCCACTCAGAAGCCCTCCGTGGATGTGCCGACCCCCGTGCCTGAGGTCTGCCCGACCCCGGGTACCTACACCTTCCCGGCCACCACCATCACCGTCAGCCAGACCACCACCGTCTGCGCTCCTGAGACCACCAAGGTCCCTGCCGGCACCCACACCATCGGCGGTGTCACCACCGTTGTCGTGAATGCCACCACCGTCGTGTGCCCCTACGCCACCGCAAAGACATCCAACGGCGTCGTGACCAGCGTCGTCGAGACCACCACCTACGTGTGCCCTACCCCCGGCACCTACACTATCGCCCCGACGACCACCACTGTCACTGCCCCGGCCAACATCGTTTACCCCGTTGTGACTACGGTCACCCCTGGTATCTACGTCCGCCCGCCCATTGTTACCACCATTACCGAGACCAGCGTCGTTGTTGTTTGCCCCTTCACCAGCCAAGAGCCTGTCCCCGCGACCTCCTCCGCCGTCGTCGTCCCTGCTCCCGTTCCCACGACTTCCGCCGTCGTTGTTCCGGCTCCCGTCCCCACGACCTCCGCCGTCGTTGTTCCGGCCCCCGTCCCCACGACCTCCGCTATCCCGGCCCCGGTTCCTACCACCACGGCTAAGGCCTCTTCCTCCGCGCCCGCCCCGTCGTCTTCCGCTCCCGCCACCGGCGGTGGCCTCGGCGGCAACAACGGTGACCACTGGGCCATCACCTACACTCCCTACTCTGAGGACGCCTCCGGATCCTGCAAGTCTGCCGATCAGGTCGACTCGGACATCGCCCTCATCAAGAAGTCTGGCTTCAGCACCATCCGTATCTACTCCACCGACTGCAGCACTCTTGAGAACGTCGGCGCTGCCTGCGAGAAGTACGGCCTCAAGATGATCATTGGCATCTTCGTCAAGGATTCGTGCGACCCCCAGTCGGCCGACATCAAGTCCCAGGTCGACGCCATCGCCAGCTGGAAGAGGTGGGACATGGTCGAGCTCGTCGTTGTGGGTAACGAGTGCATCTTCCAGGGCCGCTGCAGCGCCTCCTCCCTGAAGCAGCTCATCATCGCCACCAAGGCCACCATCACCGCCGCCGGCTACTCTGGTCCCTACACCACCGCCGAGACCGTCGGTGTCTGGCAGCAGACCGATGTCGCGTCTGAGATCTGCGACGTCGTCGACATCGTCGGTGGCCAGATCCACCCCTACTTCAACGCTCAGACCGCCGCCACCGACGCCGGTACCTTCGTCCAGGGCCAGATCGAGCTCCTCGAGAGCTCCAGCATCTGTGGCAGCAAGCCCGCCCTGAACCTCGAGTGCGGATGGCCCTCTAGCGGTAGCTGCAACGGTGTCGCCTGCCCCGGTACCTCCGAGCAGGCCACCGCCATCGTCTCCATCAAGGAGCACGCCGGTAACAAGACCGTCTTCTTCTCCTTCCACAACGACTTGTGGAAGGCCCCTGGTGCCTGCGGCTGCGAGCAGTCCTGGGGCTGCGGTCAGCTCTTCTTCTCCTAAGTGGGATGGCGGACGACTGACAGGACGGAATCACGATCAAAAAACACTCACCCGACGTTTGGACACGACAAAAGATACCTTCCCCGGGAAACCCCCGACGTTGAGGCTCCGAGAGAAAGTAACCAACGGTGTATCATGAAAGAACGAAAAAGAAAGGCATGTCCCACACCACACACGCCCTCGACGGAATCGATCCCCTTTACGTTTCATCCAAAGTGCGAACAACGACAATTTCCGGATACCCCTCGGCCCAGCCTCATCCTCGGCACTCGTATATCTATCTAGCTTCATTCTTTGTATATATACACTTGTCTCCCGCCAGGTTGGCGTTTGTCTGAAGGAGAACGAAGACAGCAAGCCCTCGAAAGCTTGTTTTCCTTACCTCTTCGTTGTATAAACACTCTGTATCTTGGAAACGCCGTTCAGGGCGCGTGTGGTTATAGTTGTAGTAGTTAGCAGCAGCAACAGCAGCACCTTCTTGGTGCCTGGGATACTGCCAAATTTCATGTGTCATCTCAAACGAAACTTGCAACCACCAGTGATCTCTCCATATACATCCATGTACGTCAGGCCTCGAATCTCTTACCGCCGACGATCTTGCCCTCAGAATTCCGTTGTGTATCGACGACGTCTACCGACTGATGTTGAAAAATGGGTTCCATGGTTCCCCGGAGGTCTTCAGATGAGCTTCATGCGACTCCCCTTTCGCGACCACATTCCCATCCTCCCTTTGGTTCCCAAGGAAGAGGGAAAGGGAAGCCCTCCTCCCCGGCCCACCCTCACAATCAAAACAAAAAAAGTTGCCAACGGCAGCAAATGGGCCGGCGCTCGCTTCAACCATGAACACTTGGTCCGTTCGTTCATCTATGGACCGTCTCTAACACCCCGCGACTCGGCTGGGTGGTTAGCGTATCCCCCCCCCCCAAAAAAAAACCGAAAAATCGTTTCGTTTCAGACGGGCTGGTTGGTCCGTAAAGCACACACACACACACACATACACACGCCATGCCCGGGGAGGGAGATAGCGCGAAATAATTAAAATCAAGTACCGCCAGCAAGTGACACACATGTATGGCACACTCCGTCTCTATTTGGGAAGACAGAGGCTGCGACGCTACCGGGTCGGTTCGGGCATCGCGTCTTCGCAAACCAGATGGGGCCATTCTGTTGCGGAAAGGAGAGGGAAGCAACGGACACGCCGGCCCGATGTAATCTCGTCCCCCCTCCTCCCCTCCCTCTTTGACCTCCCCATCCTGAAGCGCCACGGCTTACGTCCGGCCGTCTCGATGGACAGAGCCGCGGCCATGACATCAACTCGGAGCTGGGGGAGACACGCAATCTGGAGACAAGCCACGGAGTCGAATTCGAGCGTCAGCCGGGCGGTCCCGATCGTCATGTGAATTGGAGTTCGTCTCGCCTTCTTGAATATATAGTCCTCTAAATCGACCCTCCTGAACCGTTCCCGTCTGTCAAACCACCAAATACAGTACGGTGAATGCAAAGTCAAGAGGCCTTCATCCAAGTTCCAGGGCCGTCCGTCGTGAAATGGGTCGTAGCCACATACCCTCCTATCAAACCTCGGGCGTCGACGACGCACATTCGTGCCAGTATGTTGTCAGAAGTGACATCTCCCGTCGACTGCCTTTTACGTCCAAAATGTAAAAAGATATAAGAAAAGAAAAGTAAATGGAATCCTCCGATCAATGTAGACCATGGACACCATATTCCCAATGCCCATTCCAAAACGTCAAGTTCCATGCAAAATGAGCAGTACCACGCTTCACTAGCTAAAAAGAAGGGAGAAATGCCCTGAAAGCACGCGTTCCGCCGCCGTCTTTCTCAGTAGCCAGCGCTCCAGAGCACTGAGCTGGTCTAGATGTCGAGAATAAAGGGACATTTCGATAGAAACAGAATAAGAGATCGCCAATTCATTATGGCTGGGTAGTATTGTCGTGGTAGGGTGCCCTTGAAACGCCAAAACGCCAATGCCAGATCGAACCGTCGTTGTTCCTGGCCACGAAGCATTGCGAGCCTCAGGGAGGTTGTGTCGCGGGGTATCATGTGCTTCAGAAAGGCTCCAGGTCGTCAAAGCAGACGGTGCTTCTTTCTCGTTCAGCCTTCGTGTTCGGTCCAGGCATTTCCGTGTCGGCCAGAATGCTGCTTTGACTGGACCTCCACCAGGGATCCAGCGGTGCTGATTGGTGAGCATACTCAAAGTTAGCGCCGTAGCCCACGTCGCAGCGCTCCAGCTGGACCAAGCCCCCACGGGTCCGGTCCATGCAGAGAATGTTGAGATCCTGGCCATCGTTCGTGAACTCAACACCCCCAATCTCTCCAAATATGTCAAACGTTTGCTTGTGGGCGAGTGTTTGAATGTCAATAATGTTGATGTAATCGGCCTCTTCAGCAGCGACAAGCACTTGGGGGCCGCTGCCCGTAGGGGAGAATCGCAGGCTGCGGACGCCTGCCATTTCGGATCGGATGGTTGTGAGCGGTTTACCAGTACCGTCCGAGTTGGTCCACATTCGTGCGTCCCATAGCTTCACACTCATATCTTGGAAGCCCGTCGCGACCGTCCAGCCGTTGTCAGACCAGTCGCAGGCGAAACCGAAGTCTCTGTGCCCTCCCAGCTCCTGTAGTATCTCGCCCGTGTCGGCGCTGGCAATGAGGACGTTGTAGTTGTCACCGACCATCACACGCAAGCGGCGATCCGCGGACAGGGCGGAGCAGTTGATGGGGCAGCCATACTGCGTGTCAAGGATGAACTTCTCCGTAGCCACGTCCATGATGCGGAAGCCCTGATCGTTGGAAGCAAATGCTGCCATTGGCGCCGATGAGTTCCTCGATTGGTGAATCTGCAAGTGGTTGGTGATGCCGCTGATGTGGTTGGTGATTTGCCCTTCAGTGTACTTTTTGTCCTGGCTGTGAATGTTTCGCATGCAATATTCCCCGTTAAAGGTACCTGCAATGAGAATACCACAGCTGGCATCCAATGTCGATATCTGCACCCCAATCATGTCGCTAAGATCCATAGCCACTTCACTCTCGCCTGATACAGGGTTGATTTGGTGCACGGCTCCCTGGCCAGGGTAGAAGGCATGGCTCCGTCCTGCGCATGCCAAAATGTTGCGCAGCTGGAAATGGGCCAGGTGGACGTTCTGACGAATGTCCATACGACGAAACCTGAAAAAGTCTTCCGTGTTCCGAATAATCCTGTCGGGTAGATGGGGCTGGATTGCCTCTGTCAGCATGACACACTTGAATCCCAAGGGGCCAACTCACAGCCCATATGTCCGAGTCTGTCCTGTTAGTATAGTTCTTGTAGTCTAGGCTTCGGCGTTCGCGCGCATTCTTGCGCGTCACTCCCAAGTCCTCCCAGTTAATGCCTTGCGCATCGCACCGGTTGCCTTGAAGTTCAGAGTACCGCACTCGCGTGATCTTCCGTGCGGCCTGCTCGTTGATCTGTCGAATCCCAGGGCTGGGACCGCGCGACTGGAAGCGGTTACGCCAGGCCCAGTCTTTGAGGAAGTCAGTCAATCCCGGATTTTCCGGGCCGAGGGTGCTGGAAATAGGGTTACTGATGGCCGGAGGGCCAGTCGCTTGCCATGCCGCCTCTTCCTCGTCGACAGTAGCCACTTGAAACTGCTGCAGTTGCTCGGCAACGCTCGGGTAGAACACGTCATCGTCATCGTCATCCTCCCCCATGTTTCCGACATGTAGCATGGGGTGGAAAGGGGTGGTGTCCAGGGGGGTGGGATGTTGAGATCCTGCCGGGTCGAGAAACCCATGCCCGGCAGCGAGCGGTATGCTCCAGTAGTTGATCATGTGAGCGGGCGGCTCGTTCGATGTGTGGACTTGTTCCTGCACCGGGTGAGATGGTTGTTCGCTATGGAGTGGCCCAGAATAAGGCTCAAGAGTCAAGCCGACCTCGGGGTCGGGCATGGGGGAGAGAAGGCTAGTGGCCGTCATGACATGATCCAAAGGGGCGCCTCCATCGCTGTCGCTCATGTCCAGGTCGTCATCATCGTCCTCGGCATCGTCGGTATCGTCGTCGTAGTCTTCGTAATCGTCGTAATCGTCGTGGGCGAAGGAGCCGGGTTCGTGGTAGTAGGATGACGGTATTACGGGGAAGGTCTGATGGTAGGAAGAGAAGGAAAGCTGGGCGAGGTCTGCACCGCCCTGCGCCGAAGGCTCGTGGGACTGATGCTGCTGGCTGGGTTCGCGATAGTGACTGTATTGTGTGTGTTGATCATGGTGAAGATCGGGTGGAGGTGGGGCCGATGCGAATCCTTGGTGATGGTTCGAAGGTGCAGGAGCCGCCTGAGCCTGCGAAGGCTGGGTTTCCGAGGTTCGAGGGCGCATTATGCTCTCTTCTTCAAGTGTATGCCGTGGCCAGTGGCGATCGAGTGAGGAACATCGAGGTTCGCTGCACGGCGAAGAGCAGCACCCGTCGTCGGGTCGGATAGATGCGTCCTCTTGTGCGGTCGGAGTGCGGTTTGAAGAGAGAAGGTGATGGTTGTTCCCCCTAGGTCCGGGTTTCTCTCTGGAACAGGGCGGTGGGTGTCGGTGACCAAACGTCAGGCTTCCGCAGGTCGAGAGCCGGGTTTTCGTTCTTTGTTCGAGTGAAATCGACTAGCCGCAATGGAAAAAATGGCGTCGATGACGACTGGTGTGCAACGCCTTTGTTGACGGCAATAACGGTCGCAGGTTCCAGGGCTAGCGAGACTCGAGTCGGTGACGGGCGACACTATTCAGGCGTGCATGAACTCGGGGTCTATTTGGAAGAGTGCGTCGTCGAGTGTATTGTCGTTGGACCGAACAAGCAGAAAGGATGGGAGGATGCTGACACTGGAAGATTGGAACTGGGGCTGGGGCTGGGAATGCGGTCAGGCGGCAAAGTTAGCGAGATCGAGTCCAGCGCATGGCTTGGTGTTGTACCAGGCAGGGCGGGAACGGGAATGGGACCTGAGCGGGATGTCTTTCTCTGGGACCCAAGGGCGAGGAGAAGCCAACTCTGTCTACCTAGGTATCTCTCTCTACCTTTGCACCTCAGGTTATTGGGGGGCGCTAACGCCGGCGCCGGGGTAGGGGGGGGTTAAGGTCGCGCCAACCAAATCGAGCAAGTACTGAGCACAGCGCGCACTGCACACTGCAGTGAGGCGATCTGGTGGTTGAGTTTCACTTCCCAGGGCACATGGGTGTGATGGGAGGGCGAACAGGCCAGAAGAGGGTGGACTTGACGACGTGGAAAAGATACTTCTGTCCACTAGTATATCGCACGTGGCTCTGTGTACTTTCCAAGACGCCAAAGTCCATATTGCTTTGCACCAAGGCATTCATCCTACCTTGGGTGCTGTGCTGTGACAGAGTCTGATCCTCGGCTCTGATTAGAGTAGGTACGTAATTTGGTACAGGTAGTAATTTACTTTATGGGATTAGCAGGCCAGGAGCTGTTACTGCTGTCAAGGGCGCCGGTTTGAATTCAAGAGCCATTACCGCCATGTGCTGCTTTTCAGAATATACTCGACTTGAGGATCAACGATCCGTCACCCATCAAGGCAAAGCCACAACGGAATGGTCACGCCCAAATACCCTCAATCGCAACACTCGGTGTGGGACAGGCAGGCCACCGAGGAACGGCACCTCCACCACCAACCACGATGCCGGGGTATGTCCCCTTGTGCCCGCCAACATGTTCCCGCCAGCCTGTCGATCCTGACCTCGACCTTCAACCTCGCCCTGGCCTCGCCTATTTCTTCCCGCACAAAGACGCAAATAGGGAACGTGGCGGTAGGAAACGAATGGGGCTCCACGGGGATTCTGTGGGACGCTACCTCCAATATCCTATGCATGGCTGACTCTAACTAGGGGAAATGGTGTGCTAGGCCGAGCCCAAGGGAACAGAGAGCTGCCTATCCATATTCGTTCTTTGCCGCAACAAGGCCAATAGAGGGTACACTCTAGGTGGGAAATGGCGCAAGCAGCGGCAGTATCTGTCATCCCTACCTGCTTGTCTGGCCTGGGCCTGGACCCGGCTCGGGACTGCCACCTCATGATCGCACAAAAAGCACTCTTCCTGGCCTGGCACTCGGTCCAAGGCATCGCTCGCGACGAAGCGAGTCGCCACAAATAGAAATCAGGGAGGCGCTAGCTCCCACGTACGAGGACTCTGCCTGCCTGCCTGCCTTTGCCTCGACGAAAAAGACGGTCCCATCGCCCTGCCTGCCGATTGCGCACCTCCATCAAGGACGGAGAATTCGAATTCCTACACTACAATACACTACATCACACCATCCCCCCCCCACGTCGCTTCTCGCCTTCTTCGTCCATGGGACTGCGTCGATTCGCTTTTTTGGACATACTCTGACGTCACCGCCGAGGTGCCGTTGTATCTGATTAATGCCTTTTTCAACGGCTTCGCCCAACCCGACTCTTGCACTGCACTAGTCGGTCATGAGCAGACACCCGGACCGCAACGTCGTTGTCCTGACTTGCTTCTAGTGCGCGAATAAACTCTTGAGCTGCAAGCCTCTCAACACCCGCAGATCGTGCTCTTCCGATATCCAATCAACCACACCTCGCAACTACCCCCCCCCTTTGGTCCTTGCAAAGAGCATCCTTAGCAGGCTCTCATCGCCTTCAGCCTCTCCTGGAAACGTTTCCGCGTCATGTTTTGCTTCCTCTCTGAGTCCCGTCAAATGCGACTCTTGGCGGATAGACCATTTGCAATGCCCTCGCGGAATTCGCATCTGCAGCGACGTGACCTGTCATTCGGCCATGTCTATGACCTTGACATCCCTGGTCTCCGGCCCACTCATGTAAGTGGTTGGATTCGGAAATATCCTTCCCACGTTACCCTGGCTAGAACAGACCGGGAAGCGAGGAGATATGCTCACCGATTGCCACCTGGACAAGTAGACAGGCCGGGCTGTCTGATCTTTGGCTCGTCATCCGTTACGCCCGTTGCGGCAGAAGACGCTGTAACCCCTCTTCCTCACGACTGCCACCACATATGCCAGACGAACTTCCAGAGGCTGACATAAGTAGCACAGTCTACATGATCCTATCCAAAAAACCTGGCCATCTTTGCAACCTCCTCAATGGCCATGAAGCCACAGCAATGTAGCAAAAGGAGTGCCTACGAATCCACCGGCCATCATCCATTGGTGCCCACCCTCCAACCACGTCCGCGTGATGAGAGGCCTGTTGATATGATAAATCACATTCGACAACAAGTGGTCCCAGAGTTTCAACCGTCCAATGTTAACTTACCCGTTTCCTTCATGACTCCGGCTCTCAGCTCTGCACACCTTTGCTTTTTGCGCTCTCGGACTTTCCAGTCTATGCCCGCCCGACCCCCTTACCGTATACGCAAGGATTGGAAAGCACGACAGGGAAAAGACGGTATTGCTTTCATTGGCGCCGCGCAATCCGCTACGTTCTCTATTAGATGATGGTATGATCTTCAGCAAACGAGGCTGGCCAACACCAGAGCAAATCACAGCAGTGGGAGGCCGAGATACCGAAGACGAGGCCCAGCCGGCAACCGTTGAAGATACAATGGTTCCTAGAAGCAACCGCGTTTTGGCTTGATCGGAAGTTTGATCAACAGGAGCGGCAGCAAGTTGCTTTCGCCCGTGCCATCACTCCCATATCCATGATCGGCCCTAGGAACGGGGATGGTTTGCTCATCATCGCCACCCAATGGGCTTCGGTCGCTTATTTCGATCCAATTTCCACCTCAAAGGACATGAACTTGTGACACAGTTTAATCTTGAACAGATCGAGGGGTAGGCAATCCAACTGCTTGCACCCGGAAAACCCATGGTCAGCCGGCTTGTCCAAACTCGTGGCGCTGTGCTTCGGGTAGCACACAATCTGACCGGCCCCTGACCACGCTGGATTTCAGAGGGGGGGAGAGAAAGAGAGAGGTCAAGGAAGAGATGGGTGAAAAAGAAACAACTGAAAGAGGCCCAGTCTCCTGCAGTCCCTGTGAAGCTTGGCGGGCGAAAAGGCCGTGCGGCAAATTGTCAATCATCCACCTCGCTTCCCCTTTCGTTTCGAGGCTGCAATGAGAGACGCCTGCAAAAACTGCGGCGCGAATGGGAGCACGAGCAACAAGACACTACAGGGTAAGGCGGGCGGGCTGCAAAATGCCACGGGGACGATGGAAATAGCCATGTCTCGGCTACCTGCAGTGCGGCCATTATGCGCTCTTTCCTTCCCTCCCTCTTTTCCCTCTGCCTCCTCTCGCAGCCTCCGTATGCCTGGTCGTCCGTCCTTCTTCCCTCCCTCTCTCTTCCTGGCCTCCCGTCGGTGTCGTTGTGCTTGTCTGCCTACATGCTCACCGAGCACCCCAATTTTCCGCATCTTCACCGGTCTGCTGGGATCCCCATCTCCCGCGGACATAAGATCCGTCCCGCTACCACCCCCCTCTTTCTTCCTCGTCTGTTTGCCACCCCCGGGAGCGGGTGGGCAGTCTGAAGAAGGGAAAGATAACCTTGGCCGCATTTCCACTGGGCTGGGTGGCCTCTCCCGCCCCAAAGGGCCACGGCGGCCGGGACGGGACGAGAGACGCTGTGTCGTCTTAACCGCCCGCGGTTCGCTTGACCGGCTTCCAACGAAAGGAAACCCCGGGAGGCCGTGCGGACGGAGACGCGTTCCAACCCTTTCTCCTCTCCTATATACTCTCTCTCTCTCTCTCTCATGTCTTCCCAGGGCCCCAATTCCCGTCGCCCCTCGTGCTTCGTTTGAGGAACTTTTATTTAACCACACTTGTGATGGGGAGGGCAGTTGCGATTGACACAAGGCCACAGACCGCCTCTGCAGCCGGACATTGCTTCTTCTTCTACTTCTCCTCCTGGATGCGTTCATGTCGCGGGCGGGTAGGTAGGCACGCGGGTACGCACCTAAGGCGTCTCTATGCGAGCTCCGACGGCACCACCCGATCAGAGGGCAGGGGGGCAAGGAGGCAATACCAAGACTGATGCCCAACCAACAACCAATGTCCCCGTTCGAGCGGCCCTGCATCCGCTAGTCAGAGTGCCTGCCCTACACTCCTCGGCCTCTGAAGCATCCGAAACAACTGGCGATCAATCTCATCGCCTTCTGTTGGCTGGCAGAGGGAAGGGGGGGGGGGGGGGGTCAAAATCAAAATCAAAATCAAAACCGGCCTTCTAGACCGGTGACTTGCTGGCTGAGAAGGATGACAGGGAGGGGCCTCGCGGATCAAGAGAGGGGGGGGGGAAAGGGGGTGGTTGGAGAAAGGACCACGGTGAGGACAAGAGGGTTAGAGATTGCGAGGATTCCCGCCAGAGACTGCTCAGCAGTAACCAACGCCTTTCGGCCGAGAAGGGTAGGAC